CTCAGTGACCGGGGAACTCAGATTCAGGGAGAGGAGCAGAGGAGAAAGAGACTCAGAGAGGAAACTGACTTGCTCAGGGACACAGCAAAGCAGGGACCTAACTGGACTCAGGTTTTGGTCTGCTTCTGTGTAAACACAGGCCCCGGAGTGGTCAGCGGGTGGGAGCCTCTGTGTGTCCAGTTTCTCAGCACACTTGTGGACAGCCGTGGGACCATATGAGGCACTTGCCCAGCCCCTCAAGGGCAAGAAAACACGCCCCAAGTGCGTGAGCCAGAAAGGAGAGAGACATGCAACTCCTGTGCCCAGAGCTTTGAAAACAAAACTCGCAGAGAACTCCCAGACAGCTGCCTTGGCCCAGAAAGAATAATTCACAGAGAAGGCAAACATCAAGATGTCAGGTGGGGGACCGGGGCTCTTCCATGCTGGGATGGTTAATTTTATGTGTCAAGTTGGCTGAGCCCAGGTACCCAGATATTTGGTCAAACATTATCCTAGATCTTATTGTGAAGGTGTTTTTTAAGATGAGGTTAGCATTTACATTGGTAGACTTTTTTTCTGAGTAAAGCGGATTATCATCTGTAAGGTGGTGGGCCTCATTCCATCAGTTGAAGGCCTCAATAGAATAAAGACTGAGCTCGCTCAAGGAAGAGGGAATTCTGCTGCAGGCTGCCTTGGCCTCCACTTGCAGCAGGAACTCCTTCCTGGGTCTCCCACCTGCCAGTCTACCCTGCCGATTTTGGATTTGCCAGCCTCCACATTCACATGAGCCAATTCCTTAAAATAAATATCTCAAAATAAAGATACATACCCTGTTGGTTCTGGAAAACCTCAATTAATGCTCATGCTCATTAAGGGCCTTCCCTGCCCTTATCCAACTTCTACTGCAACACCGAGAGGTAGGCAGGCTGGGCAGGCGTAGTCTTAAAGCTCCTTTCTCAAATGAGAACATGGAGGCTCAGAGAGGTGGAAACATCTGCTCAGCAAGTTGTCAGGCTAGGTTCTAACACTAACACACTGCCTGACCCCAAAGCCTGTGCTTTATTTGTTACTTTAAAAAACACTTTATTTTGAAGTAATTTGAAACGCTGAGAAAATTTACAAGATGCACACAAAGAACTTCCTTAGACTTTTTACCCATCATATTTTTACCACATTTGCCCCTCATTTTCTTGCTATTTATACATTTTAGGAGGCTTTTGTTTTGTTTTGTTTTTGAGACAGAGTCTTGCTCTGTCGCCCAGGCTGGAGTGCAGTGGCGTGATTATAGCTCACTGCAGCCTTACCCTCCCAAGCTCAAGCAATCTTCCTACTTCAGCCTCCTGAGTAGCTGGGACTATAGGCATGCACCACCATGCCTGGCTAAATTTTTTAAATTTTTTGGTAGAAACGGGGATTTCTACCAACATGTCACCATGTTGTCCAGGCTGGGCTTGAACTCCTGGCCTCAAGCGATCTTCCCAATTCAGCAACCCAAAGTGCTGGGATTACAGGCATGAGCCACCATGCCCAGCCCTTCATGAGTATTTTTATTCCTGAACGATTTCTGTCCATGTTGCATGATTTATGTCCCTTTACTCCTAAATGCTTCAACCTGTATCTCTTAAGTACAAGAACATTGTGTTACAGAAGTACAGAACAATGGTCCAATTCAGAATTTTAGCATTGATGCAATGCCATCATCTCTTATATATAATAAACATAATTTTATATAATTTATATAATATATAATTTATATAACATATATAATAAGTATATATTTATTATATAAATATTGCATAAATATATATTTTGAGACAGAGTCTCACTGTCACCCAGGTTGAAGTGCAGTGGCACAATCTCAGCTCACTGTAGCCTCAACCTCTCAGGCTTAAGTGATCCTCTTGCCTCAGCCTCCTGAGTGGCTGGGACTACAGGCACATACCACCATGTCTGGCCAATTTTTGTATTTTTTGTACAGGTAGGGTCTCACCATGTTGCCCAGGCTGATCTTGAACTCCTGGGCTCAAGTGATCTGCCTGTCTCAGCCTCCCAAAGTGGTAGGATTACAGGCATAAGCCACTGCATCCAGCCATAAATATATTCTTATACTGAAAATTTTACCAATTATTCCAATACTCTTCTTTATAGCATCCCCCCTGCCAACATCTAGGCTCACACATGACATTTAGCTGAAGTATGTGACAGACATGTTTCCTGGGAAGCCCACTAGGAAAACAATGGGGATTTTTTTTTTTTTTTGAGACGGAGTCTAGCTCTGTCGCCCAGGCTGGAGTGCAGTGGCGCAATCTCGGCTCACTGCAAGCTCTGCCTCCCGGGTTCACGCCATTCTCCTGCCTCAGCCTCCCGAGTAGCTGGGACTACAGGCGCCTGCCACCACGCCTGGCTAATTTTTTGTATTTTTTTTTTAGTAGAGACAGGGTTTCACCGTGTTAACCAGGATGGTCTCGATCTCCTGACCTTGTGATCCACCCACCTTGGCCTCCCAAAGTGCTGGGATTACAGGCGTGAGCCACCGCGCCTGGCCAATGGTGATGTTTTTACTGGGGGAAGTTTCCTCGGTGTTCATTCTTGAGGTATTTTAATGGTGTAAGTTGAGTAATTCCCTGCTTGTGGCCCATCTAGTCTGTCCCTATGGACACCAAGATTTAAGGGTCATCTCCATGTTCTGTAGGCCAGGCCCTCCTGGCCAATCCTGGGCCCTACCACTCATGGTGAGGACTGTGTCCCCTAACGGGTGCTATCTCCTGGCCTCTGTTACTCCAGGGTTCCACCATCCCCTTTGCTATCAGTGAGCCTAGCTCCCAAGGGTCCTCACCCACCATCCTGTGATGGCATCTCTTGCAGAAGAGGCTCTCTGAGATTCTCTGTGATGCTGGCTGGTGTCCTCTTCTTGGTCCACTCCTTGTGGCCTTGGTAAAGGGGAATCTTGGTTCCCTGGGTCTTATGCAGCCTTCCCAAGCACTTTCACTTCCCTGACCTTTCATCCCATCTGCCACCATCTCCCCTGCAATTCTGGCATTTGGATCTCACTCAGCATGACCTCCTACTTTTTCTCCTCTTCTAGGAGCCCTCCTAGCAGCAAGTTTACACCTTCTCCTGGAGTCCTTGCCAGGGTGTGCAGCCCTGAACTTCCGAAAGACTTCCGAATCAATAAACCCTTTCTTATCTGGCCTCACACTACAGCCCCTTGATCGAGTACCCTCAAGGTCCACTCCTGCACATACTCACCCGACTTCTGCTGGTCATGCTGGCTTGGCCCTCCAGCTACTTTGAGATACAGGCCCTTTCCTCCCCTGTGAGGCCCATCACATCCCTGGCTGGTTTATGCTGGAATTTAAGCCTAGTCACAACCCTTGTGGACAGGAGAGGAGGTGGGCATAGGGACAAACATCTTGTGGATGAGATGCCTCTGTAGGGTTTCCAAGCAAGGGAGGAGGGTTAGCTCTTAACAGGGAGGGATGGATGGGTCACTTCTACAGCTCTTAGGAGTCAGAGGAATCTGGGGATTCAAGATTCTCAGTGGGACTGGGGTGGTGGCTCTTGCCTGTAATCCCGGCACTATGGGAGGCTGAGGTGGGCAGATCACTTGAGGTCAGGAGTTCAAGACCAGCCTGGTCAACATGGTGAAACCCTGTCTCTACTAATAATACAAAAATTAGGCGTGGTGGCATGTGTCTGTAGTCCCAGCTACTCGGGAGGCTGAGGCAGGAGAACCACTTGAACCTGGGAAGTGGAGGGTGCAGTGAGCCGAGATTGTGCCACTGCACTCCAGCCTGGGTAACAGAGCAAGACACTGTCTCAAAAAAAAAAAAAAAAAAAAAAAAAAAGGATTCTCAGTGGCATTAACCTGAATGTCCCCATTCTATGTGACAAGGCCCTATTCTTTTTTACCATGTAGGGTCCTGATCACATTGAGCAGACCTGATTATTTTGACAGCATATCATCACTTTCTCATCTACCCACTAGGATGGCTATAGTCAACATAATCAATGAGTGTTGGCAAGGATACAGAGAAACTGGAACTTCCATTCACTGCCAGGGGTGGGTGTGTATAAATGGTGCAGCCACTGTGGAAAACAGTCTGGCAGTTCTCAAATGGCTAAACGTAAGCGTTATCACGTGATCCAGAAATTCCACTCCTAGGTATACATGAGGGTTAATTGTATGTGTCTATTGGACGGGGTTAAGGGATGCCCAGATGGCTGGTAAAATGTTATTTCTGGATGTGTCTGTGACCATGTTCCTGGAAGAGATTACTATTTGAATCTGTAGACTGAGCAGAGAAGACAGCCCTCACCAGGGTGAGTGCGCATTTTCCAATCCACTGGAGGCCTGAATAGAACAAAAAGAGGAACAGCAATTTTTTTCTCCCTGCATGAGCTGAGGCATCTGTCTTCTCCTGTCCTCGGATATTATTGATGCTCCTGGTTCTTAGGCTTTCAGACTTGGATTGGGACTTATTCCAGCAATCTCCTGGTTCTCAGCCTTCTGAATTGGTCTGAAACTACAACCACTGGCCTTCCTGAGTCTCCAGCTTGCAGATGGTGGATCACAGAACTTTTCAGACTCCATAATCACACAAGTCAAACCTTCATGATAAATCTCTTTCTATATATCTCTCTCTATTCTAATGGCGCGGTTTCTCTGGAGAACTCTGATTAATACAGCACACAGATGCTCCTTGGCTTATGATGGGGTCATAAATTGTGGACCGCCTTTTATACCCAAGAAAAATGAAAACATATGTCCGCACAAAATCTCATACAAGAGTGTCCATAGCAGCTATTAGTCATAATAGCAAAAAATGCAGCAAAATAACAAAAAAGTGGAGAGTATCCAAATACCTATCAATGGAAGACGGCTAAACAAAATGTAGTCCATTTATGCAGTGGAAACGTCATTCGGTAATAAAAAGGAATGAAACACCAACATATACTATAACATGAATGAATCTTGAAAACATGTTAAGTTAAAGAAGCCAGACACAAAAGACCACATATTGTATCATGCCATTTATATGAAATATTTGCAATAGATGAAATACACAGCAGATTGGCGGTTTCTAGGGATTAGGGAGAGAATGGGTTGGAGGAATGGGGAATGACTGCTAATGGGTTTCAGGGTTTCCTTTTAGGGTGATGAAAATGTCTGGAATTACTATGATGAATGCATCTGTGATATGGCTCTAGTTACGAATATGCTGCATATAAGTTTTATGAATAGACACCAAGTATAAATCTTATGAATATACTCACACCACTGAATTGTACACTTTAAAAGGGTGAGAGCTTTATGGTATTGACTTATATCTCAATAAAAACTTTTTAAAAATTAAACACACACACGCACACACCAATTTCTTTGGAGTCCTGTATTTCTTAGGATTCGGTTCTGGACTTGATCTTCACTTTCTCTGCCTTCTGGCTGCAAGAAATGCAAGCCTCTTTCACCACCAAGGAGGCCGTCTGGCTCTCTCACTTAGCTTTCAATTGCTGATTGATTGCATTTAGCTTTTTATTACTTTTTTCCCCAGAGTCTTGGAGAGAGTCACCCAATGCACTGGTCTGTTTATTTACGTACCAGCGCTATGCTGTTTAAATATCAGAGGCTTCATAGTGTGTTTTAATATTGGCTAAGACTAGGCCCTGCTCAGCACTCTTCTTTTCCTGTGTTTTCCTAGCTATTGTGTGTGTATTTTTCCATAAGAACTTTAGTGTCAACTTATCTGGTTCCATAGAAAAGCATATGTGGGTGTTTTTAGGGTGACAAGTCTATCAATCAACTCAGCGAGAACTGACATCTTTATGCAGTCAAGTCTTTCTACCCAAGGGTGTGGCTAGACCGGGAAGCCCCCAAAAGTTCCAGTGGGGCCAATATGCCAACACCAGGGTGGCCATTGCCAAAGACTGAGAGCCTGGAATGAAATACACCCCTTTTCAGATCAGCAAGGCCTCCTCTCTGCCCTGCCCAGATGACAACCACTCCTTGTTTCATGCACCTGAGCTGCCCTGGTTCCCACCATCTCATAATTACCCTAGGTCTGGAGCCATTTTACGGGGAGGCCCAGAGTCTGTGTGGTGAGAATGGAAGGCACCCAACTGCGACCCGCCACCTGGTCTACTCAGGAGCATCACTGGCTTGCAACGCCCAGGCCAGGGCCACTCTGCTGCTGGACACCTTGGCAGAGCAGGTCGCTGCTGCCCACTAGAGCTGACCCTGAGCTCTTGGATGTGTGTGTGGCAGCAGCCAGGGCCAATCCAAGAGGTGGAGGTTGGGGTCCTGAGAGTTCTAGCCTTGGATTACTAGGCAGTATCGATGAGGTGAGTCTAAGAAGGTGCCCTTAGCATTGGTTCAGCACCAAGACGGTGGACAGGGATAGAGGCCGTCACTATGGCACAGGTATTAGAAGCCCTGTCCTCTGTCCCTTCACCGACTCTAATCTCTGTAGGCTGAGCCAAGCAGGGCAGAGAACAGGCTCTAGGTGAATCAGAGGAGCTGCCCTTGGTCGCTCTCCTCTCTCCAAGAATGACAATAACGAGGGAAGGCTCTTTCCATCCCATTCAATCTAGCATTCTTAGCAGGTAAGTTTTAACAGTGGTTTGTTGAGAGTCAGGCTGTCTAAGACACTCCCGTGGGGCAGAGAAGGGATGTTCAGTGGCTTCCTTTCTTTGTTTCCTGTTCCTTCCTCTGAGATAGACCCACTCCCTCATCCACCCAACAGACGGCCAGGATGCATCTGCTGGGGACTCCGCCCCTTGGCACTTGGAACCCATTCAATCATACATGTCTCAGACTCCTCTGCAGCCAGAGTTCTGGCTGTAATTTAGATTCTGCTAAGAAAGGGCGGTGGGATCTGTCTTCCTGCAGCTCTGGCAGCTGGCCATCCCTGATGGATGTTTGTGGTTGCAGGAATCTAACCTAGGTTTCGACTCCAGTTTTGTGCATGTGAGGCAGTGATGGCAGGGGCAGTGGTGGCATTAGCAGCAGCAGCAGTGGCGTCTTTCTGACCTCTGATTCGGCTACAGTGGTCTAATCTTGAAACCAATAGTCCAGTGGTGACCTCTGCCTTCTGCTCCGCCAGCCTTTCCAGTGATTTAGATAAAATCCTTTCTGCCTAAGATTCCTGGAGTGTTTTCTGTTTTCTGGGCTGAACCTTGACTAGTGTGGACACTGTTGTTGGACTTGAGGTGAGGAGAGCCTCCTGGATGGACCTGGTGGGCCTTGCTCTGGAGGGCAGAGAGAAAAAGGCTGAGCATGGCTGTTTGGCCACTGGCTCAGGTTTAGGCTCCAGGGATGCAGAATCTCAGCATGTTAGGAGAGAAAACAGGAACGCAATAAAAATTCAAGAAGGCAAACTGAGCCACAGCATCAAGATGTATAAACTAGGGAGGAGTGCAGCATAACAGGTGAAGAAAAGGAGGCCTCCCATGAAGAGGCATCCAATTAGTTGTCCAATAAGAAGGTCCCAATAGCATGCATGTCCCAATTCCCTCTGTCTGCGTCTGTGGCAGACAAAGTAAGCCAATATGGGCATACTCTCCTGCTAGCAACTGAGCTCAGAGGGCTCCTCAAGAGCCCAGACATACACTGTAAACCTATGAGCACCTTCTCTTTTCTGCATCCAGTGCAGACATTGCTAATCAATCACGGCACTTGTACCACCACTTTCCTCTACTGCATCCATGGCAGACATCACTAATTGATTAGATAATTCTTCTCAGCTAATTGGCCATTCTTTAAAACCCATCAGAAGATAAGGCTCCAGGTAGCCAGTACCAAATGGCTGTGGCAGACAAATGAGATGGAAACTCTCTGCCATCCCTATATAAAGTATTTAGATTTGGGAAGAAGGAGGGGCCAGTGGGAGGAAGGGTTGGATTGTAGCAGGAGGAAGGATGTGAGCTAATTTGCATGGGCAGAGAGGAGTCAGGGAGGAGGGGGCATTCTCAGCTGGCTGGGAAGCAGCAGTGGTCGTGGGAAGCAGGATAGAGTCAAGGCAGTGATAGAGAAGCTGCAAATGCAGGCTGGTGTCAAACCATGGAGTCTGGATCCTAGTGTGCAAGTCATGGGAAGCAGGGGAGTGTGTGAGCTGGGAGAGCAGATTCACTAAAACACACACATGCATACATGGGTACACACACACACACACACACACACACACAATCTCTCTCGTCTGGCAGGGGACCCTGAATTTCCTTATGCTGAGGGCTGGTGTCCATCTTCTCTTCATCCAGTAGGACCACTGATTCTCTTGACTTCACACAGCAGCCTAGGGAAGTATTATAGGAGATGTTGGTAACCCCATCCTTCTGCAGAAGCTGAGACCACATAGCCAGATGGCAAAATGGAAGCACAGGGGCACACCTGGGGCCATCACTGGGTCCTGCCCATTTAGGAGGAGTCATGTCCCTCCCCTGGCCATGCTCCCCCCTCACCTGCAAAGGGTACTTCCTTTGACACCACAGATCTCTCACCTTCACTGGCCATGGCTGGATGGGGATGCCGTTCCGTCCCACGCAGCACAGGGCAGACATGCAGGCTGCAGCTTCCTTGGCCAGCAGGTCCCAGCGGGCACTGTGGCCCAGGTTGCCTGTCGGGTCAGCCGGATCCAGGATGATAGGCCTGTAATTCCCACCCAGGGTCAGTCTTATTCCTGGCAACATCTCAGTGTCCACCTATGGCACCGATTGGACTATTTTCCCTTTTCACCTAACACTTTGCAGGGGCTAGGGCCAGGCTCAGAGATTCCTCAGTGCTCCCAGCACACACTACAGGGCAGGTATAGAAAATAAGACACACATGGCCACTTTGCCATTCTGTATTCAGGCAAACATTACTAACCAACCACAGTGCTACCGCTTACCCCTTCCTTATTCAGAGGAGGCATTGTTAATCAATCACAGCACTGGTTCCACAGCTTTCCCTTCCTGCATCCATGATACAGGTTGAGTATCTCTTATCTAAAATGCTTGGGACCAGAAGTGTTTTGGATTTCGAATTTTTTCAGATTTTGGACTCTTCGCTTACCAGTTAAGAATCCCTAATTTGAAAGTCCAAAATGCTCCAATGAGCATTTTCCTTGAGCATTTTTTTTGGTGGTCAAAAAGCTTCAAATTCTGGGGCATTTTCAGATTTTGAATTTTTGCATTTGGGATGCTCAACCTTGGTTCACCACTAGTTGGTTAGCCTGCTCTGTCCAGCTGTGTCAAATTACAACCTCAGAAGCTTTTTCCACACATCATTCTAAGTAGCCACTACCCACTGACTGGAGATGCATCCTGAGTTTGCAAAAGCATCTCTGTTACCTCTGTACCCATTTCCGAGGTAGGCAAAATCCCAAAGAATGAAACATGCCTATGGCACCTGGGTGGGTTCACAGGTAGGGTGGTCAGATTTAACAAATGCAAATACAAGGCTGGGCACAGTGGCTCATGCCTATAATCCTGGAACTTTGGGAGGCCAAGGCGGGCAGGTCACTTGAGGCCAGGAGTTCGAGACCAGCCTGGCCAACATGGTGAAACCCCTGTCTCTACTAAAAATACAAAACTTAGCTTGCCATGGTGGTGTGTGCCTGTGGTCCCAGCTACTCAGGAGGCTAAGGAAGAAGAATTGCTTGAACCCGGGAGGCGGAGGTTGCAGTGAGCCAAGATCACACCATTGCACTCCAGCCTGGGCGACAAAAATAAACAGACAAACAACAACCACCACCAAACCAGGATGCCCAGTAAAATTTGATTTTCAGATAAACAGCGAATAATTTTTAAGCATAATTATGTCTCATATATGGTATTGGGCATACTTACACTAAGAAGTTATTCATTGTTTATCTGAAACTCAAATTTAACTTGAGGTCTTGCATTTTATCTGGCAACCCTATTCCTGGGTGACCAGAAAATTGACTGCTTGTCCTTCAGGTGCTAAGAATATAACTTCTAGAAAGGAATCAGTTCTAGGAAGAGTGTTTTCCTGTCTCTGCTCTGCAATCTAGAAAATGGGGAGAGTGAGTGATCCCAGGTCTGAAATTCTGGAACATTGGGGGAGACCCAAACCTGGGCTTCTGAAGCTGCTGTTTCAGGAAGTCTCCAACAGTCTTGTCCTTGGTGTTGTAGTTGATGGTCCAGTAGATACAGAGCTGGCGATACTGGGTGACCAGCTCCAGGACCGTGCGGAAGCCCTCAGCCATGTTGAACTGGGGGTCCTTCCCGCCCTGCTCCCAGGCGTACACAGTCAGGAGTTCCAGCCCATGCTTTGGGGGTAGGGAGCCTCTCCCCTCGGAGATCTTGTGACACTGGAGAACGAGGACAAAGATGTGTTGGTTTATATTGGCACTGATGAGGTACAGAAGGGACTATTCTGGACTTGACAAAGCAACCCCAAAACTTTTATTGAGCACTACATGTGCCAGATGCCTTGCTATGCATTATCCCATCATATCCTGCAACATAGTTTTATCACCCCCATCTTACAGATAAGAAAACTAAGGTCCCACAGCTGAGATATAGCACTGTTTCTGCTCTGCTCCACCAACCCAGGTTCCTGGCCAGGGCTGGGCCCTGCCTCCTCCCAGGAAAGTGCTCCAGAGGCAGAGCCTGGGGCTGCTGGGGAAGGTGGCCCATCCATGTGCCGAACCTGCTGGTACCAGTGCTTCACCAGACGGATCAGGCTCTTCAGCTTGGTAGGGCGAGAGATGATGAAGTCCCGCTGTAGCTCTGTGAAGCAGGTGGAGTACTCGCCTGCATTGCTGTAGCTGTGGATGAGGTTGACGTAGACTTGAGAGCTGGGCCTGGAGCCAGAGACCAGCTGGCCTGGAGGTGGGGAGACGGTTACCATCGCTCTGGTCCCCACGGTGTCCCAATGGGGCCAACTTAGAAAGGACTTCTGAGATCTCCTACCTCTTGGGTGTTTTCCTAAGGGTGGTCTGGGATCCACTGGGAGGCCACAGGGTGTTTTTAGGTGGAACACAGATGTGGCATGACCCACGTTAAATCCCTGGTGACAGTCTTACTCCCTTTTCTGCTCCCTTTCAAACCATCTGCTTACCTGTCTTGGAAAAAGTCTCAGCTGGGAGCTAGTCTGTCTTTAACACCTCTCTAATACTTGCTTATCTTTCTCTCTAACTGGGGGAGGGGAGGCCTCAGTCTTACAACCTCCTGCAAGTAACAGAGCTACGTATGGAGTTGACATCACCATTCTGGTTACATTGCACTTAAAGGCATTCCTTAATATCCAAATTCTCGCTCTCTGAACTGAGGAACTGAATAGATTCAGATACATTTCTGGGCTGGGTGCAGTGGCTTACGTCTGTAATCCCAGCACTCTGGAAGGCCACTGCAGGAGGATCATATGAAGCCAGGAGTTTCAGATCAGCCTGGGCAACTTAGTGAGATCTCCATCTCTACAAAAAATTCTATAAATTAACCAGGCGTAGTGGTATGCACCTGTAGTCCCAGCTTCTCAGGAGGCTAGGGCGGGAGGATCACTTGAGCCCAGGAGTTCGAAGCTGCATTGAGTCATGATCATCCCACTGCACTCCAGGCTGGGTGATAAAGTAAGACCCTGTCTCTTAAAACAAAATTCTGCATGAATCCCTCCCTTGGCTACCTGCTCCCTCAAACTCAGAAACTAAATCAATTCAGATACAAGGGATTTTCTCACTCTGAAAACTGCTAACCAAACTGAGAGTTGAAGAGATATGAAGAGAGTTGTGTCTATTTTGTTCAAGGCTTTATTTCTGGTCCCTGGAAGAGCACTGGGCACAGAGTAGATGCATGTATTGAATGAACTGAATGAACAGATCTGCAGCAGGTGGAGGAGGTGGACGGCACACAAACCACTCAAAGCTTGGAATGTGCAAGAAACATCAGTGTCCTTACTGTCAGATGTGAGATAAAGACACTGGGGCTCAGGATGGGGAAGCCCCTTGTTCAAGGTCATCCAGCATATTGGTGGAATTGCTGGGACTAGAACCCAGCTTGAGGCCACTGTTAGCCCACAGAGTGCCTGTGCAAATTAGAAAAAGGTACTCTCTTCTTTAGATACTTTGCAGGAAAGTTGTGATGAACATACACAACTACAGTGCCTGCAATGATGGGAACAGATGTGGCCTGGTTGTGCGCTGTGCAGCCTCTACAACTGTGCATGGCAGGCCTGCCTCTGTATTTTCCCCTCTCAGGTCTATGCCAGGGCACCTCACCTAGGGCGTCAAAGGCTGGCAGCACGTCAAAGTCCACACTCTGGTCCAGCATCGTCTGGGATGTCAGTGAGAAGCTCAGCACACGGGGATTCTCCCATTTGGAGACTTCAAACTTGACCTCGAACTGCTGCTCCCGTTGACATGCCTCAAGCTGGGCTCGAATCTCGGATATAATCTCGGCCCGCTTGTTCCCCTGCTCGGTGAACTGGCTGAAGCAGCTGAGGAACACCACGAGGTCGGCGTCTGAGCGGCCTCGCAGAGCTGTGCCTTTGGCTGAAGAGCCACCCTGGAGAGGACATGGCAGGTGGCTCAACCCTTGAAGCATGGCTTGGCATCCTTTTGCCTGTGGGTTCTGTACTATGAGTTAGAAAACCTACTGTGTGACTTTTGACAAGTCACCTAACCTCTCTGTTACATCTTTAATCTGGTATGACTGTAAGAAAAAGAAGCATGCAGGAGGTAAGTTTAAACCCTTCAACAAATGCAAAATTTCTCACTCCATCATGTTTTGTGACTGGAGAGGATTTGAGAAGTGTTTTGTTTGTTGGTTGTTTTTTTGGGCCGGAAGCTCCCAAGGCTGTCTGTACCTGGAAGGCTTTTACAAATGACCAACGGCTGGCTCCCACCCCACAGGACTGTGATTTAAGTTTTCCTGGGTTGGGGCTTGGGCATCAGCATATTTTTTAAAAACTGTGATTCCAAGGTCAAGCCAGGGAAGCCAGGGTTGAGAACCAGTGAGCCAAGGCACTCTCCTCAAGTGTTAGAAATCAGGAAGGTGAGGATCAGAGAAGGGAAGGTGCATGCCTATGGTCACACAGCAAACCAGCATCCCTGGCACTGTTCACTGGTTGACTTTATGCTAACACTCTTTCTGAGCCAATCTGGGTCTCACTTGTCTCTCCAACTGTGGACTAAGGCTGTATCCAGTGCCGTGGACAGTGTGACCTTTTGTACACCCCCAGTGTCCTTTCCACCTGGGATCAGCATCCTGGTGTTCTATGGAGGGACCACCCCTACCCCACACTCAGCCCATGAGGTCTAGGCGGGGGCCACTTCACCGTGTGACCCGGTCTTGGCCATCCAGAGCATCATGTCTCCCTAGCCCCGGTAATTAGTTTGGGGGTTGATAAGTTACCCAAGGCAGGCCAATGAGACTCAATTCCAAGACTTTTATTTGAATTTTAAGAAAAAACAAATTCCCCTTTCTGGAAGCTTAGAGCTGCCAAAGAGCACCATATGTTAAGGGCCTATCCAAGACATTAAAAAGCAAAACCAAGAACTGGAGAGAAAAACTGAGTCCTGAGGATGCTGCCTGGTCTCCCGTATCTAGCTATGCCTGTAAGCAGCCCTACCCCCAGACTTTCCAGTTACATCAGTCAGTACATTCCTTTGCTGCCTCTTTCGAGTTGGGTGTCACTAGCAACCAAAAAGGACTTGTTGGACATATCTGGGCCCTCTCTCTGCCATCCCCCCATGATCACTTTCTGGCTCTTTCTCTATGCCTGGCTTTTTGCTGGTTGCTACGAGGGCGGAAGTGGGTCAGGCCTGGCCCTGGGCTGGGAGAGATCACCAGCTTGCAGGACATTGCTTGCCTACAGCTCTCTGAGGACTCACCTTGACCACCTTGATCACTTTGATGGGAGAATTCCGGAAGCAGTTTTCCTTCAAAAATGAACAGATGGTATCAACAGCCTTGTTCACCTGGGCCAGGAACTGGCGGTTGGGCTGGAGAAATTCACTGATGAATTTGTCGAGGTCTCCAGCTGGGGTTTGGTAAAGGAGGGCTGGCTGCAGAGAGAATCCAGGCAGGGCCAGCTTGAGACGGGACTCCCAGTGCTCACCCAAGCCCTGCCCCTTGATGTCCTCTGAGGACAAGACTCCCACTGTCTCCCATGTCCCTCTTTCCTTCTCCTGGTGGGTAGGTTCTGAGGTAGCATCAGAAGGACCTGAGATTGAATTTTGGTTCTAGCATCAATCCACAGTCTCAGTTTCCCCATGTTTAAATGAGTGCAATAATGAAGCCCGAGTCTCAATGGATTGTCTTGAGTATTAAACACTGGGTATGAGACCCTGCTGCAAAATAGTAAAAGTGATAAAATCATGTCCTTTTGGGAGCTGCAAGTGGCTTATGTCTCAGTTTTCCTAGAAGCAGGGCCCACGGTGGGAATTCTTGTGGATATGATTAATTGGGGCAGTGCTTGGAGGAGAAGTGGAACAAGGGCAGCAGCAGAGGGTGGAGAAGAGTCTCAGCAAAGCTGGGTGCTCAGCCAGAGACAAGTGTTTGCCTGATCCCACAGGGAGCGCTGGACCGTGAATTGTATCAGAGTCGGTTCCGCCTGGAGACAAAGTTGGGCCTTTTGTAACCCCGTGTCACTCAGGCACTGGCTGGGACATAGCAATCTGTGCACTTCACGGAAGGCAAGTCTCCAGAGAAGGGGTGGCTATGAGTTGTCAGCAGCCAACACGCCTAGCAGCGGGGGATGGGTGCGCCGGCAGGTTAAGGGAACCTGACTAGAAGGCAGGTGCAGGGCCCTCTGCCCCCAGGACCCTCCGTCTTACCATCACATCCCAGGGCGGCATAGATGTCCCATCTCTACTCAGAAAGCAGGCCTGCATCCCCAGCACTGCTGCTTCCTGGGCCAACAGCTCCCAGCTACCCTGGCCCACGTTCCAGGTGGGATCAGCAGGGTCCAGGACCAGAGGTCTGGGGGCACAGCAAGAGGGTGGGTGGGGAAGGTGGGAGTCAGTGAAAGAGGAGGTGGGTGGAAGGGCTGAAAAGGGGTGTGAGGGCTGGAAAGAGTGTCAGGACCTCAGGGTTGGCTCAGTCTTGCCCACATGCAGAAGCAGTCTCAATTGGCTGCCTTGGTTGGAAAGCTATTGGGTGGCCCCTTCAACCGAGAAATACTATTTTATCATGCTAATAAAACTGGCCCTGGTTTCTTTTGGGACTCCTTATGTCCACATTTCCTCAGCAAAGAGTCCAGAGGGAAGCAGAGTGAGGAGCGGGATTCCCACCCCAAACCCTACCTTGGACCCCTCCTGGATGACTGACTCCAGGGTGACGGTGGGGAGGAGAAGCGTAATTAAGCCCGGCAAAGGGAAGCGGGTCTTCACCTGGGTTTTCGAAGCTGGCCAAGAAGGTGCATTCTCATGGCTGGGTCCTCAGTGCTGTAGTTGACCGTCCAGTAGACACAGAGCTGCTGATGCTGCTGCACGAGCCCTAGCACTGTCCGGAAGCCTTGGGCCATGTCGAAACAGTCCTTCCCGCAGCCCTGCTCCCAGGCGAAGATGGTGAGGAGCTCCAGGGCATAGGCTGGGGGCAGAGAGGCAGGGGCTGGCCGTTTTCTTTTGTTCTGAGCCGCAACCTGTGTCACCCAAGGCCAAGATGAGTGATTAGTGGATGTGAGCTGAGTATGGCCATAAGCACTTGGGGCAGGAAGGGAATATAGAAAACAGAAGTGCAGAAAGAATAGAAACTTGCTGATGCTTCTCATTTTACAGGTGGGTAAACTGAAATTCAGAGGAGGGTAGTGACTTGTCTAAGGTCATACAGTGAGACTGAGAGCTCAGATGTGGCTTTTGCCCAGTGTCTCCCCTCAAGGAATTTGGAAATTTGAAACATCTTGAGTGTGTAACTCTAATTGAAGATGGAAGCATTGACGAATCCATCCATCACCAGCCTTTAGGAATATTTTAACATTAATCACATAACATAGGGTGGTTGTACAGGAATAGAGGCTGCAATGTATCCATCTTGGTATCCCAGTGTCCATCACAAGAGTTAGTAATAGCAGGTGCTCGATAGATGTTTGTTGAATATAGGGATGCATGAATGCAAGTCAGAATTCAGAGAAGTATTTAGTAAGGGAACTCCAAAGGATGCTCAGAATTTAGTGCAACTCAAAAGAGGCAGCAAGGCTGGGGCGCGGTGGCTCACACCTGTAATTCTAGCACTTTGGGAGGTCAAGGTGGGTGGATTACTTGAGCTCAGAAGTTAGAGACTAACCTGGGCAACATGGTAAGACTCCTGTCTCTACAAAAAGTACAAAAGTCAGCCAAGTGTAGTAGTGCATGCCTGTAGTCTTAGCTACTTGGGGGGCTGAGGCAGGAGGATTGCTTGAGCCCAGAAGGTTGAGGCTGCAGTGAGCTGTAATAGAGCCACTGCACTCCAGCGTGGGTGACAAAGTGAGACCCTTTCTCAAAAAAAAAAAAAAAAAAAAAAGAAAAAAAAGAAAAGAAGAAAAAAAAGGCTGTGAAAGATTGTATTGGCTGATGTAACCCAAAAGCCCTGGAGTAGGCACAGGTTGATCCAGGAGCCCATAAGGAGTCATCAGCTTTTCTGTTCAGATCTTTTCTGTTCAAGTGCTCTGGTTTTTCTGTCTTGGACAGGTCCTTACCATATGGTGGTCACTGCCAGCTCTAGGCTTCCAGAAAGCGGAGTTTTCTTTTCCAAAAATAGAGATGTGGTGGGAGTAACATAAGCAAAAGTTTGGAGGTGGGAGAAAATCAGATAAAACATTTGCAGTGTCAAAAGAGAGAAGTGGATGGGCTAAAGAGGGACAGTGAACCCCAGGTACAAGAAATGAGGACTTTAGAGTTGACGGAGAAAAGATTTTTTCTAACAGTGACTTCCAGATCTGGGCAGGAAATGGAGGATGGAGGAGGCCGGTCCTTTTGCTTTGGATGAGGCCGGGGGCGGTGGCTCAAGCCTGTAATCCCAGCACTTTGGGAGGCCGAGACGGGCAGATCACGAGGTCAGGAGATCGAGACCATCCTGGCTAACACGGTGAAACTCCGTCTCTACTAAAAAATACAAAAAAACTAGCCGGGCAAGGTGGCGGGCGCCTGCAGTCCCAGCTACTCAGGAGGCTGAGGCAGGAGAATGGCATAAACCCGGGAGGCGGAGCTTGCAGTGAGCCGAGATCCGGCCGCTGCACTCCAGCCTGGGCGACAGAGCGAGACTCCGTCTCAAAAAAAAAAAAAAAAAAAAAAAGAAGCCAAGGAGGGGAGACGTGGGTGTTGGGGAGGAACTGATTGGCTGGGGTGGTTGCCATGACAGCGGCGGCTTCCTGGGAGGAGCCAGGGGCAACTCACCTGGCGGTACCAGTGCTTCACCAGCAGAATCAGGTTCTTCAACTTGGCGGGGCGAATGTTCACGAAGTTCCTCCGCAGCTCTGCAAAGCAGGCCTTATGTTCGCCCTCCTGGCAGCCACTGCTGAGGAGCCTCGAGTAGACCTGGGGATTTGGTTTGGTGCCAGAACTGAGCTGCCCTGTAGAAGTTTGAAACACCCTGAGTGTGCAACTCCAATCGCAGACAGCAGCATTTACCAACCCATCCATTCACCAGCCTTTATGAATATTCTAACATTAATCACCTAACATTGCAATCAGTAATACACTATAATATTGCATAACAATCAGAGCTATCATTTTTTTCAGTATCAATTCTGTACTGGATGCTTTTTAATAATTTTTGCTAATCCATCCAGTAACTGCACGGTGGATAATCTTCTGTTTATTTATTTTTTTAAAAATTTTCCCTGAAAGCTGAAAGATGGATAATCTTGACCCAGAAAAGCTGTGTCACATAGTGGTTAAAGGAGTGAGCTTTGGAGACAGATAAGCCTGGGTTCAAATCCAAGCTGTGTGATTTTTACCTCTTTGGGTATAGTTTCCTCATCTGTAAAAGGGGGATCATAAATAACACCTGTCCTTCTAAGGTTATTGTAAGAATCAATTGAAATCTACATGTGAAGTGCTTAGAACAGTGTAGAATCATGTGCTCAATAAGCAGTAATTATTGCTATTATTAACGTTATCTTCCAGAAGAAGAAAAACAAGACAAAGAGAGGAAGCTACAATTGAGTCTCATCCCTCACTTTGGTAAGGCTGGCCTCTAAAATAAATGCCTTCTTCATGAAAAGTGACTGCAAAAGGTTATCCACTGGCAGAGAGGGGCTTTAAGGAAGCTTGCTGCTAGGGCTCTGGGGGGGCGGGAAAGAAAATCCCCTGTGAGAAACTGGGACCCCCATCCTGTGCTAGATGTGGATGTGAAGTCCAAATGTACAGTATCTGCATGGCGAGGAAAAAAAAAAAAAAAAGAGAGAGAGAGAGATGAAAAGCCATGGAGGATGAGATAAGAAACTATCTAACAGGAGTTCTAGAAGTAGAGAATAGAGAAAATAGGGGAGAGGCAGTATTCGAAGAGCTATTGGAAGACATCTCCCTAAAACTAAAGGAAGAATTGAGCTCTCAGATTCAGGAGGGACAGCACGTTTCAAAGAGGACACATTAAAAAAAAATCCATACACAGATACATCAAAGAGAAGCTGAAGAATACTATGAACCAAGAGAAAGTCTTAAAAGACAACAAAAGGGAAATCAAAACAAAATGAACAAACAAAAAAACCACGCACACAAACAAAAAAACAGATCGTTAACAACAAAAAATCAACAACTGACAGACTTCTCATCAGCAGCAACAGGTAAGAAGACAGCAGAACTAAGGAAAACAAGTGTCAAGCATCCCATTCAAGCATGGAGGTAAAACAGAAACGGCTTTAGACAAAGTCTGAGAAAAATTTGTCACTCATAAACCCTTTCTGAAAAAGTACTAAAAGATGTATTTCTGTAAGAAGGAAAATGAATCCAGAAGGAAGAACTGGACATCAAGTAGCAATGGTGAAAAAATTTGTTAATTATATTAATAGGTTTTAATTTGCACAGACTGTGAAAACAAAAACACAAGAAACAGTCTCCCCTATTATTAGTGACTGGTAGTTTAGTTCCAAGATACTATTAAACCCGTGTAAATTATTATATCATTGTTGCTTGTTTCATTTTTGTCTTTTAGCTTTGTGCTGCCTATAAAGGGTACAATTTAATAACACATACTAGGAAATAAAGAGTGGAGAGGGTACATCAGGAAAATGCTGACAAAAGAGGACTGCGGCTCTGTTAATATCAGACAAAAGGCTTTAAGACAAAGATAACGTTTAGAAGTAATGAAGATTATTACTTAATGATAAAAAGTACAATCCAATAAAGTATAATAATTATGTGCGTATATGTTCTCAATAACATAGCCTCAAAATATTAGAAGCAAAACTTATTGCAAGGAACAATGGATAAGTCTCCATTCTGAGTAGATTTTAAGATATCTCGCTCAGAAATTGAGAGACTAAACAAAAAATTATCTGAGCAAAAGGTCATAAGCTAGATCTAAAGAACCTATATAGAAGTCTGCATTCAGCAATGAAAGCATGCGATCTTTTTTCTTTTTTTTTTTTTTTTTGAGATGGAGTCTCACTCTGTCTCTCAGGCTGGAGTGCAGTGGTACAATCTCAGCTCACTGCAACCTCCACCTCCCAGGTTCAAGTAATTTTCCTGCCTCAGTCTCCCGAGTAGCTGGGATTACAGGTGCATGCCATCACGCCAGGCTTTTTTTTTTTTTTTTTTTTTTGTATTTTTAGTGGAGACAGGGTTTCACTATGGCCAGGCTGGTCTCAAACTCCTGAACTCAAGTGACCCACCCGCCTTGGCCTCCCAAATTGCTGGGATTACAGGTGTGATCCACCACGTCTGGCTGGAAAGCATGCATTCTTTTCAACCATGGGCAACCTAAGAAATGCCAACAAATTCCAAATAATTGATATCACATAAAGTATGTTTTCTGACTACAGTTTTAAAAAAGATAATAAGTAAATGTCAAAAGCAAACAAAACTCCAAAACATTCATTTGGAAAGCTACTTCCAAATATTCATGGAAGAAACAACAAACAATGATGTCATAATTAAAAGTACAAAATATTTAGACCGGAGTGAGGATAAAAATTATACATGTCAAACAAAAGATTTACCCTGTAGCTAAAGTGGTACTGAAAGGGAAATCGGTAGCTTTAATTGCGTTGACTAAAACTGACAATTACTAAGCTAAGATTCACCTCCAAAAGTTAAAAAAAAAAAGAACCATAAAGTAAACCCTTTAAAATAAGGAAGAAAATTGTAACATGAGAAATTTCTTTAAAAAAAATACCAAGCAGATATGCCTACTGTTAGCATTTTTTAAATCTGAATTGGGGTACATGGGTGTGTGATGTCTGTCGTTTTCTGTATGCTTGAAACGTTTCATAATTAAAATCTTTGTAAAGTTAAAGCACTAAATAGTTGTAAGATTTGATGGTGATGATTACTTTCAGTATCTCAAAGTCATTTTCAGTGCTTGGTCAAGTAGGAGAATTATGATCACAAAGAGGAGGCAGGCACCCCAGTTAGACGGGGACCTGAGGTCCCTATCGTTCTCCAAGGGACACGCTGGACGCCCTCACCCAGAGCATCAAAGGCAGGCAGCAGGCTAACATCTGTCCATCTCTTCGGGGCCGTCGACACCAGCTGGAACTGCAGAGCCTCAGGCACATTCTGCTGAGGAAACTGAAGGCTCAGGCCAGGGACCTGGCCCTGCCACCAGGATTCTAGCTGCGCTCGCATCTCATCGAGGATCTCTGCGCGGCGGGGCCCCTGGTCCTTGTAGTCCGTGAAGCAGTTGAGGAAGATGACGAGTTCAACATCACAGCCATCCCTTAGGTCTGTGCCCCGGCCAAATGATCCCCCCTGGGGAGGGAAGTACAGCTCAGACCAGGGAACTTCTAGGAGCCTAGGAGTCAGACTATGATCCCATCACCTGCGCCCCATCTACAGCCTGGAACCTGCCCTCTTGCTGATGTCAGGTCTGGGCACTATGACAGAGGCCGACTGCATGGGTCCTGTGAGCTCTTAGAATTGTGACAGAGAGTCAAGTTGTAACTGCCTGCACCTGCCCTCTGATCCATGAAGCCTGAGCTAAGTCAGGCCAGTCTGCAGCAACAGATAATGGAGGTGGGGCTGAGTAGGGGCAGCGACCAAACATTTTAGCCTACTCTCTGCAGCGCCTACTGACTGCACATCTGGGCCAGCAGTTGCAAATTGAGGTCCCAAGGCGAAATAGGGCCTGCAGTTGTGCTCTGTTGCCCTGTTTCCATCAATTCCCTCCCTCCCTCCCTCTCTTCTTCTTTCCTTCCTCCAACAAACATTTAGTGAGCTCTTACATGTAATGTGATACCACACGGGATATCACACATATCCCAGTACATGTCAGTGCTCACTAAATGTTTGTTGCAGGAAGGAAAGAAGAGGAGAGGATACAAAATTTCTGTTCTCCTGAAACTTACATGTTGGCTGGGGGAGAAAAGGAAAAATGCTAAGCACTGAAAGGGGGCTGGTAGTGCAAGACTGCAATTTTATTTTTATTTATTTATTTTTATTTTTAAGATGGAGTTTCACTCTTGTCACCTAGGCTGGAGTGCAGTGACACGGTCTCAGCTCACTGCAACCTCTGCCTCCCGGGTTCAAGCGATTTTCCTGCCTCAGCCTCCCGAGTAGCTGGGATTACAGGGGCCCGTCACCATGCCCGGCTAATTTTTGTATTTTTAGTAGAGACAGGGTTTCACCATGTTGGCCAGGGTGGTCTCGAACTCCTGACCTCAGGTGATCCACCCACCTTGACCTCACAAAATGCTAGGATTACAGGCGTGACCCACCGTGCCCGGGCAAGACTGCAATTTTAAATTGCGTGGTCAGGCCTCAGTGGAAGAGGACGTCGGATCAAGAACCTTGAAGAGGAGAAAGAGAGAGAGAGAGAGACAAATGGATGGGGAAGAGAAAGCCACTACAGAGGCCTTGAATGGGCCTGTGAACCTGGTAAGCTCAGAGCAGCCAGGAGGCCAGTGTGGAGTAAGTCAAGGCCAGAGGGAGACCAGGGCCCACCCTACAGGACTTGCGGCCTCTGCACACTGTGAAACCATGGAGAATTTTGAGCTGAGGAGGCAAGTGATCTGATTCTTGTAATAGTGTTTTAAAAATTGTATCATTAAAAAATGAAAATCTAAGCTGGCACTTACATATATTTTATTTAAGCCAGCAAATCATCCTTCCCGGGCCATGCAGTTCCCCAGCCCGACCTCAGCTCCATTGCTGTAACTCCTTCCCTTTCCCACGCTGACCCCTCGAGAGGGTCCCCCCGTGTCTCCACTGGCCCAACTCACTTTGCTGACTCTTGAGACCTTGTGAACACAGTTCTCACGGAGGCGGCGCAAGATGATATCGATGGCCTTTTTCACCTGCTCCTGGAACCGGGGGCTCGGCTTTAGGTGGTCCTGGATGAAGCGGTCCAGCTCCTTGGTGGGGATCTGAGACAGGTCCAAGGCCATTCCCGGCACAGAGGGGGCGACGCTGGCTGCCCCAGCGGGGCCGGGAGCTGGGCATGAAGGTGCTTTGCTCCCTGCTCTTGGGGATACAGCATCGAGGCTCTTGCTGTTTTCAGGGGTCTTCTGGTTAGGGTTTAGCTGGATGGGGTGGCCCAAACCTGAGCATCTGGCACGTGGAAGGCCCTGGAAGGTCGTTGAAGGAGCTGCCTCAGCCAGGTGCAGAGGTTTCTGCATCAACCCAGTGCCTTCTCTCCCCAGCTCCCGCCTTTTGCACAGTCAGGGTGACTGAGGCTTAGAGAGGGGAAGTGGGAGGGCCGCAGCTAACCCACCTGGCATCTTTGGGCAGAGTTGAAAAAGGTGCCTTTCTGAAGGGACAAACTGCAAAATGGGTGCCCTTGTTATGGGCAGAAAGGCCTGGTAAGCAGACCATAGGTGCAGAAAAACAAAGGGCTCCTTCCCCCGGCAGTTTCAGCTTGAGCTTCGTGATAAGACCGTTTTACATGCCTGCTGCCCTGTGAATTTTCATTTATTTATTTATTTATTTATTTATTTATTTATTTATTTATTTTTTGAGATGGAGTCTTACTCTGTCGCCCAGCCTGGAGTGCAAAGGAGTGATCACGGCTTATTGCAACCTCTGCCTCCCTGGTTCAAGCAATTCTCCTGCCTCAGCCCCTCGAGTAGCTGGGATTACAAGCACCCACCACCATGCCTGGCTAATTTTTGTATTTTTAGTAGAGACGAGGTTTCACCATGTTGTCCAGGCTGGTCTCGAACTCCTGACCTCAGGTAATCTGCCCACCTCAGCCTCCCAATGTGTTGAGATTACAGGCATGAGCCACCGCGCCCAGCCACCCCTGCTTTTAAAAGCCTGTTCTACACCATATGGCACATAGTAGATGCTCAGGAAACATTGGACACATAAACAAAGTGCAAAACCCAAGGGTCCTGGGACCCCCTCACTTACCGGCACCTGCCAAGGCTGCACTGGATCCCCCATCCCGTTCAGAAAGCATGGGTGGTCACAGCAGGATGCTGCCTCCTGGGCTAGCAAATCCCAGTGCCAGGCTGCCCCATTTCCCAGGTCCCATGTGGGGTCGGCTGGGTCCAGGATCACAGGCCTGCAATTTCAAAGAGACAAGAAAGTTCTGGTTAGCAAGAGGGCTCTAGAGTGAAACGGACCTGGTTCCAATCGCATCTCTGCTACTTTCCAGCTGTGTGACCTGGGACAAATGATTTACCTTCTCTGAACTTCAATTTCCTCGTCTGCAAAATGAGGATAACAACATTGCCTGCTTATCATTGTCAATCTTGGCTGCACGTTGGAATCACAAGACACCAGGATCCACTCTCAAGGGCTCTTGAGTTACATCCTACAATTCAGCAATTTCATTCCTAGGTATATTTCCAACAGATATGCATATGCACCAAAAAAACATGTCCAGAAATGTTTATAATGGCCCTATTTGTAATAACTCCAAGTTGAAAGAACTCAAATGCCCATCATCAGTAGAATGGACAACGTATTTTGATAAATTCACACAATGGAACACTATACAGCAACAAAAAAGAATGATCCACAACTGTATAGCTGAATCTCCAAGACTTAATCTTGAGAACAGAACAAGAAGCCAGACACAAAAGTACATGTGGCATGATTCCATTTAAATAAGATTTAAGAAAAGGCACCACTGTAATCTTAAAAGTGTACGTGGGGTTATTTTGGAAGGTTACTGACTGAGAGGGGACCAGCGAGGTGCTGGAAATATTCTACCATGATCTGGGTGATGGTTTCAAAGTATGCAGTCTTCACATATTCATCAGAACATGCACTTTCTGCTATACATCAGCAAAACATTCACACATAAAACATGTGGGGTCAGGCACTGGTATATTTTTTAAAACTCCCCCAGGTAATTCTAATGTGCATCTGGGCTGAATCCAGTGAATTAAAACATGTACATGCAGCATTTTGCTTTGGCCTACACCCAAGCACTCAGTAGATGTGACCGATTTTATCCTTGTTAATTATCTCCCCCTGGCCCCAGGACAGGAGAACAGGTATTATTAGGAGGTACCTGGGTCTCTCAAGCTGCCGCTGCAAGAACTGCCCAACTGCAGGGTCCTCGAAGCCATAGTTGACAGTCCAGAAAACACACAGGTGCTGATGCTGTTGGATCAGGTCCAGGACAGTCCGGAGGCCTTCGGCCAGGCTGAAAGCATCCTTCTTACAGCCTTGCTCCCAGGCGAAGATGGTCAGCAATTCCAGAGCATAGACCGGGGGCAGCGTCTCCTCCCACAACCCCTGTAGGCACACCTGTGAGAGGGCATGGCAGGGGACTCAGAAGGATGAAGGAGAGGAAGGAGAGCCAGCTCTCTGCAGAACCAGACTGGGGACCTTCCAGGCTGAGCCTGAGACAAGATGCTGTGTTCCAAGCCTGTTCCAAGAACAAGTGGCATTTCTCACCAGCCCTCACTGGTAGCTTCAGCAAAGTGGTTGGCTCGTATGACGGGGGAGTGGTGGGAGGGAGGGGTGTAAGTTTCAAGTCCCAAGGAGGCAGGGAGCAGTCAGAGAGAAGCCAAGGGTAGTCTCAAATTGCTACCTATCCTCAAATAAAGGTGAAGCAGATCTGGGGTCCCAGTTCCGTGGATGGTTGGAGAAGGGTACCAAGTTGTTGCCCTTTCACCCCTGGAGTGGGGTGGGGCAGCGGGCCAGGACTCTGTCCTTCCCTCCTCACTCCAGCTGTCTATCCCCCATCCCCAAATGCATGATTTCTATTTGTGAACCATACACTTGGGATCTCCATGTACCAGGGAGGAATTACTCCATGCCAAGGCAAGAATCCCAGGCCTCTGAGTAACTCCAGAGGGGATGCTTCAGCTTGCCAGAAGGTGACCCACCTGACTAGAAGCACCCAGCATCTCCACATTCCCTCCACTCACGCCCTCTCTTTGGGGGGATAAACACACCTGGGTGCACATGTGTACCCACCACCCAGATCAAGATAGAATTTCTAATGCCCAACCAAGCTGGCTCCACAGTTGTATTAATTAATTATTTAATTTATAGACAGAGTATTGCTCTGTTGCCCAGGCTGAAGTGCAGTGGCTCAATCATAGGTCACTGCAGCCTTGAACTCCTGGGCTCAAGTGATCTTCCCACCTCAGCCTCCTGCATAGAGAGGACCACAGGCATGAGCCACCATATCCAGCAGTTTGCCCCTTTAAGAAGTACCAGGCTATTAGCATTTTCTGCCCCTGGAGAATCCTATGTGGAAAGAACCTGAGTAAGATTTACCAACGCATATATTTATTTATGTGCAAGTGGAGGAAACAGAGGCCCAGAGAAGGCTAGGAACTTGTCCAGGATCACACAGCAAGAAGATGGCTGAGCCAGAATTGGAATCCAGAATCTCCTAGATAGACTGCTTATGATGACTGGTCCATCAGAATGACCAAGCCATGTGCTGCAAGATTTTGGGGGAGCTTGTTCCCCCATCTCCAGGCATAGACTTGGCACACTTTCCCCAGTGCATAAGAGTCTGGCAACAAACATGAACAGAGCCAGGGAGCATCCCTGAGGCCGGGGAGGGAGGTGTACCACCTCCACATTTCCTCATACCATACCAGACAGGCCAAAGTCCTGAATATGAACAGAAATACAATGGGAAACAATACGATGGCAGGAAATATGAAAGAGTCATTTTACAAAGTCAGGATAGGGAAAGACCTCTTTTTTTTTTTTTCTTGAGATGGAGTCTGGCTCTGTCACCCAGACCGGAGTGCAGTGGTGCAATCTTGGCTTACTGCAACCTCTGCCTCCTGGGTTCTAGTGATTCTCCTGCCGCAGCCTTCCAAGTAACTGGAATTACAGGTGTGTGCCACTACGCCTGGCTACATTTTGTATTTTTAGTAGAGACAGGGTTTCACCATGTTGGCCAGGCTGGTCTTGAACTCCTGACCTCAAGTGATCCACCTGCCTCAGCCACTCAAAGTGCTGGGATTCCAGCCGTGAGCCACTGCACCTGGCAGGATAGAGAAAGACTTCTTAAGATACACTAAGAGGCCGGGCACGGTGGCTCAAGCCTGTAATCCCAGCACTTTGGGAGGCCGAGATGGGCGGACCACGAGGTCAGGAGATCGAGACCATCCTGGCTAACACGGTGAAACCCCATCTCTACTAAAAAATACAAAAAACTAGCCAGGTGAGGTGGCGGGCGCCTGTAGTCCCAGCTACTCGGGAGGCTGAGGCAGAAGAATGGCGTAAACCTGGGAGGCAGAGCTTGCAGTGAGCTGAGATCCAGCCACTGCACTCCAGCCTGGGTGACAGAGCCAGACTCCATCTCAAAAAAAAAAAAAAAAAAAAAAAAAGATACACTAAGAATAACTCATTTTTCAAAGGATATATCTGAGTACATTAAAATTTAAATATTTTGTCCTACAAATAACCTTTAAACAAAGCAAAAGCCCAAGTCACAGACTGGAAGAATACTGGAAGAATGCATTATATTAACTAAATAAGGATCAGTATCCACAATATATAAAAAGCTTCAACAAATCAATAACAAGACAGCTAACCCAGGAGAAAATAATGCACAAGGTACATAAACAGATAATTTCCAGAAAGAGAACATGAATGGCCACTAAATGTATGACAACAGTTTCACGACTATGGAAGTACAAAGCAAATAGTCACATGTCTGGAGCAACCCTCCCAAGGGGCTTCACCTGGTGGTACCAGTGCTTCACCAGCAAGATCAGGTTCTTCAACTTGGCTGGGCGAATGTTCACAAAGTCCCTCCGCAGTTCTGTGAAGCAGGCCGCATGCTCGCCCCCTTGGCAGCCACTGTTGAGGAGGGTAGAGTAGACTTGTGGCTTGGGTTTGACTCGAGAGCCGGCCTGACCTGTTGGTGTGAAGCACTGTGAGTTAGGAAGGGCACTGAGGACACAGGATGGAGGGCGGTGGGCAGCCCATAGGCTGAGGTGGAAGGATTGCTTGAACCCAGGATGGAGGTTGCCGATCTCGGCCTGGGGCACTGAGAGAGAATGGGAAGAATTTGGAGGGGAAGAAATCTGGCAACATGGGAGTCGGGGGACTGGGAAGAGAGCCCGGAGCTTTTCAGGAGTCTGGGAAGAAAAGTGGGCCTCCAGAATGCAGTGGGAGAGTCCCTCCCTCCCAAATGGCCAGGCAGTCCTTGGAGCAACAGCTCAAAGAAGAGCAGCTGCATTCTAAGATGGTTAAACAGGAAAGATACTTCCAGCTGAGTCAGCAGTACCTGCAGCCTGGCAGCTCTCTCCTCCCTCCGTGAGCCTTCCTCGAAACACCACTCTACATACCCTTAATTAAGAGGTGTCACGGAGAGGAAAATGATGCCCAAGCAATAAAAGGCAAAAAGCCCTGATCCTTTAGCAGTGGTTGTTGATATTTTTTACTATAGGCCTGGGGCTGTGGCTCACACCTGTAATCCCAGCACTTTGGGAGGCCGAGGTGGGCGGTTCACCCGAGGTCAGGAGTTCGAGACCAGCCTGGCCAACATCGTGAAACTCTCTCTCTACTAAAAATATACAAAAATTAGCCAGTCATGGTGGCACTCACCTGTAATCCCAGCTACTCCAGAGGCTGAAGCACGAGAATCGCTTGAACTCAAGAGGCTGAGGTTGCAGTGAGCTGAGATCATGCCACTGCACTCCAGCCTGAGGCACAGAGCGAGATCAGAAAAAAACAAAAACAAAAACAAAAAACTATCTATCTATCTATCTATCTATCTATCTGTCTATCTATATTTTACTGCATACTGGGCACTGGACTGAAGGTCTTTACATGTATCTCCACCACAACCCTATGAGGCAAGTACAGTTCTTCATCCCATTTGATAGCTGAGAAAGCTGAGGCACAGAGAAATTCCATGCTTTGCCCAAGGTTATACCGCCAGCATGCGATGGAGTCAGGATTTGAGCTCAGAGCCGGTGGACTTTACAGGATGCACCTTTTCCTCCACCACTCCCATGGGCATGACTTGGGAGAAGTAAACACTCTCCATAATTCCCTGAGGTTGCTGCTACCGCTTGCCTGCTGTGTGGCTTTGGGTGGGTCACTGTATGTCTCTGAGCCTCAGTTTCCCCATTGGTGAAACTGAAGCTGAAACAGTACAGACCTCATAGGTTTGTTATGAAGAACTGATGAGATAAAACATGTCAAGTTCTTGGAATAGTTAAGCATTTAATAAGTAGTAACCATTATGACTAATATATGTGTACCCAGCCTGGGTGTGGTGGCTCATGCCTGTAATCCTAGCACTTTAGGAGGCTGAGGCAGGTGGATTATTTGAGCCCAAAAGTTCAAGACCAGCCTACTGGTCTTGGTGAAACCCTATCTCTATTTAAAAAAAAAAAAAATTAGCCAGACATGGTGGTGCATGCCTGTAGTCCCAGCTACTTGGGAGGCTGAGGTGGGAGGATTGCTTGAACCCAAGATGGAGGTTGCAGTGAGCCAAGATCATGCCACTACACTCCAACCTGGGTGAGAATGAGACCCTGTCTTAAAAATGTGTGTGTGTGTGTGTGTGTGTGTGTGTACCTAGTAAGTGGATACACTAGGCATGGGGTACCAGGCATAGGGGATGTGGCTACCTGCCCAAAGGATAAAGCTATCCCCCAGATCATCAAGGTAAATAATGATAATAATAACAATAATAATAGAAACAACAACAATAATAGAAATAATAATAGCAAACACTCTTACAACCCTTACCACATGCTAGACATGTTTTTTTTTTTTTTTTTTTAAGAAGTCTTAGACAGATTGTAGGGGCAAAATCACAGCCCCCTGCAGCCTCCACTGCCTGGGCTCAAACAATCCTCCCACCTCAGCCTCCCCAGTAGCTGGGACCACAGGGAGGCATGCACTACTACACCTGGCTATTTTTTAAATTATTATTATTTGTAGAGACTAGAGCTTGCTGTTTTGCCAAGGCTGATCTTGAACTCCTGGGCTCAAGCAATCCTCTCATCTTGGCCTCCCAAAGCTGGGATTACAGGCACGAGCCACTGCGCCTGGTCCACTAGGCACACTTCTATGTTTGATTACATATATTAATGCATTTAATTCTTCTGACAACTCGATAAGATTACTAATATCCCCATTGGTATTATCCTCATTTTACAGATGAGGACACAAAGACATATTTTTATCTTAACTCAAGCACAGGTATATTACGAAGAATGCAAAAATCACATTAATGTTTTCAAGATAAAATACAAGATTTTGCAGAAATCTGGTTTTGTCCCCAGGCCCCTACTGCTAGCCACATGTCCACTTGGCTTAGCTTTCGGGAATATTTGTGGAAGGGCTGAGCAGTAACTGCTCCAGGCAGTGGCTGAGGGAAACTACCAGATGCATGTGGGAGGGCCAAGCATCTTGACAGCAGGACCACAGATCCAGGAGGAACTGGGCTTTCTCTGCCTTTGTCTGGCACAAGTCCAATATGTTTAGTCCCCAAACTGAGGCTGAGAGAGGGGTAGAGGCTGGCCCAGGTCACATAGCAAGTCGGTGGCTGGGCTAGAATTGGAAGTCCTGTGTTGTTCCCAGTGATCTTGCCCCCAACCCTGGAACAGTCCAGGAACCCTCACCCAGGACATCGAAGGCAGGCACCAGGCTAACATCCGTCCAGTCCTCAAGATCTATGGATGTCAGGCGGAACTGCAGGGCCCCAGGCACGCTCTGCTGAGGAAACTTGAGGCTCAGACCAGGGACTGGGTTCTGCCACCAGGATTCCAGCAATGCCCGCATCTTACTAAGGATCTCTGCACGGCGGGCCCTCTGGTCCATGTAGCTCTTGAAGCAGTCGAGGAAGATGACAAGTTCAGAATCACAGCCACCCTTGAGAGCTGTGCCCCGGCCAGAGGAGCCTCCCTGGGCAGAGAAAAATAACTCAGAATTTCATACTGTCCAATTCTAGTGGCCTTGCAACCTGGCAGGCGACTTAAGTGAGGTGAGGGTGCTGGGGAGAGACTGTGGCCACATAGCTCTAGATGTTGAAGCCACGCAGGAATGTAGGTCCAGGGTAGCCAGGCTTGAGATTTCAAGAGAAGCAATTTTAATATGTAAATCCATGATTTTTTTTCCATAGAAACAGGGTCTTGTTCTGTCACCCAGGCTGGAATGCAGTGACATAATCGTGCTCACTGCGGCCTCCAACTCCTGGGCTCGAGTGATCCTCCTGGCTCAGCCTTTCAAGTAGAGACTACAGGCACATGCCACCACGCCTGGCTAGTTTTTACATTTTTTTTTTTTTAAAGAGATGGAGTCTTGCTATGTTGCCCAGGCTGGAGTGCAGTGGTTATTCACAGACACGATTATAGCTCACTGCAGCTTGGAACTCCTGGGCTCGAGTGATCTTCCTGCCTCAGCTTCCCAAGTATCTGAGACTACAGGCATGCACCACCGTGCTGGACTAAATCCATACTTTTTATTTTAGTTTTATTTTTGAGACAAAGTCTTGCTCTGTTGCCCAGGCTGGAGTGCTGTGGCACTATCTCAGCTCACTGCAACCTCCATCTCATGAGTTCAAGCGATTCTCCTACCTCAGCCTCCCGAGTAGCTGGGACTACAGGTGTGCACCACCACGCCTGGCTAATTTTTGTATTTTTGTAGAGATGGGGTTTCACCATGTTGGCCAGGCTGGTCTCGAATTTCTGACCTGAAGCGATCTGCCCTCCTTGACCTCCCAAAGTGCTAGGATTACAGGCCAAGTAAGCCACTGTGCCAGGCCTATAGCCATGATTTTTAAATGTTGGCAACTAACTTTTTAAAAACTCAAGACCACAGGTAAAACAAATTCTGCTTTGCAGAACACACGTTCGCAATCTTTGCTCAGAATGGGTACAGAACTGCGGTATGACTCAATTTCTGAGACCTGTGTGATCAGTGTTTCTTTCGGCAAAGCTTCCAACCTGAGGATTTGGAAAAGAAACTCCTAAACATTGTCAGAGCCACTGTTCTGTGTCTGGGATCTGACGTCTCTACTCTCACTTCCAACACAAAACAACTGTGATGTAGTTACATGTGGTTGCAGATATGGGGAGTGAGGCTCAGATGGTGAAATGAGTTACGCAGCCAGTAAACAGCAAGAACCAGGATGGAGCCCTCCAGGAGCAAGTCTTGCCCCAAACTGGGACCCCCTACTTATCCCGATGATTATGCCAGTCCTTTTACTTCCAGCTCCCGCAATGTGGGGGCTGCTGACAAAGTGGGAAGAGGGACTATTACAGGCTGGGCACTTCCTGCACGTTTCACACACTTTCATTGAACCTTCCTCACAGCCCCGGAAGGAAGGTACCAATTTACAAAAGAGGAAGCAAAAGCACAGTGCTCACTTTATAAAGGAGGAAATGAAAGCACACGGAGATTGTGCTCGAGAGCCCCCGCCTGCCGTACCCCTTTCCAGGGAAGCTAGGGATGCCAGGACTTTCTCTTGCTGCACAGAAATCCCTCCTGTCCGTCTCCGAGGTAGAAACGGGACTTCACACCTCCTAGGCAACAAGTGTGTCCTCCTTCCCCACCTCCCAAGCTGAGAGTCAGCCCCAGGAAACCACTAGGTGCTCCGAGGCCATTTCTACTCTGCGTTTTCACTCCCTCTCCTGACAACCTCCAAATCTGCTTTAGCACACCCAGGTTCCCTGGGTCCATCCGCTCCTGGTACCCCCGAATTTACCCTGAGGATAAGGTAGCTCATGACTTGTCTCCTCCCTGAATCTGCGAGTGTCCTGGGATCACAGTGGCAGTGTGGCTGTATTTAAGTGACAAAAAGTGACCTGGAGCCTGGGCAACATGGTGAAATCTCATCTCTACAAAATATGCAAAAATTACCTGGGCACAGTGGCTCACACCTGTAATCCCAGCACTTTGAGAGGCCAGGGCAAGTTGATCACTTGAGCCCAAGAGTTCCAGACCAGCCTGGGCAACACGGCAAAACTCTATCTCTATAAAAAAAAATGCGAATAATTAGCCAGGAGTGGTAGTGTGTGCCTGTAGTGCCAGCTACTTGGGAGGCTGAGGTATGAGAATAACTTGGGCCCGGGAGGCGGAGGTTGCAGTGAGCCAAGATCGTGCTACTGCACTCCAGCCTGGGTGACACAGTGAGACCCTGTCTCAAAGAAAAAAAAAAAAAAAAGTGACTCAGAGCAGTAGTTTAGCGTTTAGCCTCAGTTTCCCTATCCATGAAACGGGTACAATAATACCTACCTCACTGAATGTGGGGATGAAACGAGGTAATACTCATTTAATGAGATAATTTTCATTGCTATTTGGTAATGTCTCCATAAATTGGGCTATTCTGGCTGTTACAGAGTATTATTACTTCCGTATCCTTAGGGTCTGGCATAGTGTGAGGCCCCCAGCCTGTTTGAATGACTGGGTGAATGAGTGAGTGAGTGAGTGAATGAAAATGGATGAGAGGCAGCCTCTGAGAGCAGAGATGCAGGAATCAGGCTACTTGGATTTGAATCCTGGCTGGGCCTCTTACAGGATTGGACACGTCACTGTGCCTCTCTGTGCCTCAGTTTCGCCATCTGTCAAGCAGACTTAAGAGTACCTACCTGGCTCGTATGTTCAGGGGACTTAGCACAGGGCTGGCACATTGGAAGTGTTTGTTAAAGAAATGAATGAGAGGTGCACAAGTGGATAAAAGCCACCCCCACCGTAAGGCTACGTGAGGCTTAAGCGTCCTCCCAGGACTGTCCCCTTTGGACACATAAAGACCCCGAGGTGGCACCTCACCTTGACGATTTTCAGCACCCGCGGGGCTAGAGCTCCGGGGCGGCCCCCGCGCTCCCTCAAGGCAGCGGCCAGGGCGCCCAGGGCGCGCCGCGCCGTCTCTGTGAACTCCTTCCGCGGCTGCAGCCTTGTGGCCACGAACCTGTCCAGCGCGCTGGCCGGGGTGCGGTACAAGTCCATGGCTACCTGCCGCAGCTGCAAGGGGAAGCAGGGCTCTGGCGCGGCCTTCAGATTTCTGGTTTCCTTGCTCGGCTCTCCGCACCACGCCCAGCTCGGCAGGACCTAGGTCGTCGGTCTCGCGAGTGGCGTGAAATGGGGACCAGCACTGCTGGTCCTGTCTTCCTTAGGTTTCACTCCTCCTCCCCAAACTTGGTAAATTCCCTGCTTTCAGTTTCGTTTCTTTCTAGCAGCTCCTGGATCTGGCGCCCGCTTCCTGGCTCCCTTCCCAGCTACGACTTCCTCTCCTTCCTCTCCTTGCTTCCAGCCGTCCCTGCAACCACCAGCTGCAACGAACTAATCACAACCTAACAAAGTATCTTGACAGAAGTAGGTCCACAGAACGTATGGGTACATACTGAGTAACATACTCTGAGCATTTCAGAAATGTGCAGGTTTGACGTGAAAAAAAAAAATTCAGGATTTAATAAACGGAGAACTCCTATGTTGCTGTCTGGCTGAGGGACGTGTTTTTTTTTTGTTTTTTGTTTTTTTTTTTTGTTTGTTTGTTTTTTTTTTTTTTTTTTTTTTTGCGACGGAGTCTCGCTCTGTCACCCAGGCTGAGTGCAGTGGCCGAATCTCGGCTCACTGCAAGCTCCACCTCCCGGGTTCACACCATTCTCCTGCCTCAGCCTTGCGAGTAGCTGGGACTACAGGTGCCCTCCACCTCGCCCGGCTAGTTTTTTTGTATTTTTTAGTACAGACGGGGTTTCACCGTGTTAGCTAGGATGGTCTCGATCTCCTGACCTCGTGATCTGCCCGTCTCGGCCTCCCAAAGTGCTGGGATTACAGGCTTGAGCCACCACGCCCAGCCGGAATGTGTTCTAAACACCACTACCACCACCAATGATAATAAAGCACACTTGGAGACTCTCACTGACTCCTCCCAACGACCATGGTGTAGGTGCTACTATCATCACCCATTTGACAGATGAGGAAGTTAAGGTACAGAGGAACTAGGTAACTGTCCAAGGTAACACAGCTGGAAAGTTGTCTGACTGGATTCAAACCCAGCCCAAGCCCACAGAGCTGCCTTCTTCAGAAGCCAACTCTTCCTAAATAATTTATATGTGTAATGCAGTTCCAATAAAAATTCCATTTTTAAAAACTGCAAACACACGATCTAAAGTCTGTCTGCAAGAATTAAAAATTATTTTGGAGGAGAAGGGAGGAAGGAAAGTCAGTCAGTTTAGAATGGTACCTTGCACAACAACACTACATATTAAAACATTGTAAAGCTGCAATAGCAAAATCCTCTTGGAACCGGCACAAAGCTAAGCGGACTGTAAACTCTAAGCTGCAGAGTGGAGATTTGAATCCAGGACCATTGCACTTCTATCTTCATGGCCTGTCTCCTCCTTTTTCTGCTTATTTCTTGCTGCTTCTCCATCCAGGTTCCCAGAGACTGCACGCCTGAGCTCTCTTCCAGGCCTGGTCCAAGCCGCAGCCTATCTCCTCCTCCTCATCTTACTAAAAAACTCAGGGGTCCTCTCTCCTGTCTGCTCCGGGATCCCGCATTTACTCTGCCTCTGGGTACATTTCAGGTAATAGTCTTAACAAGTGCTTCCTGACATCGCATGTTAACTGAAAGGAAATAGATAGGATTAGAGTGTGAATTTCAGAGGTCATGGTCAACTAGAGGGAGAGATGCTGGGTGGGTAGTATGTACATCACAACATACGTAGTATGCAGTATTTTGAGTAGTGAATGCTGCATCGCTTGGAATATTCAAGTATGGGAAGGAGACTATTTTGTAGGCCAGGTGTTGTGGCGGGGATTTAAGTCAAGGGATTCAGCAAGATTTTCATGCTTGTCCATTAACCACAGTCTTCTTCCTGAGTCACAGGCCACTTTAGAAACTTTCTATTCAAGATAGTGGATTGAACACAAGCTCAAAATTCTATTAAAATAGCAGCAAAGATATATTAAAAGCATAATGGAAATCAACAGGGTTGGAAACTGAGAAAAAGTGGAGTCAAGGGAACAGGACATTTGAGGCATTTTTAGAAGATGGAACGCAGAAGGGTCAATATTGGGTCAGGATGGTGGACTGAACATATACACAAGCCTTCAACGTTCATCCCAGGCCTCTAGAAGTGGCAGGAAAGAGATGGAAAAACTTTAATAATGTCGCTGGGTCCTAACCAGAGGTGCCCTAGATAAACCCGAAACTGAGATCCCTGGCAGAGATACAGGATTGGATGAAGGAGGAAATTGCAGCCAAAACGCATAAAGGAGGGGGTACCTATGCAGAGTGGAAAGGATCTGAGGAGCTGCAGGCTCTAGGCAGTGGATTGAAGGAGAAGAGACCCTAGGTTAACTGTCACGGTTGTCAGTTGTGCTGGCATAGTAATGGCAGCCTCTAAAGACATGCGGTCTCCCGCCCCAACCTTTCTGTGTCGAGTAACACAGAAGTGCAGCAGAGGTGCCTGTTTAGGGAGGGAGCAGTGAGGGTGGGGCAGAGAGGCAGGGAAGTGCCCAGCATACCTGGCCACATCCGGAAAGAACGGGAAGCCCTGTATGCGGAAGACTCATTCCTGGCACTTCCCCTTTTCTCACCTCTGCCTCCGGATGCAGTAAGAAAGTACCAACTTCATAGGGAGACAAGCAGAACATCCCCAGGGAGCAAAAAGCACACATCCAAAGGTGCCAGATTATTTTGGGAGATTGAATGCTATGGACATAAAAACTCACATGTAAGGACATTAAAATAATCAATAAAGGAGAAGGAGTCTTCTATGGTCTGAATTTGTCCCCCAAAATTCATGTGTTGGAAACTTACTCCCCAGTGCAGCACTTGGGAAGTGGGGTCTAACAGGAGGTGTTTGTGTCATGAGGGCTCTGCCCACGTGAATGGATCATGGCCACTATGAAAAGAGCTTGCAGGAATGGGTTCATTCCCTTCTGCTTCTCTGCCATGTGAGGACATAGCGTTCCTCCCTTCCAAAAGACACAGCATTTTTCAAGGTGTCATCCTGGAAGCATAGAGACCAGGCCTTAACCTGCTGAAGCTTTTATCTTGCACTTCTCAGCCTCCGGAACTGTGATACATAAATTTCTGTTCTTTGCTAATTACCTAGTGGCTTTCTGTTTTAGAAGTACAAATTGCACTAAGATGGTCTTAGAAATATATAATTAACATCCTCAGAGGGGATATTATTTGTAGATATTATATCCATTATAATTATTCATTGTATTCATAATTATTCATCATATCCATGAAATAAGAACAGTTATGAAAATCAACAACCACCACCATCACATTGGAAGTGAAAAAATAATGCAAAATAAAACCAAAGATGAACAGAAAAACCAAACCTTCTCCATAGATGGGCTGAATAAATATACCTGAAGATAAAATTGGTAAACTGGAAGATGGAATGGAGGAAATTACCCAAGATTACAGGAAAGCAGGACATAGAAAAGAAAGGTATAAAAGACAACTTATGAGATGTGGAAAACAGATCCATTCCTTATTCTTATAAATATTTATTGAGGCCGGGTGTGGTGACACACACCTGTAATCCCAGCACTTTGGGAGGCCAAGGCGGATGGATCACCTGAGGTCAGGAGTTCAAGACTGGCCTGGCCAACATGGTGAAACCCCGTCTCTACTAAAAATACAAAAATTAGCTGGACATGGTGGCAGTCACCTGTAATCCCAGCTACTCAGGAGTCTGAGGCAGGAGAACCACTTGAACCCCGGAGGCGGAGGTTGCAGTGAGCTGAGATCGCACCATTGCACTCTAGTCTGGATGACAAGAGTGAAACTCTGGCTCAAAAAGAAAATAAATAAATAAATAAATAAATATTGAGTGTTTTCTTTATGGTAGGCACTTGTCTAGCACAGAACATGTGTGGTGAGTAAGTGAAAAGGCCTCTGCTCTCATGGAATTTATATTCTAACAAGAGAAGATGCACAAAAAATTAATAAGCAAATGAGAAAACGTTGGATTCATGGTTAGATAAAATCTTAAGCAGAGGGTGTTTCTTGGGGCTCTTGGAATTAGAAGGCATATCTGGACAGGTCACCCACACTTGTGGGTGTAACAAAATGTCTCAGAATGTCTGTTACAAATTCTGTTACTTACTACTGTCAAAGATATTCTTGGTTGATACAGTAGCAAATCATCTACTGTTCTCCTTGGAAAACTTGCTTGTTGCCTATATGTAAAAGGTGCCAGTATCCACCCACAGATACTCTGTCTTTTTGCCTGTCTGCTTAGCCAACTCACTCACCACCTTGTACTGTCCCAGGAAGAAATTGCCACTGGTTTCTTTTTGAAAAAGAATCTTCTTTCTTCCTTCCTTTCCTTCCTTCCCTTCCTTCCTTCCCCTGTCCTTTTTTTTTTTTTTTTTTTTTTTTTTTTTTTTGACAGCGTCTTGCTCTGTCATCCAGGCTGGAGTGCAGCAGTGCCCTCTTGGCTCACTGCAACCTCTGCCTCCCGGGTTTAAGTGATTCTCCTGCTTCAGCCTCCCAAGTAGCTGGGATTACAGGTGACTGCCACCATGTCTGGCTAATTTTTGTATTTTTAGTAGAGATGGGGTTTCACTATGTTGGCCGGGGTGGTCTCGAACTCCTGACCTCAGGTGATCCACCCACCTTGGCTTCCCAAAGTGCTGGGATTACAGGCATGAGCCACCGTGACCGGCAGAAAAAGAATCTTCTGATGCATCAAAAGAATAAGATGGATTCATGGATGGATAGAAGGATGAAGAAATTGTAGATATGCTATCAAGCAAGTGCAGTAAAACATGAATTGTAACATCTATGTGGTGAGTATGTGAGTGTTCACTGCAAAATTCTTTCAATGTGGCTGTTTGCTTGGAAATTTTTCTTAATGAACTGTTGGAAGAAACTGGCAAACTATGGCCCAAGGGCCGCATCTGGTCCAGCCTCAACTTGTTTTTGTACTTTTTTTTTTTTGACAGACTCTCGCTCTGTAGCCCAGGATGGAGTGCATGGCAGGATCTTGGGTCACTGCAACCTCCACCTCACTAGTTCAAGCGATTCTCCTGCCTCAGCCTCCTGAGTAGCTGGGATTACAGGCACCTGCCACCACACCTGGCTAATTTTTGTATTTTTCCTAGAGACAGGGTTTCACCATCTTGACCAGGCTGATCTCGAACTCCTGACCTCAAGTGATCTGCCTGCCTCAGCCTCCCAAAGTGTTGGGATTATAGGTGTGAGCCACTGCACCCGGCTGTTGTACTTTTTAACACGTTTAAATGGTTAAGAAAAAAATCAATAGAAGAATATTAAAAATAAAAGAAGAATATTTTGTGATGTGAAAATTATGAAATTCAGTGCCCATAAACAGAGTTTAATTGAAATGCCGCTACACCCATTTGTTTATATGTTGTCTATGGTTGCTTGCATTATAGCAACAGCAGAGATGAAGAGTCCAACTGAGGTTGGATGGCCCATAACGCCTAAAGTATTTACTGTATTGCCCTTCACAGGAAAACTTGGCCAATCTAGCAATCGCTGGGCACGTAGGCGGGACTTAATGATAGCTGCAGTGATTCTCATTTCACAATTCTGTTTTGTTCTTCTACATCAACACTAAGAAACCTTACTCATGACACTTATGATTTTCAAAAAGTATTTTATTTAATCAGCTGGCAGTACCTGGGGGTTGAGAGCAGGGGTAGAGTGAGGTTCAAGGGGGGATCCATTGACAAAGGAGGGAACGACAGTAAGACAGTGTGTTCTTCCAGGAGCTGATGCCACTTGCAGTCACAGTGCTTGAGAAATTGCATAATAGGCTGGAAATGGCAGATTTCTATGTTGATTCTTCATCACAACTAGGAATTATGTGCATTACCTCCATTTAACAGATTATGAAACTGAGGCTCAGAGGAGCTAAGTGACTTGCCTGGGACTGTACAGCAAAGCAGGGCAGGGAATGTGTGCCTATGGAGCTTAATTAAATGGACAAGGAAGCACTAAGACAGCAGGGTAGAAATTAAGAGCATAGGCTTTGAAGGCTGGCAGTTTAGGGTTTGCATACCAGCTCTGCCACTCACCAGTTGTGTGACTTTGGGCACAATGACTTCAACCTGTCTGAACCTCAATTCTCTCATCTGTAGCAATGGGGAAATAATGCATTCATAGGTTTAGCAAAGTGGCTGGCATCAGATAAGCACTGAGTAAATAGCAGTTGTTTTGTTTTTATTACTTTTATGTTATTGTGTTTTTTGTTTGTTTGTTTTTGTTTGTTTGTTTGAGAAGGAGTCTCGCTCTGTTGCCCAGGTTGGGGTGCAGTGGCACAAACTCAGCTCACTGCAACCACCGCTCCCCAGGTTCAAGCGATTCTCCTGCCTCAGCCTCCTGATTAGCTGGGATTACAGGGGCTGGCCATGATGCCCCGCTAAATTTCATATTCTTAGTAGATATGTGGTTTCACCATGTTGGCCAGGCTGGTCTCGAACTCCTGGCCTCAAGTGATCTGCCGACCTTGGCCTCCCAAAGTGCTGGGATTATAGGCATGAGCCACCGTGCCTGGCCATGTCATTGTTTTTATGATGATTATTAAGATTAAACCACAGCATCCTTTTCAGTCATACATAGCTAACTCAAGACTGAGATCCCACTATTTGTGTAAATCTACCTAGTATTTTTTTCTTAAATTTTATTTTTTAATGAGGGAGAGAGAAAGAAAGAAGGAGAGAGGGAGGAAGAGAGGGAGGGAGTTCACATGTATGCATATGGGGGCATTGAAAGCAGAGCTGGAAATAGATGCTAATTTTAAGTAGAGAGAGAGGTTGGGTTGCAATTAATTTTATGAGATGTCTGTTTATTATTGAAGATTTTCCTTGCTGTGATTCCTGCCTCCCTAAGCAAACTGGAAAATATAGGATAATGAGGCTCCTCTTGTCTGCTGCAAATTCACCACATGTTCACTAATTATTGGTGTAGTGCCTTCTGCCAACCGGTGTCAGGTTTACCTGAAAATGAAAAAAGGAGTGTGTGCTCACTCTCATATTAAGCAGCCTGTCTGCCCAGAGAGCATCAGTGAGAAAAGCCTATAGAAGCATCTCCGCTCTGGCAGTCAGGAGACCCTAGGTCTTTTTCGTGTTGTTTTGCTGTGCAGTCCCAGGCGAGTCACTTAGCTTCTCTGAGCCTCAGTTTTATTATCTGTCAAATGAAGAGAATGCAGGGCAACAGTTTTAGATGTTTTGGAGTCAGATGGTCTTGAGTTTGAGTCTGGAACCTATCTGTACCACATGAGCAAATGAGTGCCCTCTTCTGAGTCTGTTTCCTCATCATTGAAATGGATTTTATTTATCAAACAATTACCAGATGTCAGGTATCATTCCAAACACTTTATAAATATTAACTCTTTTTTTTTTTTTTTTTTTTTGAGACAGAGTCTCGCTCTGTCACCCAGGCTGGAGTGCAGTGGCCGGATCTCAGCTCACTGAAAGCTCTGCCTCCCGGGTTTATGCCATTCTCCTGCCTCAGTCTCCTGAGTAGCTGGGACTACAGGCACCCGCCACCTCGCCTGGCTAGTTTTTTGTATTTTTTAGTAGAGACAGGGTTTCACCGTGTTAGCCAGAATGGTCTCGATCTCCTGACCTCGTGATCTGCCCGTCTCGGCCTCCCAAAGTGCTGGGATTACAGGCTTGAGCCACCATGCCTGGCCAATATTAACTCATTTAATCCTTGTACAAATCCTATGAGATAGACGCTATTGTCAGGTTCCTTTTAGAGATAGGGAAACGGCATAGAGAGGTTAGGAAATTAGCCCCATGTCACAGAGTTGGTAATTGGTAGAGCCAGGATTTGAACCCAGGCAGTTGGACTCCAGATTCCTTGCTTTTAGCTCCTTCCTCCTTCCATCATGCTCCTCCACCTCACAAGGTTGTGATGTGAGAATAAAGTGAAATAATGAATGTAAGTTCCCTAGCATGTGTCTGGAAAGTTGTAAATGTCAGTAAGTGGAGACTGCAATGGTTATGGTTATGCCTATTAGTGGAATGAGCTACCCAGGATGCCCCAAAACAAAAGTAAATACAATTCCGGACTGCATGAACAGAAGGCCCAGAAAAAGCATCTCTGTATAGTGTGTGGGTATGTGTGGAAATGGTGACCCAGAGACTTTGGCCAAGATGGTGTAAATATGGAACCCATCAGTGAAAAATCTGGGGTTGGAAGCCAACCATCCTATTTTCCTGAAAACCAGTATATCCAGAAATGTTGATCAGCGGCCAGCTAACCAAGGAGAGTGTGTGTGTTAGAGAAGAGAGAAAGAGAAAGAGCTCCCCGAATGAATGTGTGTTTCACTGAGTGAATGTGTGATGTCAGGGTGTGGGATACTCCCAGGGGAACATAACATTTGAAGGAACACAGTTTGATGGAGTTGATGCCTGCATCAGCAGCCTGTTGCTATTAAAATGAACCCTCATTTTGTTCAGATTTATTCTGGCACTAGGCTCAATATGTCACTTTATACAGTGATCCTGAGTTCAGTGGATTTGCTTATGGTCAGCACAAACCCAAACCAGGAGGGACAGGCATCCACAGTTCTGAGTCTGTCCCTTTTGGCATGATACAGTCTTTGGTCTTCAAGTCATAGGATTCAGTTCAGTAAATGCAAAGGTGTCTGTAGTTTTGGACAAGCTACAACTATGCTGGATTCTGTTTCCAGCATCCTTGCTCCCAAACATAGATGGTTGCTGTGAACTGTGATGTGACCTCTGACAACTTCACCCTACATTAACACAGTGGAAAAAAAATCAGAAAATCTGATAATTCTTGCTTGATATAAGTGAAAAAGACACTTATACTGCATCTGAGCCATGCTGCAGCTTGGGGGACTGTTTGTTACAGCAGCTAATGTTAGCCTAACTAATACATCAAACTTTGTCCCATGTGATATACCAAGATCGTAGTAGTCCTGCCATAATCATGCATGTTCTATAGAGTAAGGTTGATTTTAGTACAAAGCTGTCATGTGGGAGACTGTGGAGACCTCACCATTTGTGGGAGAGAGCAAAGATGGTGAATAGAAGTCTCCTATGGCCAAACACAAGATCTTTACTTTCACAGGATTCTGGGAGTCACACGGCTAAGAGTAGGGAGAAAGGCATTTCTTAAATTCACCGAAGATCCTATGCTCTGAATGACGTGTGACCAGAGAATTAGAATTGTTGCTAATTTCAGGTATATAGTGATGTTGTGGGAAGTCAGGGACCCTGAACGGAGGGACCTGCTAAAGTCGTGACAGAAGAATATAAATTGTGAAGATTTCATGGTCATGTATCATTTCCTCAATCAATACTCTTATAATTTCCTATGTCTATCTTTACTTTAATCTCTTAATCCCGTCATCTTCATAAGCTGAGGATGTATGTCACCTCAGGACCCTGTGATGATTGCGTTAACTGCACAAATTGTTCTTAAAGCATGTGTGTTTGAGCAATATGTAATCTGGGCACCTTGAAAAAAGAACGGGATAACAGCGATGTTCAGGGAACAAGGGAGATAACCATTAAGTCTGACTGCCTGGGAACCAGGCAGGACAGAGCCTTATTTCTCTTATTACTGAAAATGGGTAAGAGGAGTATCACTGAATTCTTTCCCCGATAAGGAATATTAATAATTAACGGCCCTGGGAAAAGAATGCATTCCCAGTGTAGGGTCTCTAAAATGGATGCTCTGGGAGTGTCTGCCTTATGCCGTTGCAGATAAGGGATGAAATCTGTCCTGGCCTCCTGCAGTGCCCCCAGGCTTGCTGGGATTAGGAAATTCCAGCCTGGCGAATTCTAGTCAGACCAGTTCTCTGCTCTTGAACCCTGTTAAGATGTTTATCAATGACAATGTGTGCACAGTGGGACATGAAACTTCATTAGTAATTCTAGTTTCACCCTGACCTTGTGATCTAACCCTGACCTTCTGCCCTATGATCTTTTTGTTGCCCTTGAAGCATGTGATCTCTGTGATCCACACCTATTTGTACACTCTCTCCCCTTTTGAAAATTGGTAATAAAAACTTGCTGGTTTTACGGCTCAGGGGGCATCATGGAACCTGCTGACATGTGATGTCTCCCCTGGACACCCAGCTTTAAAATATCTCCCTTTTGTACTCTTGCCCTTTATTTCTCAGACCAGCCAACACTTAGGGAAAATAGAAAAGAATCTGCTTTGAAATATCAGGGGCTGGTTTCCCCTGACACAGTATGATATTCAAGCATCATGTCATACTCCTCAAACACATGCATTTTTTTATTAACATAAAATTTTAGGCCAGGTGCAGTTGTTCATGCCTCTGTAATTGCAGAATGCTGGGAGGTGGAGGCAGAAGGATTGCTTGAGCCCAGAAGTTCAAGACCAGCCTGGGTACCATAGTGAGAACTGGCCATTGCCCCCCACAGGCTCCTGCCATCAGATTTATTAGCCCTCTAATAAATTATTAGAACATTTATTAGATAATTATAAGATAAATAGAACTCTATTGATTAGACTACTCATAAATAGTACCTGTTACCTCATCAGACAATTGTCCCTGAGGAGTCTCTTGCTCATCTTTGCATCCCCAGCACTGAGCCAGAACATGGCCCACGGCAGACCTTTGAGAAATATTTTTTGAATAATAATCATCATAAGCTCTAACTTCCTTCAGGATAAGCTATATGTGAGGTACTGGCATAAATCCATCATCCATTAGCTCATTCAGTCCTCTCTGTAACACTAGGAGCCACAATTGCACCCAGATTTATTTATGTATTTATTTATTTACTTATTTCTGAGACAGGATCTTGTTCTGTTGCCCGGGCTGGAGTGCAGTGGCTTGATCATGGCTCACTGCAGCCTTGACCTTATGGGCTTAAGCAATTCTTCCTCCTCAGCCTCCTGAGTAGCTAGGACTACAGGCATGAGCCACCACATCTGGCTAATTTTTTTTTTATTTTTATAGAGACAGGACCTCACTCTGTTACCCTGGCTGGTCTTGAACTCCTGGGCTCAAGCAATCCTCCTGCCTTGGCCTCCCAAAGCATGACCTCCCATTTGACAGTCTGTTTCACCAAGGAGTTAGGTAAGTGACTTGACGTCTCATAAGATTCAGAAGCAGGATTTGAGCCCAGGCAGTCTGACTCCCTGGGTTTGATCTGCCTGAAGGGAAGTTTGGAGAGGGGCAATACTGGCCTGTGGCTGGCTGGGAGAGGGGACCCTGGCACCTCACAGGCAGGTGTGAAGGCTGTGCAAGGAGGGGATTTGTGTGAGGAAAAGGGGGAGGGTCTGGGAGAGTTCATGCAGGGCCTCAAAGATAGTGGTACATCAAAATTCACCCCCTCATTGAGCTAGGAGACCTAACATGAAGCTGAGTGTGCAGAGTTCACCCATCAACCCTGGACCTCAAACTTGACATTGAACGTTTCCTCATTTTGAACACTTCTACTGTGTCCTAATTTCTTCTGTGAACTTCACTCTCATTTCTGTTGTCTAAACGTTAATTCTTCTTAGTTTTGTTTTCTCATCAGGGAGGAGCTGAGGAAATTTATCTCTGGGGGCTCAGAAATTTCCAGCTCAGGTGCTTCAATTTTATATGACAGTTTCCCTTGTCCTTACACACTTGCTCCTCTGTTTCCAAATCTTGTGAATTTGTCCTTGAACCAGCAGCTCCAAACAACAGCACCCCAGAGCTTTCTGTACTCTGTGCCTTCCAACTTTGCATAAACTATCAGAGCTTAGCTGAGAGAAATACTTGTCAAAAGCTTATTTATTTATTTTTTTTGCAAGAAGAGTGTCTTTATTATTTCCCATGGCCACAGAAAATTAAGAAAAGTATAAAGATCACCTGTAATGCTATAGCCAACTATCACCACTGAAAACGTTTAAATCTCCCATGAACCAACCATTACAAAATGAAATTAAAGAAAGTGTGCCAAGTACAATAGTACTGAAACAAATACCTAGGAATACATATGACAAAAACCATGAGAGACCTCTCCAGGGAAAATGATAAAACGTTGTCACTGTCACTAAAGAACACTAAACTTAATGAAAAGAAACTCCAAGTTCATGGGTCAGAATCATCAAATTCTATAGGGATCTATATATCTATATATATAATATAGATGTTATTCTTCCCAAGCAAATCTGTGTAATTCTAATCAAATGCCTCCCCATATTTTGGGAGGAGCTTAACAAATTGAGTATAAAATTAATGTAGAAATAAAAAGGGCCAAGAGGAACCAAAGACTTGATAAAAAGAGAACAGAGTTCTCCCAAAGATACTAAGAATTATAAGGCTATAGTAATTAAGACAAGGTTGTATTAACTCAAGGACACAAAAAATAGAGCAATGGAAAAGAGCAGAGTCCAGAAACAGACTCCCACATAGAGGGACTCTGGGAATATTTAAGAGATGGCTTTGCAAAGAAGTGGAGAGAGCATGGTCCCTTCAACAAATGCTGCTGGGATAACTGAGCATCCACATTGGAAGAACTGGAACTGAACCCCTTCCTCACATGCCATATGAACATAAATGCCTTTTGTTGTCTGTGCATTTGGTGTCACATCCATGAAATCACTGGGAAGACCAATGTCATGAAGTTTTCCCCATGTTTTCTTCTAGTAGTTTCAGTTTCAGGTCTTATGTTTAAGTCTTTAATCCATTTTGAGTTGATTTTGTGTGTGGTGTAAGGTTAAGGGTCCAGTTTTATTCTTTTGCATGTGGACATTCAGCTTTCCAGACACCATTTGTTGAAGACACTGTCCTTTCCCCATTGTGTATTCTTGGCAGTCTTGTCAAAGATTGGGTGGCCATGTATACAAAGCACAGGCAGCAAAAGCAAAAATAGGCAACTGGGACTACATCAGACTAAAAAGCTTCTGCATAGCAAAGGAGACAATCGACGGGCTGCAAAGACAATCTATGGAATGAAGATAATATTTACAAACCACACATCTAATAAGGGTTAATCTCCACAATATGTAAGGAACTCCTACAACTCACTATCAAAAAAATTAATAATCTGATTTAAAAATGGGCTAAGGATTGGAGTAGATCTTTCTCCAAAGAAGACATACAAATGGATAACCGGTATATGAAAAGATAGTCAATGTCACTAATTATCAGAGAAATGCAAATCAAAATCACAATGCAGTATCACCTTACCCCTGGTAGGATGGCTATCATTTTTTTAAAAAAATGAACAAAAGATAACAAGTGTGAGGATGTAGAGAGATGGGAACTCTTGCACACTGTTGGTCAGCCACTGTGAAAAACAGTATGGAGGTTCCTCAAAAAATTGAAAATAGAACTACTGCCGGGCGCGGTGACTCACAGCTGTAATCCTAGCACTTTGGGAAGCCAAGGTGGGCAGATCATGAGGTCGGGAGATTGGGACCATCCTGGCCAACACAGTGAAACCCCGTCTCTACTAAAAAATACAAAAAATTAGCCGGGCACGGTGGCGGGTGCCTGTAGTCCCAGCTACTTGGGAGCCTGAGGTAGGAGAACGGTGTGAACCCAGAAGGTGGAGCTTGCAGTGAGCTGAGATCGCATCACTGCACTCCAGCCTGGGCAACAGAGCAAGACTCTGTCTTGAAAAAAAGAAAAAAAAAATTGAACTACCATATGTTGCAGCAATACCACTTCTGAGTATTTATCAAAAAGAATTGAAATCAGGATATCAAAAAGATAACTTGCATTCCCATGTTTACTGCAGCACTATTCACAATAATCCAGTGGAAACAACCTAAGCAGGAGGCAGAGTCCCCTTGGGAAAGGACCCTGTGACACCATAGCATATATAGTAATGGTTTCCCCCAAAGGACCTATAGCCATTTATTCAGAGGATGATAACACTGGAAAAGGGGAATCACTCAACATTTCTAAGACTGTTGAGCAGAGGATCAACATTGATAACGATGCATGAAAACCCAAAGCATCATCAGATTCTGTCCTCATCAGAGTAGGGGTATATAGGAGCCAAGAGTGAAAAATGGAGCCCTGGCCAAGTCAGGCTTGTAATATGCCCACTGTGTCTATGGACCGACCTGGTGATCATTTCCCTGTCCCCTGAATGTATATTCAAAAAGGACATGCTTGGTAAAAGACACTACCCCACATTGGCCTGAGTGTTAAGTGAGGGCTATCACAGTGAGGAAGGTCATGGCGATGCCTTTGAAAATGTCACCTCCCTGGCCAGGATAGTAAATCAAAACCGCTATTACATCTCAGAGCCAGGGAAGTACAGAAATTAGCACCCTTTTATTAAATCCTAAAGGGCTCTGCAACTGGTATAGGCTTCAGTGCAAGTCGCCCCTCTACTTGGGCCACACCAGCCTGGCAGGCCACACGGTGTCCAAAGTGTTGGTCATGGGAAAAGATGTCATTCAGAGATTACGGCAATATCTAATTAGAGAATTATAACACGGACCCCTCCAGGACTCTGGAGCAAGCCCATGTCATTTGCAGCAAAAATGTCTATGCCCTTTGAAAAACAATCCTGGGGCACTCCTGGGTGCTGTTGTAGATGGAAGGTTGATCATGTGGCCATGTGGCTCTTTGATCAAACAACTAATTACTGATTCCATTAATCTACTGTTGGTTGTGGCACTGCTATAAAATGAAACACTCTCAAAAGGCAACATAAGTGCATTTTCCATACGGTAAAATACAATGAAACCATTACATTGGGATATCCACGCTCGCCTATTGGCATGGAGTGTGCGATGATAGATTTTATGTGACAACTTGACTGGGCTAAGGGTACCCAGATAGCTGGTAAAACATCATTTCTGGGTGTTTCTGTGAGGGTGTTTCTGAAAGAGATTCACATTTGAATCAGTAGACTGGCATCATCTAATCCAGTCTACAAATAGGACAAAAAGACCGAGGAAGGGTAAATGTGTGCTCAGGTTGAGCTGGGACATTCATCTTTCACTGCCCTTCGACATTGGTGCTTCTGGTTCTCATGGTGCCAGAGCAGGAAAACATAGGAATTCAATGAATGAGGACACATTGAGACCATACTGCAGTGATTAAGAACATGAGCTTTAGAGAGAGAAGGATTAGGGGTTCAAGTTCAGACTCTGCCCCTGACCAGCTGGGCGATCCTGGGCAAGCACTGCAACCTCTTAGAACCTCAAGTTATTCCACTTACTATTATGAGAATAACATCAAAACCCATCTCACAGGGGCAAAACCCATCTCACAGGGGTGCTGGGGGACTAAATGGAAGAATATAATCTGGACAGACCAAAGACTGCTTGCCAGCTATCCAAGTGACCAGCAACTCAGGTGATCAGAGCATTCAAGTTCTTTTGTGAGTATTTATGAGAGTTTTATATTTTAGAGTATTATGAATGATATGCTGATTCTTGGTCCCAAGGACAGCGTAACAATGTGGCAATGTAAGTCAGTATAGTCGAATCTTTAATCCAGTGATTTACCTTGGAGGGCAGAGCTGTCCAATAGAAATACATAATATAATGTAAGCCACATGTGTGATTTCACATTTTCTAGTAAACACAATTAAAAAGGGAAAAGAAAGAGATGAAGCTCATTTGATTTGACTCAAATATATTTAAAAATTGTCATTTCAGCACACAATTAAACAAATTATCAGTTGGCAAGAACTTGGCCTTCTTTTCATTTGTACTAAGTCTTTGTAACCAAGTATATATCTTGCACTCACAGCACACATAGATTTAGACTAGCTATGTTTTAAGCATTTGATACATGTGGCTAGTGGCTGCTGTGTCACATAGAGAGGTTCTAGAATTTTTCTCAGAGATATGGAGAAAGGATAAATCAAGGATGCTTATTTCAGAATTACTAGTAATAGGAAAACCATCTAATATTAAGATGTTTTGCACAAATGTCAACTCCATAAGGACAGGGATTTTTTTTTTTTTTACTTAAAAAATTCTGGAAGCCTTGGCTCTGCAGGGTCATGAGGACAGGGATTTCTGTCTGCTTTTGTGCATTGCTATGTTCCCAGTGCCCAGAGCTATGCTTGGCACATAGTAAGTGCTCAATAAATATTTCTTGTTGAATCAATGTATACACACACACACACACACACACACCCCTAGATAGGCATCTGTACTTCTTGGCGGCTCTGTGCCTTGAAGTTAATAAACACCCAATAAATGGTATTTGCTTTATTTTTATTGTTATTGATAATACATTAGACATAACCCTTTCATCAGGTGCACAGAAGAAAGTCAAGGCTGGAATTTCATTCTCTTATCTAAATCTCTCTGTTCTCTCTCTATCTAAATCTCTCTGTTCTCTCTCAGGGAATATTTTCAGAGAATAGGTGGAATGAAGCGAGGCTGTAGGGAATGTTATCTATGATGGGAGAGAAGGCATAGAAGGCTAGGAGTCAGGAGACCTGGGTTCTGTCCTGGATTATACACCAGCTCACTGAGGACCTTTGTCCTCTCTGGATCAAGCGTCCCACCTGGAAATGAAGGGGCTGGTCCAGATAACACTGGAGCCCTTTTGCCTAAGATGCACTGGCATTCAGAGGATGGTGCATGTCCAGTTCTCTTCTGCCTGCCGAGTGGATGCTGCCTGGAGTATGCTGGGGCTATGAGAGAAATGAGGGCACTCATATGTTTGGATGTAACCATGTTGCTGATACATCCTGGGATCGTAGGACTCATCGTCTTCACTGTCGCTTTCAGCCTGAAAGGGTGAGACACATGATCTCATCAGGGAGTCTTCCTACCTTGCAGCTGGATTCAGTGAGCATTTAAGGTGGATACTGTGACATGCCATCTGGATCCCCCTTTGAGGAAAGACTAACAAACCCCAGCTGCTGGGATGGTGGGCAGCAGACAGACTTCAGCCCTCAGCCCGTTTAGGGGTTGCCTCAGCTGCAGAGAGCGTTTTGCTCAAGGCCATGCCCTTTCCCAGGTGCCCAGGCACAGTGAGTTGTCCATGTAGGGGTATAGAGGCCTGGCCACTTCTGTCGCCATGGGGCAGCTCTAAAGGCCATTCCAGCTCCAGGGCTGTCCTTGAAGTTGGCTGAAGCTGGCATTTGCTTTGCATCCCTGTTCACTTCTCCCTATGCTCTTTCTTTCTTTCTTCCTATCCTTTCTTCCCCTCCTTTCCCTGAGTGCTGGTTCCAGTGGCTCTCCCCCAGAACATCCTGCACACTAAATTCCATCCACACTAAATTCCATTCCTAGCCATCTGCAACATCATCAATCCCCTGGAATCAGACAGATTCCTGCTTGGGGGTAGAAAGATCCAAGACTGGGTCCTTTGCCCCTATTTAGCCCAAGGCACTCAGCTGCTCAGAGTCTCCCACTGGTCAGATGAAAGGTGAGGATGAGACCAGGCTGGCTGTTTAGCACCGTGACATGAGCACTGGCTTTAGAGTCCACTGAGTTTGAATCCTATTTCTACCACTCGTGATGTCCTTGAGCAAGTGACCTCACCTCTCTGAGCCTTTGTCTTATCTGTAAGATGGGAATGATAGAAAACATACCTCATGGGACTTTTCAAATGACTAAAAACAGAATGTCCATTCAACTCAGCAACTCCACTACTGAGTATCTACCCAAGGGAAAAGAAATCATTATGTCAAAAGACACCTGCACCCATATGTTTATCGCAGTGCTATTCACAATAGTAAAGTCATGGAATCAACTTAAGTGCCCATCAGTGTGGACTGGATAAAGAAAATGTGGTATATCTACACCATGGAATATTATGCAGCCATAAGAAAGAATGAAATCATGGGTGCAGCTGGAGGCCATTATCCTAAGTGAATTAACCCAAAAACAGAAAACCAAATACTTAACATCTGCTAAAGATGGGAACAATAGACACTAGAGACTCCAAAAGGGAGGAGGGAGGAAGAAGGGGAAGGGTTGAAAAAACTCCTTTTGGGTTCTCTGTTCACTAATTGGGTGACAGGATCAATAAAGGCCCAAATTCCACCATTACACAATATAGCTGTGTAACAAATGGCACATGTGCCATCTGAACCTAAAATAATAAAAATTTAAAAAAAGAAAACATGCCTCATGGGATTGTTGTGAATATTTAAAGAGATAGTGTATATTAAAAGGCTTAGGACAGAACCTGAGCCCGAAGCAGACAGTCAGTAAATGGTGCTACAGATTATTATTATTACTTTTAGGTGAATGAACTCTGGACAAGGGATGTGAAGATTCCAGAAACCCTCGATTGTGACCAAAATGACTGTTAAATATGGAGCACAGCCTGGAACTATATGAATACAAATGGCCTTGGCAAGAGGTAAGTTCTTTGGAAAGAATGGTCTCCAGCTATATGTCTCAAGCTGTGTGGAGAGGGGCAGGGATGAATGGCAGGGAGGAAGCAGGGGGTCTCACCAGCAGAATCCAGGAGCTCACGGGGGACCCATCCCAATTCTTAAAGCATGGATAATTCAGCCAGGCCTCAGCCTCTTGTGCCAGCTGCCTCCAACCCTTTGTGTCTCCACCACCCAGGTTTCCTGTAGGGTCCGCCGGGTCCAGAATCACAGGCCTGCAGAGCAACATTTAGAGAGGGACAAGTGAGAAGCTGGGGCTTAGTCCAGGGAGTCCAGATGCTCCTTGGAGAGCAAAATAGCAGCCTGGGATGGACTGGGACTCAGAGCACGAGGAAGGGCTCCCTGGGGTATGTCCCCAGTGCCCTGTTCCCCAGCGGGCCGTGAGCATGAGGAGAAGGAGCCTTGCACTTGCTCCTGACAGATGTGGGTTTGAATCCCACCTCTGCCCTTTATGAGTGATGTGCCCTTGAGTAGGTCACTTGAACTCTCTAAACCTCAGGATTCTTATCTGTAAAATGGAGATAGTTCCACACACGTATCTCAAAGGCTATGGTGTGAGGATAGAAAAAGCCCAGTTATGTGAAATGCTCAGCACAGTGACTACAACATAACATACATGTCAGTAATATTGATAATAATTTTTACTATTATATTAGCATGTGTTAGTCTTACAGCAAGCTTTCAATACCTGGGAGCAATTACTATCATTGTTGTTGCTGCTGTTCTTATTTCAGTTCAAATTCCAGCTATTTTACTCATTTTCTGTTAAGGGCTGGACGAGCTCCTTACCTCTCAGAACCTCAGTTTACTCACCTGTAAAATGATAGTGCCTGCCTCACAGGGTTTGAGGTAGGTGTTTAAATCAGGTGGCAGTAGTAAAATGCCCAGTATGAATGACAGGCAAGAGGATATTCTCACTAAGTGAGGAGCCCTCCCACCTTCTCCATTTCCAAGGCACTGTACCTGTGTCCAGGTGTTCATTTACATAGGGGAGCTAAGCCACGTGGGGATAGCATACCTGGGTTTCCTGAGCTGCCTGCTCAGGTACTTTCCAATAATGGGGTTTTGAAAGTCATAATACTTTGTCCAGTAGACGCAGAGTTGCTGGTAGTTTATGACTAATTCCAAGACCGTCCGAAATCCCTGGGCTGTGTTGAAATCTGTTTCCGTGCTCCCTTGCTCCCAAGCATAGACTGTCAGGAGCTCCAGGGCATACTGAGGTGGCAGCTTCCCAAGCTGCTTCTTACACTGAGAAGAGGAAAAACAATCAGAAAAAAAATTGGTTTGCTCAACTTTTGTGTAAACTCCATTTCTCATGGGTCAAATCCAGCCTGCCACCGGTTTTTATAAAGTTTCCTTGGAACAAATCCAGGCTCATTCATTTATGTATGGTTTATGACTGCATTCATGCTACAAAGGCAGGGTTAGGTAGCTGCAACAGAGGCTGTGCAGTCCACAAAGTCTAAAATATTTACTACCTAGCCCTTTGTTTTTTTTAAAAAAGTGTGCTGGCCCCTTGTCAAGAGTGCTGGATTCTTATTGATGTGAGTTTGAATCCTGGCTTCACCATTGTCCGATTCTAAGTTGATGACTTAGACTCACAGACCTCATTATTTTCATCTGCTAAGTGAGTGGTCATAATAGCACCTATCTTATAAGGATACTATGAAAATTAACTGAGAAGAAGGACTTGTAATGTTCCTAAGAAATGCACAGAAGCAAATGAAGTTCTTTCTGGAGGAGTATACATAATCCAAAACCTGAAATTATTTCACACATAATTTTCAAATACAATGACCAGCACATATGCAACCAGGCACAAAAGGAAACAAAACACTAAGAGTTATGACCAACAGAAAAAAGAGAAATAGTAATAAACTTACAAAACTTTAAATATTGAAAGACTGAATACAGACTTTAAAATAACTAGGAACCCTACAAGGAAAACTACAAAACATTGCTAAAGGAATTCATAGACAACACAAACAGATGGAAACACATCCCATGCTCATGAATGGGTAGAATTAATATCGTGAAAATGACCATACTGCCAAAAACAATCTACAAATTCAATGCAATTGCCATCAAAATACCATCATCATTCTTCACAGAACTAGAAAAAACAATCCTAAAATTCATATGGAACCAAAAAAGAGCCCACATAGCCAAAACAAGGCTAAGTAAAAAGAACAAATCTGGAGGCATTACATTACTAGACTTCAAGCTATACTATAAGGCCATAGTCACCAAAACAACATGGTACTGGTATAAAACTAGTCACATAGACCAATGGAACAGAATAGAGAACCCAGAAATAAAGCTAAAAACTTACAGCCACTGATCTTTGACAAACCAAACAAAAACATAAAGTGGGGAAAGGACGCCCTATTCAACAAATGATCCTGGGATAATTGGCAAGTTGCATGTAAAAGAATGAAACTGAATCCTCACCTCTGCCCTTATATAAAAATCAACTCAAAATGAATCAAATACTTAAATCTAAGACCTGAAACCATAAAGATTCTAGAAGATAACATCCAAAAAACCCTTCTACACATTGGCTTAGGCAAAGACTTCATGACAAAGAACCCAAAAGCAAATGCAACAAAAACAAAGATAAATAGATGGGACTTAATTAAACTAAAAAGCTTCTGCAAAACAAAAGAAATAATTAGCAGAGTTAACAGACAGCCCACAGAATGGGAGAAAATCTTCACAATCTATACATCCAACTGATATGCAGAATCTACAAAGAACTCAGATGAATCAGTAAGGAAAAAACAAACAACCCCATCAAAAAGTGGGCTAAGGACATGAACAGAGAATTCTCAAACGAAGATATACAAATACCAACAAGCATATGGAAAAATGCTCAACATCCCTAATTATCAGGGAAATGCAAATCAAAACCACAGTGTAATACCACCTTGCTCCTGCAAGAGTGGTCATAATAAAAAATAAAAAAATAGTAGATGTTGGTCTGGATGTGGGGAAAAGGGAACACTTTTCCACTAAGTGTAAAAGTGGGAACACTTTTCCCACTTTTGGTGGGAATGTAAACTCATACAACCACTATGGAAAACAGTGTGGCGATTCCTTATAGAACTAAAAGTAGATCTACCATTTGATCCAGCAAACCCAATAGTAGGTATCCACTGAGAGGAAAAGAAGTCATTATACAAAAAAGATACTTGCACACACATGTTTATAACACCCCAATTTGCAATTGCAAAAATATGGAACCAACTCAAATGCCCATCAATCAATGAGTGGATAAAGAAAATGTTAAACACACACATACACATGCACACACCATGGAATACTACTCAACCATAAAAAGGAACAAAATAATGGCATTCACAGCAACTTGGATGGAATTGGATACTACTATTTTAAGTAAGTAACTCAGGAATGGAAAACCAAACATTGTATGTTCTCACATATGTGGGAGCTAAGCTATGAGGAAGCAAAGGCATAAGAATGATACATGGGACTTGGGGAACTGGGGGGAAAGGGTGGGGTGTGGCAAGGGTTAAAAGATTACACATTGGGTACAATGTACACTGTTTGGGCGATGGGTGTACCAAAATCTCGGAAATCACCACTAAAGAACTTATTCATGTAACCAAACACCACCTGTTCCCCCAAAAACCTATTGAAATAGAAAAATTAAAAAAACATAATTGTCTCTCTGTGATCAGCGGTTTGAATGAGGACAGGAAAGGAGAGGTATCAGGTATCAGAGCCATATATGTATACACATGAATCTGTGTGTGCTCATGTCACAGAAAAGAAGTGCAAATAAAACATAAGATAAATAATAAAAATTAAAAATAAAATAAGTAGGAATATCATATTCACAGGATAAAATAAGAACTTTCAATAGTTAGCAGGGAATTAAAAGCCGTAAGAAGTAACATGGTAGATACAAAAATATGAAATAAAAATTTTAGGATAAAAAATGGCAACTGTAATTAATAGTGCCACAGCAAATTAGATATAGCTAAAGAGAAAATTAATTAATTGGAAGGTAGATTAGAAGAAACTATTCAGAATAAAGCATGGAAAAATAGACAAAAAGATGAAAAATACAGAAGAGAGTATAGAGATATGAAAGATAGAGTAGGATCTAACATACATTTAATTGGAATTCCGGAAGGTGAGGAGAGAATGAGGGAGAATCAATCTTTTAGAAGGATGGCTGAGAAGTTTCAAAACTGATTAAAGATATCTATCCACAGATTCAGGACTCTTAAAGGAATCCCTATCAGGACAAATAATAGGAACCCATCATTAAGACACAACAGATTGAAGCTAAACAAAATCAAAGACAAAGAGAAAACTTTTACATGCAGCCAGAGGAATAAGATAGGTTACCTACAAAAGAGCTGCAGTAAAGACTGGCAACTGACTTTTTAATGATGACAGTGGAAGATGGAATGATATATTTAATGTACTGAAATGACCACCCAGCAAAAGCACCCTTCAACAATGAAGGCAAAAGCATGACATTTTCAGACAAAAACTGAGAGAGTTTACTACCAATAGACCATCATCAAAAGAAATCCCAAAGGATGTATGGTCATTTAGGAAAATTACCCCAGATGGAATGTTAGAGGTGTAAGAAAGAATGAATAGTGAAGAAAGTGGTAAATCTGTGAGTAGATTAATTAAACATTTGGCTGTAAAACAATAATAATACTTCGAGGCACTTGAAAATATAAAGAGACTTGAAATATACAAGAAATGTAGCATACAAGTTGGAGGTGGTGATGATGGTGGTTAGTGGAGTTAAAATACTGTAATCTTGTCTTGTTTTAAAGGAGAAAAGCATCAAGAAAGAAAGAAAAAGATAATCCTTGGCTGTGCAGGACTCTTGTAATCATTGTACAGCAATTAGTATTCCTGCCTTCTTTCCACTAAATGTAAGTAGCACCCATGTCCTCCCATTACCACGGTTACCAAAAACACCCTCATTAATTTTCAATGTGTCCCTGGGGGCAGTGCTGCTTTTGTCAAGAACTGCTTTTGTAAGTTCTACAATGCTCAGGCTCCATGATTAAAATTCATGGAACAGCAAACACTTAGAAGTCTAGCAACTAAATGATTGTCTTTTTTTTACCTAGAGATGTTACTTTTAAATTGGAAAATGTATCCCTGATTATTTTCACTCATTCATTCATTCATTCATTCATTCAAGAAATATATATTGAATGCCTATTATTATCAGGCAAACTCTTAAGTCAGTAGACCGAAATTTGAGTTTTTGTTTGTTTGTTTGTTTGAGGCAAGATCTTGCTCTGTCATACAGACTGGAGTGCAGTAGCACAGTCTTGACTTACTGTAACCACCTGCTCCCAGGCTCAAGCGATCCTCCCACCTCAGCCTCCCCAGTAGCTGGGACTGCAGGTGCTCACCATCACATCTGGCTAAATTTTTAGTTTATTTTGTAGAGACAAGGTTTTGCCATGTTGCTCAGGCTAGTCTTGAACTCCTGGGCTCAAGCAATCCACCTGCCTTGGCCTCCCAAAGTGCTGGGATTACTGGTGTGAGCTACCATGCCCAGCCAAATTCAAATTTTACTTCTGCTACTTATTGGCCGAATAAGCCATGTGACCCAAGGAGTTTCTCTTGTTGTAAAATGGGTTTCATAATAATGCCTAACCTTATCTATCTTACAGAATCACTGCTAAAGTTGACTAAGATGCAAGGCATTTAAAAGTGAACAGAAAATTGTATCACATCTGCAAAACATAGATAAGCTAAGCACATAATACTTGTTAGTTTTTATTATGTGTACTCTTGTGGTGGCTAAAAGATGCCACATTAATCAGGACCGACTATATGCCATGTTACTGTAGCTGTGGCATGCTACTCATTGCAGATGAGAAAGCAGAAATAACAGAAAGGTTAAGTTGCTTACTTAAGGCCAGCTAGCCAGTAAGTGGGAGGAAAGAGCATCTGAACATATATTTGTTTGAAACTCTTGTTTTAACTTATCCACCTTTTGAAGAGTGTGGTTGACTCTCTCTCTCTCTTTGCCTCTCTCTCTCTCTCTCTCTGTGTGTGTGTGTGTGTGTGTGTAGCATTGATTCATTTATTCAACAATTATTTACACCTATTATGCACCAGGCTGTTTTAAGTTCTGGGGATATAGCAGTGAACAGAACACCAAAATCCCTTCCTTCCTCTCTTCCTTCCCTTTCATTCTTCCTTCTGTTGCAGCCTCCTCCCTCTACCCTCTCCACCTCTTTTTCCTTTCTCTCCTCTTTCCCTCCCTCTGTTTCCCTCCACCACTCCCCCTCCTCTTTCCTTCACTCCCTTCTTTCTCTGCTCCTCCAACCCCCGCTCTACTCCCAGTTGAGACAGGACCTGCCAGGCCTGGTAGGAGGGCCATACATTTTGGTACCAGTGCTTGACTAGGCGGATGAGGCTCTTGAGCTTGGTGGGGCGCTGCTTCAGGAAGTTTCTCTGTAGTTCTGTGAAGCAGGTGGAGAACTCGCCCTCTTTCTGCAGGGAGACGCACTCCTCGATGAGCTCGACATAGATTTGGGGGTCAGGTTTATAGCCGCCAGTCAACTGACCTGTTCGGGCAAAACCCACAATTTAGGTGTCAGCTCTTCTCAGAAGTTCCTTCAGTCACTCTGAGGGGACAATCCCCCTGGCCATGGGATTTGATTGGAAAGTGCAACAAACCCAGGACTGGGAAGCCTGAGGTCCATTCCTGATCCTCCCTCCTGCCCTCTCCACTGCCATCACCCCATCCAAGCCACCACATCACTCGCTGGAACTATGGCAGCCACCTCTTTACAGGTTCCCCCACAGCCTATTCTCAACCTGGCACCTAGAGAGAACTTTTAAAATCTGATCATGCTGCTTCCTGCATCCCACAACATCTAGAATTTTAAAACCCAGAGTCCTTATGGTGGCCAATGATATCTAGTGTGATCTGGTCTCTGGAACCTCTCTCACCTCACCTCCTCTCTTGCTTCCTTTGCCCACTTTCTACTTCTCTTTTTCTCTCTTCTTCAAATGTGCCACGGTCACTGCTGCTGCAGGGCCTCTGTACTTGCCGTTCCTCTTCCCAGAACCTCCAGATCTTCCCAAGTTTCACTCCTTCTCATCACTCAGGCTCAGGGACCCTCCCTCCGGATCCTGTCTAAAAAAGCCCCCTAACTCCCATGGCTGTCTATTGTTTCATCCTACTTCGTTTTTTTTTTTTTTTTTTTCCAAGATGGAGTCTCGCTGTGTTGCCCAGGCTGGAGTGCAATGGCATGATCTTGGCTCATTGCAGCCTCCATCTCTTGGGTTCAAGCAATTCTCCTGCCTCAGCCTCCCAAGTAGCTACGATTACAGGCGTGCACCACCATGCCCAGCTAATTTTTGTATTTTTAGTAGAGATGAGATTTCACCATGTTGGCCAGGCTGGTCTTGAACTCCTCACCTCAAGTGATCCCCCTACTTTGGCCTCCCAAAGTGCTGAGATTACAGGTGTGAGCTACTGTGACCAGCCTTCTCCCTCTTGTCTTACAACCGTTGTACTCTAGCCCCCAACACAGGAAATGGCACAAATGAGAGAATCCAAAACTTTCTCACACCCTGGTGTCTTTGGAGTGTCAGCCTTTTATTTTTATGGCTGCCCTAGGACTAAAGGAAACTGTGACAGTACCTTTAATTAAGTACTAATTACTTGATAATTAATCACTAATTATTGTTTAATGACCAACTATTAATTAGTAGCCACTAATCAGTAAGTTCAAACAATTTAATAGTAGCTGTTTGTTTGGTTTGTGACAGATGTCATTGCATTTCCCTCAACAAATTAAAATCTGAACTATTCCGTGTCCCTCTCTGAGTTCACTGTGGTGTTCTGAGGCGCCTTCATACACAGCTGGGAAATTCATAGTTTTGATTGATTGACTGATTGAGACAGGGTCTTGCTCTTGCTCTGTGCCCAGGATGGAGTGCAGTGGCACATTCGTGGCTCACTGACACCTTGAACCCTTGGCTGTCCTCATGTGATCGTTCAGTCTCAGCGTCCTGAATAGCTGTGACCACAGGCATGTACCACCACACTTGGCTAATGTTTTAAAATTTTTAGTAGAGATGAGGTTTCACTTTGTTGCCCAGGCTGGTCTTGAGCTCCTGGGGTCAAGCGACCCTCCCGCCTCAATCTCCCAAAGTGTTGGAATTACAAGCATGAGCCACCACACTTGGCTGGAAGTTCCTATTTTTGAACACCTATTACTCATCAGAGCTGAATGTAGATGATCATTTATCAGTTAAAATAATGATATGATATAGGCAGTGTGGTTTTACCAATTCTCCTGATGTGGCGAGGGAGCCTCGGAGAGGTTACACTTCCTGTCCAAATGTTCCTGCAGATTATAAATATCTATCTCCCAACATGCTGCATACGTTTGATGAGATCTCATGTTGGGACAAAGATGAAAGTAACATGAACTTTAAGCCACATCTTTGCTGCCTGATTTTAGAAAGATAAAATTCACACATTTTGCCATAAACAGAACAGTAAGCCTTGCAGATGTTCTGTAAGAAACGTCTTTGTCCTCACATTATGCCAATTTGCTGTTTAGTGTCTCTCCTGTGATAGATCATGACCATATTCATTCTTGCCCTGGAAGAGATCCTAAGGTCTCCTCCCACCCTGCTTTAGAGGGATGCCCTGTTGGGGCAAAAAGCTCTCAAGCTGTAGGAGATTTCTGCTCAGAAATGGGAAGAGGGAGAAAAAGAAGCTGGGAGCTCTCACCCAGGGCATCAAAGGCAGGCAGCACATCGAACTCCACCCCCTCCCCGAGCTGGGGCGAACTCAGCACGAAGCTGAGCGCGCGGGGATTGTCCCAGCGTGGAGCCTGGACCTCAAACTTCACGGAAAATGCTCTCTCTCTTTGACAGGCTTCCAGCTGTTTCCTAATTTCCCGGATGAACTCTCCCCGGCGATTTAACTGATCCTGAAAAGTCGTGAGAGGACTGAGGAAGACAACCAGGTCAGCGTCAGATCGGCCTCTGAGGGAGGTGCCTTTGCCAGAGGAGCCACCCTGAAAAAGACAACAAGAATAATAACTGACGCTTAGTGAGGCAAACCTCCCTAAATAAAATGACAGGAGCAATCACTAACATTATGGAGCATTAGCCACTGTCCTGAAGGCGTCGCATATCTTAAACTCCTATGATGCTCGCAATGATGCTATGATTTGGGTGCCATTATCATTAGTCCCCATTTTACAGATGGGAAATGGATGCTCAGTGAGATAATATATCAGCCCCATCGCCCAGCTAGTAGGTGGCAGATACAGTTCAAACCTGGGGGCCTTCTTCCAGGATCTGTGTTCTTTTCCCATTGTCCTTTACTATGCCCAAGACTAGCTTATGCTGGGTGGTTCACACTTACTATTTCACTTAATCTGCACGGCCCTGTGAGGTGTTGAGGGGAAGAGGAGGAAAAATCAGTTAGGTAAACGGTCAAGGCTGGGCCCTGGAGGAGTGGCCTGCCTGAAACTGGCGCAGGAAGTGGGGCTTATCTGAAACAAAGCCACAGTCATACGTACAAGAGAAGCGACGCTTTGTGCTTGCCTAGAGACATACCCACAGCTGCATAAGGTAAGGGGAGTTGCACAGCTTTACTGACAACAAGTTTCTCAAACAGTTACAGGGAAGAGAGCAGTTTCTTGTAAAAGTTTTTTGCATTCATCTGCGATCCGGCAATCCACTCAGACTTCCCTCTCCACAGCAGAGAGAGCTTTCTTCTTTTGCTTACTGAACTTTTGCTCCAAGCTCACCTTTGTGTCCATGTTCCTTAATTTTCTTGGACGCAGGACAAAGAACCTTGGGTACTAATTCAGACAATGAGAAGCTGCTACATTAAGGTGCATTGGCAAGACTGCAACAGTATGGGGGATTATGGCTGAGGAAACTGGGACACAGAGCAGTTAAGTGACTCGCTCAAGGTCTTGCAGCCAGCAGATGCTATTTGTTTTCAAAACATATGATTCTTCACTGCAGAAATGGTGAGCCCCTAGCCTGGCCACTAATTAGCCAGTGGTTTACCAGAGCTGGGCTTCAGTTTCCCTTTTTCTGAAATGGTCATGGCCTAGGACAGTGGTTCATAAACTTTAATGGGAAGGTCGGGGGGAGGGTCACTTGTTAATAATAGGGATGTAGCATTTCACCCCAGAATCTATTTTATCATACTGTGTGGATAAGTAAGAAACCACCAGCCCAGAAGATCTCAGCTGTCTGTACTCACATTTGCACCCTGGGTTCTAGGTTTCTCTCTCTCTCTCTCTCTTTTCTTTCTCTCTCTCTCTTTTCTTTCTCTCTCTCATTCTCAATCTCAACGCTTGTGCGTTCAGCCACCCCTCCCCTGGCCAGGCAGGCCTGGACTCACCTTTACCACCTTGGACACACGTACAGGGTAGGAGCTACCTCGGAAGCACCTTTCCTTCAGGAACCCACAGATGATGTCAATGGCATGGTTGATTTGCATGCGAAAATGCGTGTCTGGCAAGAGATAGTCTTCAATGAACTTGTCCAGAGATTTGGCTGGGGTTTTTCTGAGATCCATCATCGACAGGAGAGACAGTGGCAACAGAACTGGCTCCCAGACCTGTTCACTTTTATCTCTTCTGCTGACTGAGCCTGGGCTGCTGTTGGTTTCGTTTGCTCGGAAGGGAGGAGCCGTCTTTTCATTTTCCTTTTGCAAATCAGACACTCCCCTGATTCCAGTGCTGAATTTCATCTGCTTGCTTTCTGCTTCCTGAAACTTACCCTTTGTCCTTAAACCAGCAACTAGCAGCCCAGCCTTTCTCTGAACTCTATTCTGGAAATGCATTTTAACCCCCAGCCAACATAAATCATATTTAACAGATTTTGTGTTTCCTTCTTTATCTTTTTTTTGTTGTTGATGAAATCATTTCACAGTTGTCTGTGGTATTTTCCAGCAATTCATGCCCATTGCAAAAAGAAAAAAGTCAGAGAAATCAGGAAGTGGAAAGATTATCTATGATTCTAAAACTACAAAATTGCCTCTATAAACATTTTGATATAGAGCTTTCCAGATTTTTTTTTATGTTAACACACACACAAACAGAGGTCTCTTTTCTTTTTCTTAAGAATGGTATTATACTATGCTTTTTTCCCTTTCAATTAGTAGATTTTTTACTTTATTATCTTTTGGAGACAGGATCTTGCTTTGTTACCCAGGCTGGAGTGCAGGGGCATGATCATGACTCACTGCAACCTCAACCTCCTGGATTCAAGCGATCCTCCTGCCTCAGCCTCCTGAATACCTGGGACTACAGGCATGCGTTACTGCACCCAGCTCATTTTTTATTTCTTGTAGAGATAAGGTCTTGGTATGTTGCCCAGGTTGGATTTTGTTTTTCACAGCAGTTTTAGGCTTACAGAAAAATTGAGCTGAATGTGCAGAGAGTTCCGTAAGAGCTCTCTCCTTCTGCCAATAAGTTCCTCTATTATTAACAGTGTGTGATACATTTGTTACAATTGATGAATTGATATTAATACATCATAATTAACAAAAGTCCATTTACATTAAGGTTTACATTAAGGTTCACTCTTGTGTCCTGCAGTTCTGTGGGTTTTGCCAAACATAACAGGTCATGTATCCACCATTATAGCATCATGCAGGATAGTTCTGAGATAGGAGGTGGGGCTCAGCTTCAGAGGTGGGGCTTGACTCAGGGCCAGATTGAAGACTGGCTGGCATGAGCACCAGCACCATGAACAGTTTCCTCATTCCCTGGCAATGACCCAGAAGTTACCACCCTTCTTCTAGAAATTTCTGAATAACCTGCCTTTACTTTGAATGTATTTAAAAGTGGGTATGAAAGTGACCGTAGAACTGCCCTGAGCTGCTGCTCTCCAAGCACTGCCTATGGGGTGGCCCTACTCTGAGTCACAGAGCTATAACCTTGCTGCCTCAGTAAACCTTTTTCTTCCTCCTCTAGCTCACCCTTGAATTCTTTCCTGGACAAAGCCAAGAACCTTCCCGTACAATGTCCCAATTTTGGGGCTCCCCTGCCCTGCAACAGTTCAACTACCTTAAAACCCCCCGTGCCTCACCTGTTCATTCCTCTCTGAGTTAGATCTTTCTTCTCCTAATATACGCATTCAACGCTATAAATTTCCCTCTAAACACTACTTTCACTACTTCCCACACTTTTGGATAGGCTGCTTTTTCATTTTAATTTAATTCAAAACATGTTTATTTATTTTGTTGAGATGGGGTTTCACGCTGTTGCCCAGGCTGGGGTGCAGTGGCACAATCTTAGCTCACTGCAGCCTTGACCTCCCGGGCTCAGGCGATCCTCCCACCTCAGCCTCCCAAAGTGCTGGGATTATAGGCGTAAGCCACTGCGCCTGGCCCAAAATATTTAAAAATCTCTCTTGAGACTTCTTCCTTGCCCCAGGTGTTATTCAGAGGTGTGTTCTTTAATCTCCATATATTGTGGAATTTTCCAGCTATCTTTCTTTCATGGGTTTCTTTTTTAATTCTATTATAGTAAAGAGCATGCTTTGTATGACATATCTCTGTTGAAATTTGTTACAGTGTGTTTTCTAACCCAGAACATGATCTATCTTGGTGAATGTTCTGTGTGAGTTTGAGAAGAATGTGTTTCCTGTTTTTTGTTGGATGAAATATTTTGTAAATGCCAACTATCTTTCTTATAACCCCTTAACCTCTTAACCAGATTATTCATGAATTGACACACTCCACTCCTACTGTATAAGATGTTGACTTTGACCTAAGACTAAATGTCACCTTGGGGGTGGGGTGCTGTCTTTACAATACTCACTTCATTTACCAGTTGAAGATTCTTGCTGCACTCTATGCAAAAGTTAGGCCGAGTATGATAAAGCAAACCAGTCACACCATGATTCACCTTTAGTAAAAATGGGAAACTGGAAAAACATTATGTTTCAAAAACTATAGTGCACCTGTTGTTACATTCTAGTTTTGCCTAATGTTTTTCAATTTTTTATTATTTTCTATAGTTTGGACTAAATTCTAATTTTTCTTGGCTATAAGTCTCCAAAATAATGTTTTAAATTTTTTCCTTCTTTTTTCCCCATTTTCCCTAATTTGGACTCACTGGAAACTAAGTTGTGCTTTTATAAAGCCCTGCAAACTGGAGCTAGACAACTTAAACCTCAGAAAAAAATAACGACATATTTACAGACATAAGCTACTTTCATACCTATTTGCTGATGTGTGAACTTCGGAGTACTCTGGCCTGTATCTTGATTTTCCAGGATTGTTCTTTTGTGTGTTGTTGCTGTTTTCCCTTCCTCTTCCTATTTTCTCTTCATAGGACATGAGACTTTACAACCTTCTAAAAATGAGCTTTCCTAATAACTTGGGACCTACCCCTGTAGCAATAAACCATCTTAGCCAAGTTTCACCCTCAGATGAAACCTGAGAGTAGAGACTCATTTTCTTCTAAAATGCTTTCTCTGAAATATTTTTAAAAACAAAAGGGAGGAAACGTGAGAGGAAAATATCTTGGGGCCCCAAAATCACTCAGCTAAAGGGAAAAATCAAGCTGGGAACTGCTCAGGGCAAACCTGCCTCCTGTTCTATTCAAAGTCACCCCTCTGCTCACTGACATAAATGCATTTTGGATTGCCCCCTTCAGAGAGGCTAATCAGAAACTCAAAAGAAACGCAAAAGAAGGCAACCATTTGTGTCTTATATACCTTGGAATCCCACTCCCCGCTTTGAGTTGCCCTGCCTTTCCAGACCAAACCAGTGTTCATCTTACATATGTTGATTGATGTCTTATGTCTCCCTAAAATGTACAAAACCAAACTGTGATCTGACTGCCTTGGGCACGTGTCATCAGGGCCTCCTGAGGCTCTGTTATGGGTGTGCGTCCTCAACCTTGGCAAAATAAACTTTCTAAACTAACTGAAAAAAAAAAAAAAAGATTCTGGCCGGGAGCAGTGACTCAGGCCTGTAATCCCAGCACTTTAGGAGGTGGAGGCAGGAGGCTCACTTGAGCTCAAGAGTTTGAGACCAGCTTAGGCAACATAACTAGATGCTGTCTCTAAGTAAATAAATAAATAAGACTTTGTTTGCTCCCATAGTGAGACCCTGTCTCTAAATAAATAAATAAAATTTTGTTTGCTCCATAATGTCCTCATGGCAATTGCAGTTGTCAAATATTTTTGATTAAAATATATATATATATATTTTTGATTAATATATATATATATATACACACACACACACACACACGCACACAGATGAGTGGAAGAGAGAGCTGTCCTTAGGAAACCAACATCGAATTTTTTGGAAAGATGCAATAAAGGCAAGCATTGCATAGAATTAGCTAAGAGTGACATGATCCCATAGAAGACTGAGAAAATAAGTTGGAACAAATCCACTTATGTCCAGGATTATGCCCTCATGCCTTTGGAGGTGGCTTTAAATTATTGTTTCCTTTAAAAAAACAGAAACAGGAAACTATAGACCATTCATTCTTGTGCTTTGAGAGAAAGATAGGGTGGGACTCCAGTCAGTGGGCCCGTCCTCGGCATAAAGGTCTCAGTCTTCGACTAATGATTAGGAAACAAAGGCACATTTGTGGGGTGTAACAATTAACATAGAGAATCATGATGCTCTAATGTCTACCTGTGTAGTCAGAGAACAAAAAGGGAAAGTGACTTATTCAAGGTCACACAGCAGACATGGACAAGAACCAAGCAAAAGATACCTCTTTTTTTTTTTTTTTTTTTTTGACAGAGTCTCGCTCTTTTGCCCAGACTGGAGTACAGTGGCACAGTCTCGGCTCACTGCAACCTCCGCCTCCTGGGATCAAGCAATTCTCCTCCCTCAGCCTCCCGAGTAGCTGGGATTACAGGTGCCCACCACCACGCCCAGCTAATTTTTTGTATTTTTAGTAGAAACAGGGTTTTACCATGTTGGCCAGGCTGGTCTCGAACTCCTGGCCTTGTGATCCACCCACCTCGGCCTCCCAAAGTGCTGGGATTACCGGCATGAGCCACTGCACCCAGCCAAAAGATACCTCTTATATGCATGCTTTTGCTTTCACGGTGCTCTTTTTAAAAAAATATTATTATTTTTATTTATTTATTTTTTGAGATGGAGTTTTGCTCTTGTTGCCTAGGCTGGTGTGCCATGGCTCGATCTCAGCTCACCGCAACCTCTGCCTCCCAGGTTCAAGCGATTCTCCTGCCTCAGCCTCCTGAGTAGCAAGGATTATAGGTACCCGCTACCACGCCTGGCTAATTTTTTGTATTTTTAGTAGAGACAGGATTTCACCATATTGGCCAGGCTGGTCTTGAACTCCTGACCTCAGGTGATCCACCCGCCTGGCCTCCCAAAGTGCTGGGATTACAGGCATGAGCCACCGTGCCCGGTCAAAAATTATTTTTAATTATTATGAATACATAATAGTTGTACCTATTTATGGGGTGCATGCAATATTTTGGACACAAGTATATGATGTGTCACGATCACAGGGTAATTGGAGTGTCCATCACCTTGAATGGCTTGCTTAACCTCATCAAGCCAATGTCCCTGGCAGATCTGATTGAGCTGAGCAGGGGTCAGTGTTTAATCCACTTGGCCGTAAGCCCAGCCGCGATTGGGCCTGCACTGCTTTCACCAGGAACCACCAGCCCTGTGACCTGCCCCTTTTCCTGGCCTCCCCTTTGTCATCCCTGATGGCAGACCAGACCTCAGCAACTTGGTCTTGCTTCTGACTCCTACTTGGAACAAACATCTCTAGCTGTTGGCTGAATTTCTGTGGGCGTCAGCAGGAAAGTCTGCCCCCATCTGTGCAGGGACCTTGGAGATCTGATTTCTGCCTCACCTGAACCTCACCCACTTTCAGCTCCAACGTCCTGTGTTCAACCAATGCCAGTTCAAGAGCATTTTCCCCGTATGCAAGCTGCATGAGGGAGCCCAAGTTTAGGGGCTGGCAAGTGGAGGTGGCACTTGTCAAGTCCCTACTATGTGCCAGGGACTCTCGGTGGACTGTACCATTAACATCTCTCAGCAACTCTTTGAAATATTTATGACACCAGTTGAGGAAACTGATACTCAGTGAGGCTAAATGACTTGGCCAAGTTCCCATAGCTAGAAAGTGTCAGTCAAAATTTGAATGCTGGACTTAATTAAAATTTTGGCTGGTGTTCTTTTCAGGGCAGATGCTTTCCAACACACCATATAGCCACTTACAGAGTGTTTTACTTCAGTGGGGTCAGCCAGGGGTCGGGGGTGGGAGCTGCACAATTAGCTAGATCAGGTGTACTAATATTTATGAAAACTTTCCTCCTATGTATTCATCTCAGTCTATTAGGCATGTATGCATATAAATGAAGATCAACCAATTTAAGCACGGAAATTAGGCTTCTTTTTAACCGCCAGCCATGACCAACTGGTGGTGGCTCCCTGGAACACTGGGTTGAGAGGGACTCAGGCTGCTTGTAGGTTCTGTAGGAAAGATGCCGTATTGATTAGTGATGTCTGCCAGGAGCACAGGGAGAATGGCAAGTGTCTCCAGCTGTTCCTGCCAGGCTTGTATGGACCTAATTAGCACCTCTCTCCACCTAGTGGCAGCTAGCTAAATTGCCACCAGGAAAAACGGATCAACTTTTTGGGTAGTGGTTTTCAAAGTCATGATGAAGGTGGAAATCACAAGGCATCAACCAGGAAATACTTTCTTTCTTTTTTTTTTTCTTTTTCGAGGCGGCATTTCACTCTGTCGCCCAGGCTGGAGTGCAGTGGTATGATCTCAGCTCACTGCAACCTCCACCTGCCGGGTTCAAGTGATTCTCCTGTCTCAGCCTCCGAGTACCTGGGACTATAGGTGCCTGCCACCACACCCGGCTAATTTTTGTATTTTTAGTAGAGATGGGGTTTCACCATGTTGGCCAGACTGGTCTTGAACTCTTGACCTCAGGTGATCCACCCACCTCGGCCTCCCAAAGTGCTGGGATTACAGGCATGAGCTGCTGTTCCCAGCCAGGAAATAGTTTCAACTATACACCTTGTCCTCAGGGTTTAGCAGAATCTGTGGGGAGGTATGGGGAGCATGCGTAGTTTGAAAAGAAATCTCCCAAGTGAGACTAACATGCCAGCTTCTGCTTTTGAGGGCGCAACAAGGAAATGGTCTCACGGAAAAGAGAAATATCTGTGGGATCGAATTGACAGCTCCTTCTTGAAGTAACCAACATTACTGATAAATTGCTTAAGCACTTTGGGGATGGATTATAGTGTGATTAAGAATTCGAGAGGCCGGGTGTGGTGGCTCACACCTGTAATCCCAGAACTTTGGGTAGCCAAGGCAGGTGGATCACCTGAGGTCAGGAGTTTGAGACCAGCCTGGCCAACATGGCGAAACCCTGTCTGTACTAAAAATACAAAAATTATCCAGGTGTGGCGGCAGGCACCTGTAATCCCAGCTACTCAGGAGGCTGAGGCGGGAGAATTGCTTGAATCCAGGAGGTGGAGGTTGCAGTGAGCCAAGATTGCACCACTGCACTCCAGGCTGGGCGACAGAGGGAGACTCAGTCAAAAAATAAAAAAAAGATTTTTTTCTGGAAAGTTATTTACTGATTCAGTTCACCTTCAGGACTATTGAGAGTCTCCAATGAGAGACTCGTTGTAGGTAGGAAGGTGCTAGAATGCAAGGGAGGCATTTGATGGTCCATGCTCATCAATCAGTGTGTTAAGGACACTGGACTCTAGGAGTCCAACAACCGAACTCCTTTCCTGGCATTGCCTTTGTGAAACATTGGACATGGCATTTTCTTCTCTGGACCTTGGTTTCTTCATCTGTCTAAAAAGCGAGTTGATTGAATTAGGTTGTGGCTGAATTTTATGTTCTCTTTTAGCTTTGGCAATTTCTGATTCTGCAACCACCTGGGACTTTTTCCAGGTCTTGTAGCAGCAGGAGGAGGATGAGGATGTTGACTTCCTGTTCATTGGGCACCAGCAACAAGTATTCTTCTAAAAGGGTTTGGAGTCAGCCAAGTTACCTTAGGCCCACCTGCCCAAGATAAAATCCACCAGAAAGCAAACTCCTCGTGGGCAGAGAACACATCTGTCCCCAGTGGCTGGAACATTAAACACTAACTATCAGAATAGCTTATGTCCTGGTGGGGAGGAAGACTTTGCAGAAACCAGAAAGGAAAAATGCAGACCACTTGTTTTCCTGGATGTTCCTACTTTATTTCTGGCTACATCATCACAAAGAAAGATGCTGGGTGGTTGTGCATGCACCGGAGGACATGTGTGTATTCTAGGCAGGGAGGTGGTTACATTTGTTAGGAAGAGCACGCCCCCAGACTAGGGGCACTATGAGCTAGCTGCATGCTGATTCCAGCGCCTACACCAGCATCAGGCTTGGGCGACACAGCCAGCATGCTGTCTCCTAAGGGGAAACGGGAAGGGAGGTGGGCTGAGAGTAGGTGCCACCAGGGACTAATGGGGAAGGATAGGGTCAAAAGGAAAGGTGGTGGCCAGGAAGCTGTTGGCCACTTTGGGGAAGGTGAAGAGCTCGATGTTTAGAAAATGGTTATTCAAGGCAAGAAATGAGTCCTCCCATGAATTGTGCAGGGAGCTGAGGGTGGAGGGCGTTGAAAAGTTAAGAGATGTGAGTTGGGGGAAAGTGAGAGTTTCAGTGTCTGTCTGATGCTTCTGTAGAGAATGTCAGGGGTTTGGGATGACTGGGGGTGCTTTTCATGAGGGAAGACCTCATTGAAATTGGGAAAATCAAACCTTTCTCTCAGGGCAGCACTGAAGATGCCTGACCTCAACCTCAAGTGTGTAATGTTTGCCCACACTCTCCATTGTTCCATAACCATGATGTTATTTGATTCTCCCAGGAAGCTTAGTAAGGAGAGTGCGGGAGACAGACAGACAGACAAAGAGAGACAGAGAGACTGGGGGGGGGGCGTTCTGAGTGAAAGACGGGACGCAAGAGAGTCAATGAAACAGAGTCAAAGGGCACTGGGGAGGAGGGTAGCCTCATTTACCTAAGAGCAGAGAAAGGAGAAAGGCTGGAGGCTTTGGATGAGGCTCCCTCAGACCCATAGCCCTGGTCTTCTAAATGCCTCCTGTGCCCACCCAGGGAGCCCATGGAGAGCCCCTCTATGGGGCATCTACACAGCTCAAGGGATGCTGCCACGCACCCAGGGCAGTGCCAGCCACTGGCCCGAGCCCTGGGAATGTCTGGCTCTGCCAACAGGAGAAGTGGGTCACTTAAGAAGTGTGGGCCCAAGTGAAATCTCAGATTTGGGCCAGTTTCTCAGTTTCCTGGTCAGGCTGGTGAGAGGAAGGAGGTGAGGCTGGGTTAACATACACTTTTTTGCTATTGTTTTTGCGGTGTTACTGCTTTAGAGAGAGAGAAAGGCAAAGGGGAGAAAGGCAGGGAGAGAAAGGAGAAGGGAGAGGCTGAGAAAGAGAGAATCTACTATGACGAAAGGGAGAGAAGAGGGAGGAGGAGAAAAGGTGACAGAGGAAGGGATTTTTGTTGTCGTTTGTTTTTGTTTTGCTTGGAAGCACACAGGTGACATTCAGAAAGAGGAGAGCGTCCAAGCCCCTTGGTGAATTCTGTGCATTTGCATCTTGGTGCACTTGGAGCAGGGAGGGTGTGTTCCTGAACACAGCAGTCTGTTTTCCTGGCAATCAAGGTGTGCATCTCAGGGGGCAGTGGGAGCCTGGAGCCTCTATTTCTGCCCCAATGCTTGTCCTCACAGCATTGTCCGGGTCTGCTGACAACTGAGAGTACACAGAGACACGACACAGGGAATGAAAGGGAGGGGGTGTGTGTGTGTGTGTGTGTGCGTGTGTGTGTGTGTGTTCAAGGCTAGAAGGGTCTACAAACAGTCCTAAATGACGAAGAACCTTTGTAATTTACCCAAACTGAGAGGTTATTAAATGATCAACCTCTTTGTAAACATCTCCCCAACCCCATCCCCATTGCTCCATCCCAGGGACCAGAGAGGGGCTATATTCAGAGCCCACAGCCCAGCATCAGGGAGGAGGGAGTCTTTGGCAGCAGTGCCCAACATGATGGGGGCTCAAAGGCAGGCTCAGGGAGATCAGCAGGGTATGGGGGGAGGTAGGCATAGAGAAGAGAGATCAGGGTGCGGTGGGCAGCTGGGGCAGGCTGGGGGGGACCCGGGACATGGAGTTGGGGACCTGGGCACTAGCCTAATCACTTGACACGTGGTTCTCATTCTGTAGCTGGTGCCAGCGCTCTATCTTCTTGTCTTTATTTTTCAGACACTCGTACCAGTGTTTTAAGCGCTCTCCCTTAGCAGAGATCCCCAGCTGGCAGCCTCCTGGAGGATAAATGGGAAGATAGGAGCAGGTGGTCAGAATAGAGGTCATTCTAGACCCAAACGTGTAGTTGGGGGAAAAACTGCACCAAGCAGTGACCCCCAGCAACTTGGGATCCATACTCTACAGAGAGTTGTTGTTATAACATTGTTGTTGTTGTTGTTGTTACTACTGGCCTTCTCTGCCTCAGGAACCTGCAATGGCTCCCTACTGTCCCACCAAGTCATAATTTCACTGTCTATTTTTAAAGACTTTTTACAAATCACCCTTCTACTCACTGAAACTTATCTCCCACTGCATCTGGGAACTCATTGTCTATTTCCAAAGAGTTTCATCATCCTGCTCAATCCTGTCTTTACCCCTTAGCTGAGGCTCTGTCCCTTGCCTGGAGTCCCCACCCCCCTGCTTCATCTTTAATTGATTTTCTTCCTCATGATTCAGAGAGGAACTAAAAAATTAAAAATTTTATCCTGGACATGCAAATAAATTAAGAATTCTTTTGCACCCTCCTTTCTGCAGAGAACGCACATCTCTCCTGTGGTTTAATTACCCCACTGGATGTGATCTGTTCAACAAATAATCAAGTTTTGTAAGCCCTTTCATGTAAAGACATCCCCAACTTGGACCAAAGTCAGGACCATGGGTCTCAAATTAGCATTTGAACAATGTGGTTGCCAAAAGAAAAGCAGTGACCTCAACTCTCTGTAGCCCTGGATAAGGCCCTCCTGTTCTTGGGAGGACAGAAGAGAGCGTTTTCTCTGGAGTTAGGAACACTCACCGATGTAATCATTGGACTTGCCGATGTCATAGTCCCAGACCGAGATGTCCAGTGACTTCTTTGCCAGGTCACTGTGTTTGATGTCATAGAAAAACTCCTGGATACAACAGAGGAAGACATGTGAGTACGAGCCCTCTGAACCCACAGCATTGGGAGGTAAGAGGCAGGGTCCTGGAGGTCATGGGCCAAGGAGAGGAGCTTGAGCTGGCATTCTGGGAGCAAGGAGATCTTCCTGCTCCGATCCTCTGCCCAGGTCCAGTGATTCCCTTCCAACAAACACTCTATGTAACAAAGCACTGTCATCCTCTTTTCAGTGAATTCTCTGCTTGACATTGGGAAGGCTGGTGAAGTTTTTCTAATAGAGCTCAAGTTTCCTTGTAAGTAAATGGCCATGAACTCAGTCCTTCCCCTCTCGTAGCTTCTGAAGGGGCATCCCCTTTTTTATTGCTTAGGGATTAAAAGTAGTTGAAGTGGCCAGGCACAGTGGCTCACACCTATAAGCCCAGCACTTTGGGAGGCCGAGGTGGCAGATCATTTGAGGTCAGGAGTTCGAGATCAGCCTGACCAACATGGTGAAACCCCATCTCTACTAAAAATATGAAAATTAGCCAGGCATGATGGTGGACACCTGTAATTGCAGCTATTTGGGAAGCTGAGGCAGGAGAATCACTTGAACCAGGGAGGTGGAGCTTGCAGTGAGCCGAGATCGTGCCACTGCACTCCAGCCTGGGCCACGGAGCAAGACTCTGTCTCAAAAATAAATAAATAAATAAATAAATAAATAAATAAAGTTGAAGTGGACTGAGTATATATGTTCCCAGACAATCTGATTTTTTAAAAATATCTTTTCTGCCGGCCGGGTGCGGTGGCTCACGCCTGTAATCCCAGCACTTTGGAAGGCCAAGACGGGCGGATTACGAGGTCAGATTGAGACCACCCTGGCTAACGTAGTGAAACCCCGTCTCTACCAAAAATACAAAAAATTAGCTGGGCATGGTGGCGGGTGCCTGTAGTCCCAGCTACTCGGGAGGCTGAGGCAGGAGAATGGCGTGAACCTGGGAGGCGGAGCTTGCAGTGAGCAGAGATAGCGCCACTGCACTTCAGCCTGGGCGACAAACAAGACTCCATCTCAAAAAAAAAAAAAAAAAAAATAGCTTTTCTGCCTAATTACAAAATTCATTTATGTTCATTGCTAAAACAAAGAAGAACCTCCCCCCATCAATTCCCTGTAACCCAACTACCCAAGAATAACCACTGTCAACATTCGCCCACATGTGTTCACAGTGATGTATAAATTTTTTGTTAATTAAGTAATGCTGAACATACAGTATTGTCACTTCCTTTTTCATTTACAACTTTGGGCAAAAACCAACTTAGCATATTCTCAAATATTTTTCAAATATTTTTCTACATCATTGTTTCAAATGGCTCCATTTAATGGCTATGTAGCTATGTGGCTGTGTGGCTGTGTGGCTGTGTGGCTCTGTGGCTCTGTGACTATGTGGCTCTGTGGCTGTGTGGCTGTGTTTTACAAAGCTCAAACTTATGGCTGTGTGGCTGTGTGGCCATGTGGCCATAACCTAAGCCCTAACAGTTGGGTATTTAAGTTATTTCCAATTTTTCACTATCATCAAAAATACCATAAAAGTCACCCTTGTAGCAGCTGGGTGTGGTGGCTCATGCGTATAATCCCAGCACTTTGAGAGGCCAAGGCTGGGTAGATCTCTTGAGGCCAGGAGTTCGAGACCAGCCTGGCAAACATAGTGAAATCCAGTCTTTACTAAAAATTCAAAAAATTAGCCAGCTGTGTGGTGCACACTTGTAATCCCAGCTACTTGGGAGTCTGAGGCAAGAGAATTGTTTGAGCCCAGAAGGTGGAGGTTGCAGTGAGCTGAGATCGCACCACTGCACTCCAACCTGGGTGACAGAGCGAGATCCTGTCTCAAAAAAAAAAAAAAAAAAAAAAAAAAAAAAAAATCACCCTTGTAGCTATGTCATCGCATAGGTTTTTTAAAAAAGTAACCCTTGTAGCTAAATCATTATGTGTGTCCATGATGACTTACTTAGAATAGATTCTGAGAAGTGAATGTTTGAGTTTGTAACATTTTAAGATGGAGAATAGTGGCTATACTGTGATACCATTTGTGTACAATAAGAAAGCTGGTTACACATATACTTACTTTGTATATGTATGTACATTTCAGAAATTGATAATATATTTGCTTCATAAGAAACGAAGTAGGTGCCAACAAGGCTGGGGTAGGAGGGGGACTTTCATTGGATACCCCTTTGTGCTTTCTGAATTTTGAAATATGTGACTGCACTACCTATTCTCCAAATAAGTGGAATTTAACTTTTAACATCTGACAGTTTTGAAAGTGTTTTAGCAAACTTTCCTTCAGAGGTTTGCTTTATCTCCAGTAGTGTGTGGCTTTTCCCACATGCTCACCAATGCTGAGGACCAACATTGAAAAATAATTTTGCATCAGTTTGTTATGCGATATGGTGTCTGGTCTTGATTCACGGCTAGTGAGTTTATTCAGATTTCATGTTTTGTGGCTTACTCAGATTCCAGGAGAGTGTAGGGCAGGACAGCTACAAATGACTCCTTATTCAAAATCCATGATATGAGTTAGGAAATCAGGGGTTCAGCTGAAAGAGGGGCCTAGAGAGGAAGGGCTGAGCTGACCGCTCAGTGATTATTCTGAACTGTTTACACAGCACATTCTCCATGTGGGTGCATATGGGCATATGTTTTTCTTTTTCTTTTTTCTTTTTTTAAAGCAAACAACACTAAACCTACTGTGCTGTAACTTCCCTTTCCCACTTTGCAATATGTGATTAAAATCAGTATTAGCCAGCTCTGCCCCAACATCAGATCTCAGGAGCAGGGCAGAGAAAGGAGATTCAGTGGGTAGAACAGCTCCCAGGGCTGCTCCAGGCAGGCATGGAGCATGAACATGGACTCATTCCTGCTCTGGGCATGGAGCGAGGCTCAGGGATGTGACTCTGGGCTCAGAGCTGGTGTCTCATGGCACTTTGAGACACTTGTCATGGCACTTCTTTGTCTTTATTTAGGTCTAGATCAGAACCATACATGTGGTTTAGATTAGAACTCATTTACTCTTCCACTCTTTCCTCCATTCAACCCTTCATTAATTTCACAGATATTTCTGGATCCCTACTGTCTGACAGGCTTGTCCACAGAAAAGTTAAATCCAGATTTCAACTGGATTTGGAAACTAGAGGGATGCACAGTGTCTGGAAACATAGAGGAAGCACATCTACAGGAGGTAATTCTTATGCTGAGTCCTGAAGGATGAGTAGGAGTTTTTCAGAGAGGAAGAGAGGGAGAGGACAGTCCAGGAAAAGGGAGCAGCAGGTGTGAAGAGACCTGCATGGAGGTGAGTGTCACTTGAGGAGGGGGTGTATAGATAAGGCAGGGATGGAGGTGAGTTTGAAAGGGCTTGATTGTCACGCTAAGAAATTCTAGAGCCATTGTTGAGTTATTGAAGCAAGGGGGTGACAAATTCAGATTTGTGTTTTACAAAGCTCAAACTTATGTGGCGGAGGTGCCAAGCACACAGAAATGAGTCAGGAGTCTACTGCAATCGTCCAGGCCTGAAATGTCAGGGTCTGAGGCAAGACAGCAGCAGTGAGAAGGGAGAGGAAGGAGCACATTCAATGGGTGTCCAAGCAGTGGTTTCAATAGGACTTGATGCACTGGACAGACACGAGGAGTGAAGGACAGGGCATTGTCAACGGGGTGGATGGTAAAGAGCATCACTGTACTGGTTTACTCCCCCGAATTTCAGTATTAGAGACTACTTGAATTGGTGAAGACGTTGGAGACGAGTTAGTTCAATCTCTTCACAAACACTGCTTCCTTCCTATGACATTCCTAATCTGTGGGCTTTTGTCTTAGGCTTGATTTCTTCCAGTGACAAGGAACTCATTCCTGCTTCTTTAGATAATTCAATCTGATCTATCACAGAAAGTGTTTTTTTTTTTTTTTTTTTTTTTTTAATGTGACTTACAACCTTCTAGTAGGAATCTGTGCCTCTCTAACACACAGCAAGTATCCCTGAGCATGATAAAGAATGGGGCAGCCTTACCTCATTGAATTCAGGATTCAAGGTTTTCTTTTTAATTTGAGTCTTGTGTTTGGCCTTCTTTCCCATGTCCGGTTTCAGCCAGCTGGGAGGAGACACAAATGCTATTATGGATGACGTTAAATGAATAAGAACAGCCTCTTGACCCCAAAGGCCCCTTCTTTATCAGGATGAATTGATGAATAAATCAGAAAGGGATCAACACTGATATGACCAATGTGCATTAGAGCATCTGCTTGGTACCTGGCACTTGACTGAACACCTTAGGCATATTTAATCTCCACATGCCCCTAGGCGGTAGAACTATAACCACTCAGTTTACAGACACAGAAAATGAGATCCAGAGAGGCTGAAGTGTGCCCTAGCTCACACAGCTGGGATTGAATCTGGATGTTACATCTAGAGTCTGCGTTCTTAGCATGCTCACTTTCTCCCCATAAATCGAATTGATGGTCATGCTGGTGGTGCCTGGCATTTTCCCATCTATCCCACCTTTGGCTGCCCCCAATTCCTACAGAGATGCTGGGTATTCTATGCACAGAAAGGGGAAGATGCAAATCTAATTATTGTCACTCCACTTTCAAAACTATGTACTGGATTCCTTTTGAACTCAGGGGAGAGTTCAAAATCCTTCACGTGGCCTTAAGACCTTGCGTGTTGGGTTTCTGCTCCATCCCAGCCTAACCTTACGTCATCTTCCTCACCCCACTCCTTACTTCTCCTTTCCACCCAAGGGCCTTTGAGCAAACTGTTTCTTCTGCCTACAGGGCTCTTTTCCAGTAAGGCCCAATGTCTAGCACATAGTAGGTATTCAATCAATATATTCTGGGTGAGGCTGGGTATGATGGCTTGTGCCTGTAATCTCTGCACTTTAGGAGGCCAAAGTGGGAAGATCACTTGAGCCCAGGAGTTCCAGACCAGCCTGGGCAACATAGTGAGAGCCTGTCTCTATAAAAAATAACAAAAATTATCTGGGCACAGTGCTGTATGCCTGCAGTCCCAGGTACTCAGAAGGCTGAGATGGAAGGATCTCTTGAGCCCCAGAGTTTGAGGCTGCAGTGAGCTATGATCACACCACTGCACTATAGCCTGGGTGGTAGAGTGAGACCTTGTCTCTTAAAAAAAAGAGAGAGAGAAAAAAAAACACAAACCAAACCAAACAAAATATTTCCTGGGTGAGTAAACACAATGGGCTAAACACTCCTAAGGGTTAAGACATTTGGATTCTGATTCAGGTTGTCACCAATGAGCAGCTTTAAACGTGAGCATAATTTTACTGTGCCTCTGTTTCTTGACCTGTAAAGAGGGCGAACATCTCATTCTCATCTACAGAAGTGGTTTTGAGGATTTTTTTTTTTTTTGAGATGGAGTCTCACTCTGTCACCCAGGCTGGAGTGCAGTGGCGTGATCTCGGCTCACTGCAAGCTCCATCTCCCGGGTTCACGCCATTCTCCTGCCTCAGCCTCCCGAGTACTGCTGGGACTACAGGCGCCTGCCACCACGCCCGGCTAATTTTTTGTATTTTTAGTATAGACAGGGTTTCATCGTGTTAGCCAGGATGGTCTCGATCTCCTGACCTCGTGATCCGCCCACCTCAGCCTCCCAAAGGGCTGGGATTACAGGCGTGAGCCACCGCACCCGGCCGAGGATAATTTTTAAGAAGAGACAAAAATGAGGAATTAAAAGTTACCAAAGAGCTAAGCAAAAATAATGGGAAGTTCTGCTTTTAAAAAATCTTTATTAGATCAGAAACTACTTAGTGGTCTCCCATTTCTTCTCCCATAACTGCACCAAGCAGGTCAGCTGCTTCACTGGTGACCATGGCAATTCCACTTCTTCTGGAAGGATTGGGTGGGTGGGGAGGGGGTGGTAGAGAGAATTATTTAAGAAAACCGATCTGCACATGGCTGACTGCTAATGGAGTGCTGGACAGCGCCCCTCAAGCTCATTTCCTCTCTTGGGCCATATGAAGAAATAAAATCAAATTACTCTTAGAAACCAAACTTGTCCCTGACATGTGTGTTCTTTGTTAACTAGACCTTCATTCAAAGGAAATCTGAAAGACAGCCCACATGAATCTGTTCTTTGGCCATGGACTAAAGGGAAGTATTGCTTTCTGCTATCAGAGGCAGTGGAGGTGGGGGGAGTGTCTCCCAACTGGACAGAATATTAGTAAATACTATTTGCCATGACAGTGATGGTCATGCCAGGACAGTGATGGTGGTTTTTTATAACCATAATGGCAGGTATTTATTGAGCATATACTGTGTACCAGACCCCTTGAAAATCTACCTCTCAGCTTGCATTCTCCAATTGCAGGGGGTAAAATTGACGAACAAGCTACTGGGCTCTGCATTCATGATGTTCTTGCTGAAGCCACGCTTCCCACAAGCTATTCTTAGCCAATAACTGACCCTGGCAGGGACACTAGGCAGTCCCATTTCTGGGAAATGCAGGACTCCTCTGATGGGTGACTGTGCTCAAGGATTCTACATCACTTTGGATGAAACAGTGCAGCTTCCTTGGAGCTACACTGTAGCCTAAGATTGTTTCTACCACACTTCCTTCCTTCTCTGCTCCACAGGGATCACACCTGCAGCAAGATCTGTGGTCTCTATGGCTCCCCTCTGGATTCCTCCTTATATCCTCTACCGGCATTTCCCCAACAAATCTCTTGTACAGCTTATCTTCTCTTGGTGTTTCCTTCTTGGAGGACCTGAACTAATACACAGTATTACTCCGTCTATTTTGCAGATGAGGACATTGAGGCCTAGAGATGTTAAGCCATGAGCCCCAGGTCACATGGTTAAAGCATACTGGGGACTCCATGCTCCATGGAGATCCATATCCACAGAAACATACATGTTGCTGCCCCAAGGCCAGCAGAATTCTACTGAGGTGCTAAACATTTCTGTACCAGGCTCAATTCTGGTTGCTTCCTTTGTGCTATCTCATTTGAGCCCTGAGCCCACTCTTGGAGATAAGTGGAACTCTTGTCTCTGTTTTACCAATGAAGAAACTGAGTGAGAAGCTAAGTAACTTGCTTAGAGTCCACAGCCAGCAACTGGCAGAGATGAGTTGGGCCTGATGTCGGACACAGCGGTGGCTCTGAGATTGCACTTGGCAGACTTCCAGCTACAGGAAGCGTAACTGACCAAGACCCTGGGTGCAGTCCTTGGAAGTCCATGACATATTTGTGCCAACGCCATGCTCCCAGTCAATGACTGGGCCTGGCAGGGATGCTAAAGTCGGGCCACTCCTATGAGACACAGGACATGTCTGATGGCCAGTTTTGGCTTGAGGACTCCCTGGTGGTCTTACTGAACTTGTATCTGGAATACTTCTCTCCAACTTCCCTACCTATTCCCCTCATCAGGTCAGACTTGCATTGTAGTCTAACATCTCTCCCTTTCTCCCCTGACTCCCCCCAGTCTTCCTGGAATGAGTATTTCCCCTGATAAGCCCCTTGTCTGCTTAATCCTATTTTGGCATCTTCTTCTCAGAGGATCTGGACTAACACAGATAACAGAGTCTTTTTATTCTCCGTGATTGAGATTACTGGAATAGACCCCAGATCGAAGGCATTTTTTTTTTTTTCTGAGCATTTCCAGAATGAAACTGGAAAACGCCAGATGGCCTCTTTGGGGGTGGACATCTGAGCAGTGTGAGGGGTGTGCGGCCAACTCCTGGGAGCTACAAATGGGGCTACGACAGCTAATCAGCATCGTTGTAGAGCCATCAGCAGACCCTCGAGAGGACAGAGTCACAAAACTTTGCATGTGGGCAAGTGACACACCAGTTTGACTGCCTGAGACTCCAGACCCACACACTTGCCAGTTCTAGGCATTTGTTTCACTGTGACCTTGGGCAGGTTCCTTGCCCTCTTTGGGTCTCAATGTACAACAATCCTGGGGAAACTCTCTGGTTCTCCTCTTCCAAGGATCCAGGACTCCTTCGGGGCCCACCCGTAGCCCCAAGGCATTGACTTACAGCTTGACAAATGGGTCTGAGTAGCCATTAGCGTCCATGGCAGCCAGGTGCACACAGCGTATGATACCCACAATGAGGCCTCCCTGCTGGGTGCTGTACATGAGAGAGACCAGGATCTTGCCACGCTCCTCGATGTCACCAACACGCTCCACCTGCTGCATTGGGGGAAAAGACAGTGTGGGCCTTGGAGGGGAGGGGTCAGGCAATGTGAATGGCGAGCATTAGGAAAGAACCTATGAAGGGCAGGCGGAGCTCCACCAGCTCTAGGGAGCCAGCACCAAGGACAGCAGATGGCCTAGCCTCCAAGGAGGAGCCAAAGGTGAAAGTCGGGGACCAGTCTCAGGCACATGGGGACCAATGGCTTCACTTTGACTTAGACATGGATGAACTCTGACTGTGAGCACAGATTAAACTTGCTCCTGGTCAGTGATTGGCTTTGGCTCTAACCCAGGACTGACCCTTGACCCTGGCCCCAGACACATTCTTGCCTCTGATCTCAGACTCCCTTAACGCAACCAGTCTTCTTAAAGGGCAGTCCCTGGAGTCATATGAGGGACCCAGGCAGACAGCATGAAGGCTTAGTTCGGTTTCTACCAGGCACACAGCTCAAAGAATGCACCCACTCCAAGAAAGGAGTGGGCCATTGCTCTAGTCAGTAGAATTGTCTACAGAGCATCTGACAACAAGGCCAAAAACCTGGTGGGTATTCTAGGTATGAGAGAAAGGGGTTGCCCCCTCCTCAGAGGCTTAGGTGTGGAGAGGATGTCCCTTGTCTCATGCTCAAACAACTTGGGCAAAGGGTCTCTCTCAAAGCAAATCAACTCCAGGGTGGTTGCAAGAGAATGGGTGAGGAAGGGGCCAGGGAGGGAGAGAAGAGGAAGATGCTAGCCCAGCCCAGCACAGACCCTGACTGTGGCTTCAATTCCTGCTCAGTGCTCACCTCCTCCTCATAAAGGGCCATGCCTCGGGCTGACCCGGTGGTCCCAGCACGTTTCATCTGAAAAGAAGAAAACAAATAAAAGATAACATTGTCTATAGAGCTCATTTTCCTGCACAAGAAGGACCAGAAACCCCTCACACTTCCATTAGCATCCAGAGCCATGGAAGTGGGTTCTTAAGCTACTGTGGCCCTCCTGTGTTCTCCCTTTTGGCTGAAATTTATAAAACACAGTCATATGGCAAGCTATGTGAATGTATAACAACCTATGATATAGGTTCTGTTACAATTCCAATTTTACAAATGAGGATCCTGAGGGTCCAAGTAGTTAAGCCCCTTATGCAAGGTTACACAGCCAGTAAGTATCAGAGCTCCCCACACACAAACAGAAAAGATTTCATTTTCTCTGGTTGAAGTGGCTCAGGGGTCTTGGGGTCTGACCCACCAGGTGGTTTTCCCCTTCATGGCCCCTGGGGCCCTTTTGCTGAACTCTAAGGTTCTGGGAAACAGAAAACCATTGGTTAAATCCAACCTCCCCACTTTGAAGAGGAGGAAACCTGAGGTCCAGAGGGGAGGAGCCCTCAGTGGGATATAATGGGGGAAGATGGTGGTGCAAGCGTTAAGGTTTAATGTCAAAGAGCAAAATAAGATGATCAGTAGTGTTTTGCGGCTGCTGCAGCCCTCTGGCTGTCCTGCACCTTCATGTTTCTAGGGCTAGCTGCGTCCACCATAGCAAGACGGGCAAACCCAAAGGCTGATGACCCAGGCAAGGGCCTGGCCATTGTCCTGGTCAACTGGACTCATGGAGTTGGAGAAAGAAGAGAATCCTTAAGACCCAGCTGTCACCAGGCAAAAGCCCAGAAGAAATGCCTCGCTCCTAGGGATGTCTTTAAGGATTTATTTTGAGCCTGGAATTCAGTAGAAATCCTTCCTTGCAATTTTCCTTGTTGAGTCTTGTTCCTTTGCCTGAGTTATAAAACTATGGCATGGCATGCAGATACTCCATCCTCAGGCTGGCCATCTGGTGAGAAGATGCTGCAGGATTTCCCCTCCTGCACCCCATAGCTTCCCTGTGGAGAGCAGGCAGGCTGCTCAGAGAGACAAGGGGTGCTGGTGTTGTAGGATAGCGGGGCTCTGGCCAGTGCCCAGAGACTTTGGAGACTTGCTACCATCTCCGGGCCCAAGTTGGCCCACACTTAAGGCAAGGCAGCCTGAATTATGTCTAAAAATATAGATTGTTTAGTCCTACCCTACTCCACTAAAACAGAATCCCCATGGGGGACCCCCACAAATCTTAGTTTGTAAAGCTCTGGTTTTAAAATCCCCCGGTTAATTCTGAGGTGCAAACCCATTGCAGAACCTCATTTTGATCCCTGTTATTTTCCTCAAAGAGCAAGAATTACATCTGACAACAATGACAATTCTAATACTTCATATGTATGGTCACATTCAATCCTTAAAAGATCCTATGAGGTTAGCACCACAGTATCCCATTTTACAGATGAGACATCTGAGGCCCAGAGAAATTAAATAATTTGCCTCAGGTTACACCATAAGTGGCAGAGCCAGAATTCACACCCGAGAGTCTGGCTGCAGAGCCCATACTCTTAAACTCTAGGCTATGCTGCCTCCTATTTATCTACATGGTGCTTTCTGACTTCATGACTGAGAGGTGGGTAAGGCAGCATTATTTCCTACACTAACAACTGTTAATTTATGAGTGCTTACTATGCACTAAGTTCTAGTTCAATTATGTTATTTTTTAAAACACAACCCTCCCAAGAGGCAGGTACTGTTATAACACCCACATTACAGACAAGAACACCGAGTCCCCTGGCCAAGGCCATAGAGCAGCAAGTGGCAGAGCTGGCTCTGAACCCAGGAATCCCACACTGCCCCTATCATGTTGTCCATCCAGTTTGGCCAAGAAAAACTCATGTTCAAAGTGATGCTGACACAGGGTTTGTGAAAGGCAGAGAGAGAATGCAGCCTGAGGTTGTGAGCTGGAATCTTGACTCTCCTCCGCAGACCTGCTGCAGTGCCTCTGCTACCCAATACCCTGTGGATCTATTTCCCTCAATTCAGACCCAGAGGAAGGCAGCTCCTCCAGTCTCCCCTCCTCCCATCAGATCCTCAGGGTAAAGTCACTCACAGGAATCACTCGCTCCAGGCAGATGTTGAAATTCTTCCTCTGGTTGGGCTTCAGTTTCTTGAGGGAGAATCTGGTCTCACCAATAAATTCATTGTGGCCAAATTTGTCCTCATCACAGACAGAGATCCTGCCACCAACACAAGGGGTAGAGAGAGAAACAGGAACAAATATTGAGATCCTGCTGTGTGCCAAGAGCTGCAGCTGATGCTGGTAAGGAATGTGTGATGTACATGGAAAAATATGATTTCCTATTTATTTATTACTGGGCCAAGTACCTTTAATTTCTTCTTTATTGCAGTATAACTGACATGCAGTAAAGCACTTAAATTTAGTTTACAGCTTGATGAATTCTTGCATATGCATATACCCATGTAATTCCCACACAGGTCAAGATATAAAACATTCCAGAGACTGAAAGACCCTCAGGATCCTTTCTAGTCACTGCCTTTCTCAAAGATAGCCACTCTCTTGCCTCTGGCCACATGAAGTCATTTGTCTGGTTTTTGACCTTCATATAAATGGAATGATATAATATAGACTCTCTTATGTTGGCTTCTCTTGCTCAAGATAATGTCTGTGAGATGCATCCATGCACAGTATAACTTATCTTTTTTATCACTGCATAGTATTCCACTGTGTAAATATACCATAATAATTCTGCTGTTGATACAGGTTGTTTCTAGTTTTGAGTTATTATGAATAATGCTGCTATGGAATATTTATGTTCATGTCTTTTGGTATATACATGTACATATTTCTATTGAGTATTTTCCCAGGAGTAGGGTTGCTGGCCATGGACTAGGCATAAGTTTAGCTTCAGTAGAAACTTCAAAACAGTTTTCCAAGGCAGTTCCACCAATTATGTCCCTACCAGCAGTTTATAGAGGGTCTGGTCACTCTTTATTCCCTTTGACTTCAATTATGTTAGTCTCTAATTTTAGCCTTTCTGGATAGGTCATAGTATGTCACTGTAGTTTTAATTTACATTTCCCTGATGACTAAAAAGTTGAGCCCCTTTTCATATACTTTATGGCCATTTGAGCATCCTCTTTTGCAAAGCCAGGCTAGGAACTTTTCTCATTTAATTTTTCCTCTTTCAAAATAACTGCATTTACCATTTAGAGAAGATACTGGGGTCCAGAAAGATTAAATAACTTTTCCCTAATAAGAGGTGGAACCAGGGTTTGAATCCAGGTCTCCCTGAGTCCTATAGTAATATATTGTCTTTTGTTATCTACCTTACACAGCATTGAGTAATAGTGGCACAAAATGGGCAGGTCATAAGAAATGTCCCTTAGGACAAGAGTCTCCAACTCCCAGGCCACAGACCAGTAGCAGTCTGTGGCCTGTTAGAAACCCGGCTGCAAAGGAGGAGGTGAGCAGAGGTGGGCAAGCACTACCGCTTCAGCTCCGCCTCCTGTCAGATCAGTGGCAGCACTAGATTCTTATAGAAGCATAAACCCTATTGTGAACTGCACATGTGAGGGATCTAGTTTGCATGCTCCTTATGAGAATCTAATGCTGGATGATCCAAGGTGGAACAGTTTCATCCTGTAACCTTCCTTCTCCCTACCCCAGTCCATGGAAAAACTGTCTTCCACAAAACTGTTCCCTGGTGCCAGAAAGATTGGGAACTGCTGCCATAGGAGATGAAAAGGACCAGTCATGGCATGATAATTTATCCTGACATATACTAAGAGAGGAAAGGACTTATTGTCCTCCAGTGGCATGGGAGGCATTCTTGGGGGACAGGAAGGGACTGTGAAGGTACCACACTCCTTGACCACCAACATTAGTTGAACAAATGTTCAAAGTCCTGGAGGGCCTGAACACCCTCGTAGCCGAGTCCTGCACTGTATAACACTGGAGAAGAAACTCGTCTCTACTGAACTGGTTGGGGTGTAAACAATATCATCCTTCTTCAGGGCAATGCATCTCCAAAGACATAAGAGAATAATCACTGCTTTTGACCCTGTCACACCACTTATAGGAATTTACCTCAAATATATAATAAGGCAAGTACAAAAATATTTAACTACAATGGTCCAAAAAACAGTTAGAAAGAATAAATGAGATCTAGTATTTGATAGCACAACTGGGTGACTATAGTCAATAATTTAATTGTACATTTAAAAATAGTGAAAAGAGTATAATTCAATTGTTCATAACACAGGGATAAATGCTTGAGGTGATTAAAAAACCCATTTATTTTAACCCATTTAAAAAACTCATGATGCGATTATTACACATTATATGCCTGTATCAAATTATCCTATATACCTCGTGAATATTAATATATACGCCTACTATGTACCTACAAAAAAATTAGAAATATATTTAACTACAAAGATGTTTGTCACAATATTGTTTGTAACTATGAAGAAAGCAGAAATAACAAATACTGTACAATGGAGGAACTGCTTAAGAAAATTATGAAATAACCATCAAATGTAATAGTGTACATTAGAGAAAGTGTTGTACTTAGTCATTAGGGAAATTTGAAACCACAACGTAACACCAGTGCACACCTACCAGAAAGGCCAAAATGAAAAAGTGTTGATGAGGCTGTGAAGCAACTGGAACTGCCATGCATGGCTGAAGGGAGTGCACACTGGCACAGCCACTATGGAAAACTGGAAGTTTCTACTAAAGCTGGACATACACATATCTTATGGCTCAATCATTACACTTCTAGGTATATATGCAACGGAAATGAGTGCACCTGTGTACCTAGAAACAGCTACTAGAATGTTCCTAGCAGCACTATTTGTAATAGCCCCAAACTAAAAACCACCCAAATATATCAACAGTAAACTGGATAAATAAAACTGCGTTATATTCATTCAATAAAATACTAAATAGCAACAAGAACGATCTACAACTACACACAACTTAGATGAATACACAGGTAGAATGTTAAATGAAAGAATATAGATACAAAAGAGTAACACAATACAATTTCATTTATATAAAGTACAAAAGCAGACAAAATTAACTTGTTCTGTTAGATGTTAGGATACTGAATACCCCAGGGGAGTATTCAATAGGAAGGGGCCACAGTGGGGGGCTTCTGCAGCCTAGGAATGTTCCGTTCCTTAAGCCCAGTATGTTCACTATTGTGAAAATTCATCAATCTGTGCACTTATTATATGTGCATTATGCTAAATGAATGTTATGCCACAATAAAAATATTTACTTAGAATAATGTTGCAGCCAATTTGGAAAGCAGTTTGCATGTCTTGTAAAATTGTTTTGAAAAAATCACATATCCCATGATCCAGTAATAATTCTCTTTGGTTTCTGTCCTAAGGAAACACTCATATGTACACAAGGGAGAATGAAGTTGCTCATTGCAACTTTGTTTGTAGTAGAGAAAAGCTGGAAACAATTTAAATGCCCACCTGTAGGGAATTGGCTAAATAAACTGGTAAAACATTTACATAAAAATTTAAAACATGTCAAATAATACTGTACATTGTTTATAGATACATAATTAGGAAGTATAAGACATACTTGAGAATGATACCCCAATAATTCAGGATGGTGTTTAGCTCTTGGGAGAGAAGGAAGAGGACAGGACAGGGTGGGATATAGAATATACAAAAGGGGCTTCAACTTGCATAGGAGTGCTTTATTTCTTAAAAAAACAGCTGATGCAAACACAGCAAAATAGCAAGATTTTTAACAGATCAAGTATTGGGTGGGTTCATGGATGTTTGTTTTAGTATATGCTACACTTTTCTATTCATCTGTAATATTTAAGAATAAGGACATTTAAAAAAATCTGTGATAAATCCATTCTGTAGAATATTCTGAGGCAGTTAAAAATTAGGTAGATTTAAACGTTTTTTCACGGCTATAACACCAAGATATATTGTTAAGAATAAAAGGCAAGTTCCATATATATGTATATCCATTACTTCTAATGGCAAAAACTGCAATTACTTTCACACCAGCCTAATAATTCAACATTGTAGAAGAATATGAAATGGTATCAATGTATTCTTAAGTGATACAGATATATTAATGGGATGATCCATTGTAATAAACATTTTTATAAGCACTCAATTTTATTAGGAAAAAACTTTCACATACACACCCACACATGCACCCACCCCCCACACACACCCTGAATGAACAGATACCAAGATGTTAACAGTGAACAGTTTCAACTTACCTGTATTTTCCAAAATTTCTACCAAAAATATATATCATTTTTTGGTAAAAGTAAACAAGCAAGAAAAAAATAAACTATGCAGAGACCTTTTTAGAGTGAGGCTCTGAGGGCCTCACCCCAAGTCTCAGTTCCGCCCACCCTGAGTCTCCCCTTCACCTCCCTCTCTGCCCTCTGCCTGGCAGGTACCTGAGGGTCTTCCTTTGCATGTCCTCATCGGTGATGCCGTGATAGACGAGGGTCTCATTCCAGACGGGGTTCCGGGTATTCCGCAGAGTTTTTGTACGAAGCTTGTTGGACTAGAGCCCCAGAGAGATGGATAGAGACACCTACCTCAGTGGGGAGCCAGTTCTGGAACCCCATCGTTTGGGCTGACATGGGGTGGGTGGGTGGTTTTCCCCGTAGGAGTGTCCAGGGTCTTAGTTATTCCCAAATGCATGTTCTCAGGGAGTGGGGGACATCCTCTAGGATCATGGCCACAGAAAAATGGATCAATGCTTGACACTGGGTCCCCTCTCCCTCCATGCACTGAGCCTCCTCCTTGAACTTCCCCTTAAGAAAGCAGAGACGTCTACCTCTGAGAAGAAATCATTTATAGGTCAGGGAGTCAGAAACGAGAGTCACCCGTTCCCATTTAGGCAGGGGATATTGGGATGGCTCTCTCTGTTCCCCCCAAATAGTACCCTTCATGCCTAAAATTCCTTAGAGGGGCCAACAGTTTTCATTTTACTCTGAGACAGAGAAGGCTAGAAATGCAACTATGCCCAGAAGAGGTGGGCTGGTGACAAATCTCATTCATGCTAACATGCAAATGATTCACATTAGATTCTTCAGCAAAGCAGCTTTGGCTGTTAGGAGTGGGTAAAGGAGGGCATCTAGAGGAGAAGCAAACATCACTGGGGAGTGAGGAGGAGCAGGGGCCAAACACTTCATAATTTGACCATGGCCAGGTGACGAACTGTCTTTCCTTGATCCAAAGAAGTGTGAGACAAAGTGTGTGTGCGTGTGTTGAGGGTGGGGGGCGGTGTGCACATGCGTACATGTGTCCTCTTTTGTCTCATGGAGCATTTGGTACTTGCAGGGGTATTTAACAGGCATTTTCTGAAGATCACTTGACAGATGTACTGTCACCTTTGCCTTTAGGACGTCTATGTCAAATTAACACAAAGCACAAAACAAAACCCAGGCAGCCACACTTCCATTTCCAGCCATGTACTCTGGGTGGGCCAATCCCCAGAGAGGAGAATTCACCCCAGAGCAAAGCAATGCTCAGCTGGTGAGCTGGAGGGGAGAGAAGGGTGGGAGGGCCAGGGCTTCAGAGAATACTCTCCAAAGGGCTTAGTCCTGAAATGTGGAGAGAGTGGCTCATTTCTATTGAGAGATGAGTGTGTGGTTGGGGGTATAAAATGTATGAGGGAGGTGAGCCAGAGCCAGCAGTGGGAGAGCTGCTGAAGGTGTTCGAGCAGATGAAGGGCATCGTCAGGGCATCTGCTTCTCTTCTGGCATTGGCAACTCCCCAGATCCCAGGTTTCTGAGTTGGAGAAATGGGCAGAGCCCCTGCCCAAGGGAGAATGACCCCTGGAACATACTTTACTTGCTCTGCAATGGCTTTGCTACTCACAGGATGAGGTGGGGTTGGGGATTTGGGGCAGATAAGGGCTATTTTAGGCTCTGAGCTGAGAACCCTGGGTATCTGCCAGGGCCCATGCACCCGGTTTGCAGAGAAGCCCAGGCCATATGGTACCTTGCTGGCTCCCGGCAGGAGGTGCAGCTTAACGTAGGGATCAGCCAAGCCATTTGAATCCATGGGCTTCAGGCCCTGCAAAAGAAGGAGGCAATGGTGTGAGGGCCTCAGGAGGGCCCAGTGCTCAGCTGTCATCAGCAATTGGCATAGCCCCCTGGCATCTGTCCTGCCTGTTGGTCCACCCTGTGTGCTTCCTTCTCCAAAGAGAGAGAAGGGAAATGCAGTATCATGGAAAGAGTGCTGGGACAGGAGACAAGGTTTCAAACCTGGCCATGTCACTTCCTGGCTATGTGACCTTAGGCAAGTTTCTTAACCTATCTGAGCCTCAGTTTCCCCACCTGTCAAATGAGGATGAGAACAGTACCTGCTTCATAAGGTGGTGAGATTTAAATGCAATTCCACCTGCAAAATGCTGGCATATGATCAAGGCTGGATTGTTATTGCTAGGATGGGAGGAGATGTCCCAGAAGAGTAAAGGCAAGGTTAGGGGAAGGAGAAGACTCCTACATTCCGGCCCTGACCCCTGCATTATCTTCTGAAACTTCAGTGTCTCCATCCATCAGGGCTGGGATGAGGCTCAGATGAGATACTATAAGGAAGTTTGGGGTAGGTAGGAATTAAGTTGATTTGTTAAAATGAGCAATCTCCAAATTCCTGGGGCTTAGACATACTCTGTCCATCCTCTACGTTCAGACCAGGCAGATGTCCCACCTCTGGGGTCCTGCCATCCCACTGCACAGCACTTATACCATGCACAATTGACCATGAACAACACGGGTGTGAACTGTGTGGGTCCACTTACATGACAATTTTCTTCCACCTCTGCCACCCCCGAGACAGCAAGACCAACCCCTCCTCTTCCTCGTCCTCCTCAGCCTACTCAACATGAAGACCATGAGGATGAAGACCTTCATGGTGATCCCCTTCCACTTAATGAATAGTAAATACATTTTCTCTTCCTTAGGATGTTCTCAATCAATATGAATTTTCTTTCTGCTAGCTTACTTTATTGTAAGAATACAGTACCTAATACCTAAAGTATCCAAAAGATGTGTTCACTGATTGTTTATGTTGTCAGAAAGGCTTCCAGGCAACAGTTGGCTAGTAGTAGTTACATTTTTAGGGAATCAAAAGTTATACCATAGATTTTCAGCTGCACAGGGATTAACTGAACTCCCACATTGTTCAAGGTCAACTGTATTGTGTCCAGTGATCTTGGATCTTGTTTCCCCACTTGTTCAATGGGGCTGGCAGCAACTCCTGCTTCATGGGGCTCTTAGAGGATTAAATGAGATCTTGCTGTAAAGATCAGCTCCATCCCTTATCAGCTGTGTGACCTCAGGCTTTAACTTCCTAGACCTGTTTCCCCATCTGTACAATGGGGCTATTAAGAATCCCTACCTCAGAAGTTTCTATGAAAAGGAAACAAAATAATGTATGCACTTACTTAACTGCGTTATTGGCGGGGGTGGAGGGGCAGTGTTAAGTGCATCTAAGTGCTTGCCATAGTGACAATAAATAGGTGTCCAATAAATGCTGATGCATACATACTTGGTGCCTAATAAATGCCTATATATTATAGGTGCCCAATAAATGCTGCTACATAACAGGTGTCCAATAAATGCTGATACATAATTGGTACTCAATAAAGAAGTGACTTGGGCAAAGTAATGTGTTGGTCTAGGAGTTATATTAAGCATTTTGTACCTTATTTATCATTCAAATTGAGACATTTGAAGAGTGAAAAAGGAAGCACTTAATTATTATGGCAAGGCAACAGGCACAGAAGGGAACTGTCCTGGAAAAACTGGAACATGTGCCCACCACTATCCTTATGGGAGAGACACTACTATTATCCCTGATTTACAAATAGGCACACTGAGACACAGAGGGGTTAAGTCACTTCCCCCAAGTCACACAGCTAGGAATGGTCAGGGCTGGTATCTGAACCCAAGAAGCCTGGTTCCTGAGCCCCTGCTTGTTTTTCTGTGTGGCCCAGGCTTGGGGCTTTGCAGGGGAGGGGTGCAATCCTAGTCAATTACTTTCTGGGGTTTGCACTGGCTTCACCCAGCTTTTTCCCCTGGGGTCTGGAATCAAGTCAGCTCACTCCTCCGGAGCCTGCAGCAAGGCTGTCCCGCCCCCTTTGAAGCCCATTTTAGTGTCCCTGTGTCTCGGCTGCTGCTCCAGCGTGACAGCCGCTTCAGCAGAAGGGGCCTCAGGCAGACACAGAGATGAGGCCGTTCCATGGATATGTCAGCTGTCGAGCCAGGCTGTCATCTCCTCCCAGGCAGAACCTCCACCATCCCCTCCAGAGACACTGCTGGCCCAGGCAGATAGAGGCCGACTCTGCCCTTGAAGCCTGGCTGCATGTACTCCCAGGAAGTGGCTGCAGATAAGTGAAACCCCTCTGGGACCATCCCTGGAGGAGGAAGGCCTCCCAGAAAGGAATTCGCCTAATTACTGTGACTCTCCTCATCACCGTCACTATCATCGATAGACAAACAACAACAGGAGACAGGCCTGGTTACCCATCCCCATCTGAGTCTCCTAGCCATGCCAGAGCATCCTGAGAGGTCCCCTGCTTGGTCCCCATCACCCACCTTGGCCTTAATGATGGTGCACTGCAGGGAGCTGTTGTCCTGGTCGTAGAGAAGGCTGAATTCCAGGGCACCCAGCGTGGCTGAAGGGGGCAGAGACAGGAACCAAGATAATGAACATTCAGTCACTCAGCAAACATTTCCTGAGCACTTACTATGTGCCCAGGCTGGGCTATGAATTGAGACTACAGAAGAAAACTCAGTTTTTGCTGTGAGTACCTCGTCTTGGTAGACCCTGCACTACCTTAGAGCGCTCAGGATGTCTGTGATCATTTCATCATCTGTGCACTTGCCTAGGTAATACCTTTCTGTCCTGATAGATTGAGAACCCCATGAGGGCAATAGCTGGGATTATCTTGTTGACTGCTGTGTCCAACACACGGCCCATAGTCGTAGGTGCTCACTTATTTGCTGAAGGGATAAATGAGTCTCAGCATTTGCTGTTCCCTCTGCCTGGAATGCTCTCCCTCTAGATCCTTACATGGCTTTCTCAGCTTAAATGTCACCTCCTCAGAGAAGCCTTCCTTGATCACTCTCTAAAGTAGCTAACATTGTAGTCACTCAATATATTTTATTTCCTTTATGGTGCTCTGTCTCCACTCGAAATGCATTCATTGGTATGTTAACTGTCTCTCTTCACTTGAACGTAAGCTTCAGGAGAATAGCTGGCAAGTCTATCTTTTTATTTTCCCATGATATCCCCAGCATCTAGAACAGTTTAAGGCACTTAGTACATGCTCAATAAACCCTTGTCAAATATAGAGATGAGTGAGTGTGTGAAGAGTACAGGGTATGGAGACAGGTTTGTAATAAACTACCGGGATAAGTTAAAAACAGGGACGGACATGAGGCTGGGAGGACTCATCTATGCTTGGTGGGTTGGGGACATTTAAGGCTGATGGAAGGAGCAGTAGCCAGTTTTCCAGGGAAAGACCAGGATGAGGGAAAGCAGAAGGGTGCATAGACAGGGCATTTTCAGAGCAGAACCAGCCTGTGGCTGACAAGGTGGGTGGATTCCTCTCACTTCTTTCTCCTGAGACCGCAGACCCTTGACCCATGGGAGAGCACAGGGCACGAAGTGGGACAGCTGATCTTCCATGCAGGCCTGGCCTCTGATCTGCTACAGCTGTGTGACTGGCCACCAGCCCCTCCTCGCACTGACTGGATGTGCTTGGACAAGTCCCTCAACCTCTCGGAGCCTCATCTCTCAATCTGTAAAATGGGAGTCATAAAAGCAACTATGCCCAGGCTCGTAGGGAAGATTAAATGGGCAAATGCACAGAGTACACTCAGAATAGTGCCCAGCACAAAATGAGTGCCCAACACGTGTTGGCTTTTATTACCTCTGATGTCCATAACGCATAATAACAATTCCTCGTGTGTGTTTAGCCTTATGTAATAATGATTTCCATTTTATGAAGCACTTTCCCAGAAGGTATCTCAGTTTATCTGTCCCTTAGCCCAGGGGGAGGTGGTGCTGTGCTCTTCATCTTACAGTGAGGAGAAATGACATGGCAGGCCAAGGCCATGTTGCTGGTCACAGCCTTTGATCTGGTCCTTCTGTGTGGATCCAGTTTTCCCACTTGATCAGAAACAACTGGTAATGTCCCTACCTACCAACATATATTGCATGCAGACACTTGCCAGTTCTGCCTCCCTCCAGCTCACAAAGGCTGCCCCAGGCACACCTGGTGGGGGTGGGGGTGTTGTGGGGAAATGTCACTGGTGTGTGTGTGTGTGTGTGTGTGTGTGTGTGTGTGTGTGTGTATCCCTGGGACTTGGGGCCTGGTTGGGCTAAGTACACTGTAGGCATTTTAAAAGGATGCAAAAGAAAATGCCCAGTAAATTTGAAATAATGATTAATAAATTACTTTCAGAAGATACACATTAAAGAGTTTTAAAAACTGTTAAAATATGCATTCACATCTAGGACCAAAACTACTGAGTTATATAATAATTCTGTGTTTAACATCTTGAGGAACTAGTAGACTGAACGTCGAGAATACAGTTAATGCCACCGAATTGAGGTCTTTAAAATGATTTAAATGGTACCATTGATGTTATTTGCATTTCACCACAATAAAAAATACATGTAGCACTTAATCTTTAGGAAGCTGATATTTTGTGAATTTAGAAACACAAATCTGCACTTCTATCACTTGGTTAATATGTTTATTAGGTCCGGCCTCTTAGGGGTCTGGGGATAGACAGGGCTGTCCCTGAGCCATTCCTGTTTTTCTGGACTTGGCTTCTGAAGTGATTTTTCCAAGATACCTCTCCCTTAGGCACCACCTACTTGCTTCATCCGAATCGTAGCTGTTGGCTTCCTCCTCCTCCTCCTCTGGGGGCGGCGGCTGGCGGGCTGCGGCAGGCTGGGGGGCAGCTGCAGATGCTTGGGAATAGGGCCCGGAGGGGTGGCTCATTCGGTCCTCTCTGGCTCCAACGGCTGGGTAGCCCCCAACTCCCCCTGTTCTCTCCTCTCGGGGTGGGGCAGTGGTCCCGGGGTCGCTCGGAACCACCTCTGCAGGGAGATAAGGAACAGGAAACATGCAGCTGAGTCCCTGTTTCATAAGAGCAGCACCTAGGGACATTTTCAAAAGATGCGGATTCCCGGCTCCAGCCAGAATCGGTGGACATGCAGTGGGGCCTTGGGATCTGTGTTTGACAATAAGCCGTTCAGGCTGATTCAGATGCAGGCAAAACAGACCTCGTGGGAGTACAAATCAATGGTGTGGACTCTGGAGCCCAGACAGCCTGGGTTTGAATCTTGCCATGTGACCTGCAGCAAATTACTTAATGTCTCTGAGCCTCAATTTCTTTATCTGTAAAATGGAAATTACAATATCTGAAGCTCCTCAAATAATAATATTTTTTTTAATGAACGAATATAAGTGCAGCACTTAAAACAGTGCCTGGTGCCTGAGAAAGCAAAAAGTGTCTCGTAGCTATGACTGATACATATGATGGTGATGCACATTGATGATATATGTTAACAGTAATCACTGTCACTCAGTGTGGGCTTAGTATATTCCAGGCAACCCACCAAGGTTTTCTACGTATTAGTTTGTTTAATCCCCCCAACAATTCTGGGAGGTAGGTCCTAGCATTATTCCCATTTTATAAATAAGGAAACTGAGGCTCAGGGAAGCTAAGTAACTTGCCCAAAGTCACACAGCCAGGAAGTGAAGGGGCAGGGATTTGAACCCAGGTAGTCTATGCTCTAAACTATACATGTTGGCATTTCTATCTAGCTAATCTTAGTACGGACTATCTAGAGTTTTAGACACGGGGGGTTGTTCAGATCTCATCCAACAGGTCTCAGAGTACAGGCTGAGTCAAGTTCTGGCAGCTGCCTGCTCACTCAGGGAGGTAGGGGAGAGGTGGCCACTTGGGCAGGTATGGGAGGAAGCAGATACTCGCCTGGCTTCTGATCTGGAAAGCGTCCTGCTGGCCCAGGACCCGGTCTGCTGCCTCCTGGGGTCCCTGAGCAGAGAGAAGACAGAAAGAGAGATGCAGCAGAGGGGGTGGCATCATTTGGGGGTTCACCTTTTTCTTTTCATTTCACAGGGGTGGACACAGGCCCAAAGGCAGAAAGGTACCCGAGGCTGCAGGAACAGTCCCACCAGGAGGGGAGCTTTTGGACTTAGAAAGGCCTGGATCCAAGCCCCAGTGCTGTGGGAACTTCCTGAGCCTTGACTTGCTGCTCTGTGAAATGGGGGTGTTGGTCTTTGAGGTGGGAAACACTGGTGAATGAGGCGCCATCACTTTCTGCACTGGGTGGGTAAGATGCTCCCCGCCTCCTCCTCCTGCTCCCTGCCCAGCTTCTTGACCCAGGGGATTACTCGTTCTAAGGGTCTAAGAAGAGCTTAGGATTTAGTTGTGGCTGCAGCTTTGCAGAAAACCCAGCATGCTCTGCAAGCTGGTATAGGGGTCACAGCCCAGTGACAGCCTGGGCAGGTGCTAGCAGGCAAGTGGCAGGTACCTGGCTGCCCAGGCTGAGGTGGTGCTGGGCTCTGCACTGAGCCTGGGGCAGGTCTGGAGGCCTGGACTGAGTTGGCCCGTCTCAAACCTGCAGAGGAAAGAAGAGAAAACAGCCATTGTGTGTCACACACACACACAGCAGAAGGTAGCTTGGGACTGCTCAGCTGGTGTGGGGTGAGCCCCTTGGACTTTCGCTGGAGGCAGCTCCTCACTCGCTCAGCTCTTTCTGACTCTTCTGCCTTCGGTGTGTTCTTTCCTCTCAATCCTCAGACTCTGGTGAGTCACAGCAGCAGCACAGATGTTAAAAAGCACAGGTTCTATAATCCTCCTTCCACCTGTGTGGCCTTGCTCAAGTGACCTGTCCTCTCTGGCCTCAGTTTCCTCACCTGGTATATGGAGATAATCACTTAACTGATAGAGCTGTGGGGAAGATACAATGTTACAAATAGGCAATGCTCAGAACAGTACTTGGCATGTACTAAAGACTCGACACATGTCAGGTGGTGAGATTATTTTATTATTATTGAAAGAATGTGTCTTTATCTTCATATGGACTTGGCTTTGCCTTCCTGCTGTTTCCTATATGGGCTGTGTGACCTTGGGCTGGTCACTCACTCTCTCTGAACCTTAGATGCCCCATGGAGGCAACAGTTCCACTTAACTCATAATAGTAATGAATAAACATTTATTTAGTGCTTGCCATATGCCAGGAACTTTACATATAAGAACTTCTTTAATTTCTACACTAATAACCACTAATAACCTTATGGGATGGGGCCTTATTGTCTCCATTTTACAGATGGGGAAACTGAGGCACAGAGAAGTTACTGAGCTCATCTAATGTCTCTTGGCTGGTTAGTGCAGAGCCAGGGTTTGAATGCTGGCAGTTGGTCTCTGGAGTCTATACCAGAGACCCTCACATGCTGTTGCTTCCCAGAGAGGGACTGAATTGAATAATGCGTGCAGCAGCTTCTGGTACCCAGAAGGTGTGATGTTCTGGGAAGAAAGCCCTGCCTTCTCTTACTTCACGGGGCTAGATGCCGTCTTTCCTGAATCCAGCACTTTTGGCTGGATGGATGCTTGAATACACATAACAGAGGGTACTTTACCACCTCTACCTGGGAGCTTATGAGTTACCAAGTCCTGTCCCAGGTTCCTACATTAGCACGGCCATTTGTTTGTTCATTTGAGGCCTCGTTCATTCATTCACTCATTCATTCATTCATTCAACAAGCATCCATTGGGTATCTACCAAGTGCCAATCCCTGGGCTAAGATGGACAAAACACCATCTTATATCCTCCAGGAGTGCACAGCCTAGTCACAGGAAGGAGACAGACACTGAAATGATGAGTTTATGAGGCAACAATAGCCAACAGTCATTGAGTTCTTCAAATGCACCCCTCATGGGGTACATGAACCATCACCTCATGGAAGCTTCTCAACTCAATGCCATGCATGGTATTGTGCTTCCCACTTTGCAGTTGAGGTAGTGGGGGTTAAATATGCCCAAGGTCACATAACCAGGAAGCCCCTAAGGTAGGACTTCTGTCCAAGTCTATCTCAGATCTTGTTGAATGTATAAATGACACCCGAAGTCCATCAACAATAGAATAAGCTACTCCAAGAGGAAAGGAGTCCCCCCTTACAGAGAGTATGTGGGTGATCAAACCCCTTTCAGAATCCTCTGAAGGGATTTCCACACTGTGTGTGAGGGAGGACCCTGAGATTCCAGGATTAAGCCCTGGAACAAGGGAGTTTTACTGATAATTTGTTTTACTGAGCTGCTCTCAGTCCCTCAAGTGGAACTTATAACAGACCAGCTAGGAGCATTGGCTCTGCACGTGAACTGCCTGGGTTAAACACCAGCCCTGCTATTACTTTTATGTGAGCTTGAGATTGTTTTAGCCTCTCTTTGCTGCATCTATTATGTGAAGATGACTACAATAGTACCTATCCAAAAAGAGTTGTTGATTGGATCAATATGGCTCATGCAAAGGGTTTAATCACATACGTGGCAGAGAGTAGATGCTCAATAAGTTTAAGTTGCTATTATGATTATTAATTCAAATATGGAAGCACTTGAGAGCCTATAATCAACTAGGAATCTTAGTATAGGCTGGAAAATGATGGGAAAGAGATAAAATTATGGTAGATGCTCCAAACATTTGGAAACATAATAAATTAATGGAGAGAGACATGTCCCTGGTATTATGAGGGAAAGAGATTCAGGCTATAATGCTTTAGACAGTGGTAAGTCCTGCATTAGGGCTGCGTCTCACTACCCTGGGAGCTCAGAGAAGGTAGCAGCTAACCCAGCTCAAGGTGGAGCAGGTGCATGCTAGAAGCTAGACCGGGGGAACATTTACATTGACTCCTGAGGGACAGGGGATTCAAATCCAGTTCAGAAATGTCCTATGACCGTCTTTGTCTTCAGAAGACAAAATAATATTGACGCTAAAAGCAGGATTTGATATGCAGAAATTAACTCGAAATGGATCAAAGACCCAAACATAAGGGCTAAAACTAGAAAACTCTTCGAAGAAAACATAAAGGAACTTCTTCAGGATCTTAGATTAGGCAATGATTTCTTAGATACAACACTAAAAACATAGGCAAGAAAAGAAAAAACAAGATAAACTGTGCTTCATCAAAATAAAAGTTTTCTGTGCATCAAATGACACTATAAAAGAGTGAAAAAACAACCCATGAAATAAGAGAAAAATGTGTAAATTATATATCTGATAAAATATTAATATCCAGAATACATAAAGAACTTCTATGACTCAACAACAAAAGACAAACTATCCAATTTAAAATGTTTTCAAAGAACTTGAATAGCTGTCTCTCCAGGGAAAATACACAAATGTCCAAAAGCACATGAAAAGATGCTCAACATCACTAATCACGAGGGAAATGCAAGTCAAAACCACAAGGAGATGCCACTTCACACCCATTGGGATGACTATTATTAAAAAGAAAAACAAAACCCAGAGAACAACAGATATTGATGAGGACATGAAGAAATGAGAACCCTTGTGCATTGTTGGTGGGAATCTAAAAATGTCTCAGCCACCATGGAAAACGGTATGGTGGTTCCTCAAAAAATTAAACACAGAATTACCATATGATCCAGCAACTTCACTTCTATGTATATACTCAAAAGAATGGAATGTAACAGATATTTGTATGTCAGGCACACAATGACATCATTTACAACAGCTAAAAGGTTGAAACAACCCAAACTTCCATTGATGGGTGAACGGATAAACAAAATGTAGTATATATATATGTGTGTATATACATACACTATATATATGTATATATACATGTATATACATATACACCACTATATATAGTATATATACTGTATGTATATACACTATATGTATATAATATACAACATATACTATATATTGTGTATTATATTATATATTATATATACTGTGTTTCTATATATTCTATTGTATATATGTATACTATATTATGTGTCTATCTGTATACTATATAAATACACAATAGAATGTTATGTATTCTTAATTTATGCCCAGTGTTCCATTATTGGAACGCTAAACTTGTAGGAGTTATTTATATCCTACTGCTCAAAGTCGCCGTCAAGGTCTGATTTTTTACAAAAAAAAATTGCAACCTCCAGCATAAATGGGTTAAAAAGGAAAGAAATTCTGACACAGGCTGCAACACAGATGAACCTTGAAAACATTATGCTAGGTGAAATAAGCCAGTCATGAAAGGACAAATTCTGTATGCTTCTACTGATATGCAGTACCTAGAGTAGTTAAAGCCATAGATACAGAATCAAGAATAGTGGTTACCAGGGGCTGGGCAGAGAGAAGAGTGTGGAATTATTATTTAATGGATACAAAGTTTCAGTTTGTAATGACAAAAAAGTTCTGCAGATGCATAGTGGCATGGCTGTGAACCATGTGAATGTACTTTACACCACTGAATTGTACACATGAAAATGATTAAAATGGTAGATTTTATGTTATATATATTTTACAACAATCAAAAAATAATTTTAAAAGGCATCGCCAAAAGAAATTTAACCTCTGGAAGAGAAAAGAAAAAGTACAGGCTTTGATGTTGGACATATATGGAATTAATTCTCATTGTAACCAGTTATCAGCTGTGTGACCTAGGGCAAGTGGCTTCACCTCTCTGAGGCTCAGTTTTTCCATTCTGTAAAATGTGAATAACAGAAGTCTCATGTGGATTTTCGAGTTGTGGCAAACATTAAATGAGACAATATATGTAAAAGAACTTGAAATGGCATTTGGCACATAGTAAACACTCTATAAATATTTCATGATGTTGAGGATCTGAGAAATTCCTTTCTCTGTTCATCTAAACCATAGGTTCATTGTTGGGGGAGGTCTGGGTAGATGATGAAGCACAAGGTATGTGCCCAGCTCTGTTGCCAATAAGAGGAAGTGAAGTGCTAAGCTCCAAACACACAATTCAGGAAGAGAAGACCAGACATCAACATGGGACCTAAATATTCAGCCAATCTGACTTAGACCCAGACGCAGCCCCTTCCTGCAAAAGAAATGAAGTTGCTTTGAGGTCTCAGACAAGGAGCTATGGAACAAAGATGTTTCACTATGGTAGACATTTCCTTCAAAGTCCTGTGCTCAGTGACTACCACCAATGGGCACTCTTGCCAAATAAACCCACCATGAGTGAGGCCAGAAATGCGAGGTACCCAATACGAGCGCCTGTCAGTGACATCCTGGCCATGCTGACCTATGCCATATGCCCAGACAGCAAAGGCCATTGCCAAGGGTAGACTTGGAGAGATCTTTGTGAGTGAAGCATCCTTGCTTTGTTCAAAGCCTAGGGGCATTTTTCCCCCAGGTTTTTTGTGGGTTTTTTTTTTTTTGTTTGTTTGTTTGTTTGTTTGTTTTTTGAGGCGGGGACAAAAAAAATCATGTTTTCTGACATATAGTATTACATCAAGAAAAGGATCTAACCAAAATTATGGATGTCTAGAGCCAGAATTGTTTCTGAATCCTGTCTTTCCTCTACCGTAGACTAGAACCAGTATCTAGAACAGAACATGGCACACAGTAGGTACTCAGTAAGTGCTGCCTAAGTAAATGAATAAAAACACAGTCCCTCTCATTCTTTTTGAGTCTCCCTATCCAGAGAACTGTCTCTGGATTTGCCCATCTTGCTCACCTGCTGGGCTCCGGCTGGAGTCTCCAGCACCTCCGCTGTGGTCCCAGCTCTCTGAATCCCGGGTAGATGAGCCCATTCGTGCCTCGGAGGCCCTGCGCACGGGAGGCCCATAGCTTCCTCGCCCGGGAGCAGAGGCCGGGTCAGGGCCTGGAAAGAAGAGCATGAATTGAATGGAGAAAGGGCATCGAGGGAATTAGGCCAATTCCTGTCTCAAATGACAAAACAGAGTCAGCAGAACCCACCTGTCTTCTGACCTGGGCCCCTCCTATCTTCACTGTCACCTGGAGAAAGAAAACACAAATTATGAGGATTATTGGTTTTCTGGTGTCTGGAAAACCAGAACTTAAGAAGCCTACAAAGGGGTTCATTGACTATTGCCCAAGAATATGTTTCAAAAATTAAAAGTCTTCCTCCCAACTTCCCCTTTGATCTAGCTCCTGTTTACAATTTCACTTTTTTTTTTTGCATGCATAAACACATACGAGCATACACAGGTTTTATAAAGAATAATTATGCTATACAACCTTCCCAGCCTAGAAAAACTAGGAAGAAGGAATCTTTTAGTGGTGAAAACTGGGGACTCCTCAGGAATGCAATATATGTTGACAATTTGGTGATTCTCTGCAAGGAGTAGAAATTGCTCATGCCTTGTCAGGAAGAAAACATTTGTTGAATGCCTTTTAGGTGGCAGGCATTGTGCTAAGTACTTTGATAAGTTATCTTACGAAAAATGCAGATGGACACTTCAATATTTGACACCTTCAACTATACCCTTCCTTTCAGAAGCACTGCCTGCACTCAATCTGGAATTGTCATTTAGTCCAGATTTTATCACTTAGTGTCAATTGAAATTATCGCAAGGGCTTTATCTGGTCAGTCCTAGTGGTCTAGTCCAACTAAAATGTATTTTTACTATGGTTGTTTTTTAAAATTTTTACTGTTTTGCTTCTCCCTCTTAATCACTTTAATAATTAATCATAAACTTGGATAATAGTGATCATGTCAATAGTAGCAATTTGGTAGCAGTAATTTTTCTTTTACTGATTTCCTTCTATTTATCTTTCACTTTTAATTAGTCCAAGTCAGACTTGCTTATGGATAGTAGGAGAAATATTAGGGTCCAGGAAGGCCTTCTCAGCAAGCCAAGTATTCTCCCAGGCTCCAGTGTGATCTTGGTGGTGAGAGTCTCTCTCAGTTCCTAATTTTAATTTCTACCTCTTGTACACTAGATATTCCACCAGGGATGACAGCGAAGCCTCTGGGCAGCTTGGCATTGCTGGAGAATTCCTTGTGCTACCCTCTTGATAAGAGTTTATGGTGAACTATGAAGGAGATATAGAAGTCCTAGAACCAAGTCCAGAAGCTGACCATCCAACAACTGGATGGAAACACAGACATGATGTCAGGCCATCCCTCAGGTAGACCAGTTGGCTAAGATCTGTCCTTGGTCCTGAAAGAAGCATCTGCTTTGTCCTACCTCGAGCTGGAGCCCGGGCCGGGTGCTTGGGCTCAGAAGCAGGCTGTTCAGGAGCAGCAGGCTCACTGACAGGCTGCTGGGGCTTGGTCTTCTTTATAGGCATAGGCTGTGGAAGGACCTGTTTGGGGAAGCCTTTGAAGAACCATGCTCCAGAACGCTTCCACACCTGGGGAGGAGAGACAGGGATTGAAGATGTGGCAACCAAGCACTGTTGCTCTTACCTTCATGAGTGCCCATTTTTATCTTTCCTCCTCGTCCAAAGCACACTGACACAATAGCCAGCACAATTTTCTTACTACTACAGAGCCCTGCACAATTCATACTTATTCAGTCCATCCACCCTGAATACTCAGTAGAAAGGGCTTGAGTTTACCCATGGAGAAAGTGGAGTTTGGGGGCCGGGCGCGGTGGCTCAAGCCTGTAATCCCAGCACTTTGGGCGGCCAAGACTGGTGGATCACGAGGTCAGGAGATTGAGACCATCCTGGCTAACACGGTGAAACCCTGTCTCTACTAAAAGATACAAAAATATAGCCGGGTGAGGTGGTGGGCGCCTGTAGTCCCAGCTACTCGGGAGGCTGAGGCAGGAGAATGGCATGAACCTGGGAGGAGGAGCTTGCAGTGAGCTGAGATCCGGCCACTGCACTCCAGCCTGGGCGACAGAGCGAGACTCCGTCTCAAAAATAAGAAAAAAAAAAAAAAGGAAGAAAGTGGAGTTTGGATGGAGAAAATGGAATATCCAAAATCTTAAGGATGGGTCCAACAGTATACAGCCAGAGAATGGAAAAACAAGGGCTCAACTCCAAGTCTTCCATCTCTTAAATGTGGCATGCTCTCCACTACACTGGTTGTTGTAAACAGGGTGATCTACCTACAACTTCCCCAAGACCTCTGGCCTTTCTCCTGGCCCTGTGGGTCAGGATAGAGCAGCACACCTAGGATGGTGTGTGAAACATCTTCCATTGCCCAGTCAGATTCATTCTCCACCCTGCTCTGTGCCCCAGGAGGCTGACCAGTATGTACTGCACTAACTGGACTCCACGAAATAAACTTTGACTTCTGTCTTCAGGTTTATTTGGTCAAGGAAAGCACCAGGGATTACAACAAAGCCTCTTGAAAGCTTGGATTGCTGAAGAGTTCTCCAGACAAATAAAGAGTTTGTAGTTAAGAGGAGGGTGGGACTATGGTATTTATTTCCTTGGCTCCCCACAACCCACCACTAGTTGGACAGTGACTGCATTCCTGTTAGGCTACACCTATCTTCCAGTCTGGTAACCACTATCTCTTCTCTTCAGTCTTATCTCTTCAGTCTTAGGAGGGGAAACAGCAACCCTGTTTTTGCTGGTGCTAGGGTGACTCGTCAACCCTTGCTGATTCCTCTTAGCTCTGCCTGGACCTTTGTCAATAACACCTTCATCAAGTCCTTGATTAACCTACTGAAGTGTGCCAATGCTTTCCTGCCAGGCCCCTGACAGATATTGAGGAGAACATGGTTATTGAAACATGGTCTCAAAGGCAGGACTCTGCAGCAGTGGGTCGGGGATGAAGAAATTGGAAGAAGAAGAAAGGACTTAATTGGGGTAAGATAAGTAAGAAGCAGAACTGGGGAAGAGAAGGATGCCATGGGAGAAAGAAAAAGGGACAAAGTAAAGAGAAATTGCCGAAAGAAGCGTGTGAAGATATGAGAAACAACAAAATGAGGAAAAGGGAGAAAAAAGCATAAGGATTAGAGGAAGAAAAGAGTTCAAACAAGAGGAGAGTATGAGGAAAGAAAAAAATGGAAATAAGAAATGGAATAGAGAGACAGAAATGAAAGATGTTGGGAGAGGAAGACTCATAAGACTCATAAGAATCAGAGAAATGGGGTCAAAGAAAGAACAGAGGCCAGAGGGCAATGAACAGAGAGGGAAGAAGAGAGGATGGGAAGGAAGAAAAAAAGTCACAGAAGCAGAGGAGGAGAAAAGAAATTCCTCCAAATAGTGTGAGGTTGTTCTGTCAATGTTCACTGCTGAGCTGGCTCCTTTCATACCAACCTCCTAAGGCACCTCTTAAGCTGGCCAAGAAAGGAGGGTGATCTAGGCACCAGATGGGACCAGGGCACTCACCTCCCTCTGCTCAATGCAGATTTTGCAGAGCCACACAGAATGCAGGCGGTTGTTGGTCTCCACTCCGCACTTGGTGCAGACATTCTGTGGATGAAACACAGGCAACACACTCAGATGAGCCATGCTCATGGGAGGCACGGCAATGTCACCCCCTGCTTTCTCTTGGTGGATGTAAAGAGGAAGAACTTGCCTCCATTTCTCACACTTCCTTCCAAGAGCAAGGCCAATTAGAACAAAACTCCAATTTGAGTCTTATTTCCAGTAACAAGAACTTGAGTCATTCCCAAGCACTGGATGAAGGAATTCTCTAAGTGTCCTTGTGGGATCTGAATTTTCATCATCCACACAGGGGAAATCACTGACATACTTTTTTCTAAAGACGAATGACCATATATCCATTTCGTGTCTTAATTTATTTCCTCTTTATTTCCAAAATGGACCTGACACAACCTAGACTATGACTAGAAGTTTAACTACCCAAGGGGAAGAAAGTTATCTGAGAAAATGCCCCATGACTGTGTGATGGAATACTATATTTTTTATTGAATTTCCTGGAAGTTAAGACAATTAGGAAAACTTAATGGGTCATGAAATTCTCACTTTTGAGTTGACTGGCAAGTTTTTCAGAATACATAAACTCTTCCCAAGATTTCATTCTACATGTCAAATGTGACATCAGGCTGGAGATGATGACATTATAGATGTCTCCAGCTGGGTTGTTCAACTGAACTCTTGGAGTCCGGCAGACCCCAGGACAGTTGTATCTCTGCTCCCAAACTGTCAAGTGCAGACAGTTTAAGGAAAGGTTAGACGGTCAACAGAGTTCAGAAAGACTCCCCTTTGAGAACAAATGCTTTGGAAGCTAAATGATTCTAACTTGGCTAAACAGAGGCTTTCTAAGTTTCTTGTATCATAACCCAGGATACGAGAAAACTGAAAGCATTCCACATACATGCAAGTATAAACATGTGCTTAGCATGCTCTTTAAACTGACACATAACTTGCTAAGGTATAACCAGGATAGCTGCAGTCTCAATCATAGCTCATGTCCTGCCACAGGCTCCCTAGTTCACCCTGGATGGACCTCAGCTCTAAGAGACAGAAGGATCAGAGTGGCTTCCAGGGAGGAACCAGGATCAGGGTTACCTTGGAAGACAGTAGGGCATGGAAGCATCCCAGAAAAAAACCATATCCTGGCAAGTGATCTTCAGGATCCAAGTTCCACCCCCCAACCCCAGTGACCCCTACAGCTGGAGCCTAGGACTTTTCCCTCTGCAGGTGCTGCACAGGGAAGAAGGGATAAGAGGATGATGGTACCTTCTTACAGTCCTCACATACTACACAGGCAGAGCCCAGCATCCCCAGCTGTTCTCCACACAGTATGCAGCGGTTCACCCCATCCCCAGCCACGTTCTTCCTCATGTTTTCCAGGCGGTCCACCAGGCGCCTGGAAGCAGAGACAAGGTAAATAAGGACCTTGTAGGACTGGGGACCACCAGCATACCCCACAGTGTCGGGTTTATGGTTTTCCCCTTCTTTGAGTCACACGCTCTTGTGCATCTGATGACAGTTGTAAACTCTTCCCCAGGAAAAGGCACATGCACATAAAATTCTGACACATTTTCAGAATACCAAAGACCCCCTCCCACACCCCTCAAAGTCCCATCTGTTCTACTGACTTTGGATTAAGAACCTTATCTAGTCCTTTCTATCTCCTGTCACCTCCTCCCAGAAACTGCCTTCTGAGTGCTAGATTTATTTAGATCTATTTATCTGTCTCCATGATGCCTTCACTTGGATGTCTTCACAGGCATCTCAAACTTATGCTTTCAAACTCAACTTTTCATCTTGTCTGCTCTCCATCCCCAGCTCCAGCAAACCTGCCTCCCAGTCTTGGGAAATGTCACCACCATCTACATACTTGCTCAAACCAGAAACCCTGTGGGGGCCTTCCTTGACCCCCTCCTCTCCTGACATTCAATGACCCAACCAAATTCTTGGGCCCCACCCCAGCCCAACTGAATTAGAAATTCTGCCCCGAAATTGTCAAGTGCAGACAGTTTAAAGAAAGGGTAGAGGGTGAACAGAACGCAGGAAGGCTCCCCTTTGAAAACGAATGCCCTGGAAGCTAAACAATCATTCTAATTTGGCTGGATAGAGGTCCAGCAATCCGTATTTTATGAGTCCTCCAAGGTATCCTGATGCATGCTCAAGAATGGCTTTGAGAATCATTGCTCTAGTTACACTGATCTTTCAATTTCAGTTCTGTCTGCTTTAGCATCAGAACACATTCAGTTCCTTGTGCCTGGAACAAACACACACATTTGTGATCTGTCTCTCTCTATTGCATACACACACACTTTTATATTTTCCCTGACTAGAGTGTCCTCAATTTTTTTTTTTTTTTTTTTTTTTTTTTTGAGACAGAGTCTCACTCTGTCGCCCAAGCTGGAGTGCAGTGGCATGATCTCGGCTCACTGCAACCTCTGCCTCCCCGGTTCAAGTAATTCTCCTGCCTCAGCCTCCCGAGTAGCTGGGACTACAGGCACACACGGCCACGCTGGGCTAATTTTTGTATTTTTAGTAGAGACGGAGTTTCACCATGTTGGTCAGGATGGTCTTGATCTCCTGACCTCGTGATCCGCCTGCCTCGGCCTCCCAAAGTGCTGGGATTACAGGCGTGAGGCACCACGCCTGGTCCAAGTGTCCTCATTCTTTAGAATAGCACTCCCTCTTGAGAGCCTCCTCAGACTACCAATTTTATCCACTCTACTAGCAACCTGGTACTTCCTCATAGCATTAGTTACCTTTGGAATTAACTACAGGGATTATCTGCATTACGTAATTAGCTGATTGTGAAACAATCTCTGGTTTGTTGCAGGGCTATGAGTTTCCCCGGGCCAGGCACCTTGTCTGTTCTGTTCCCTGCTGTGTGCCCAGTGCTGGATCAGTGCCTAGGCTGTAGTGAGGATTTGTATATGCTGGTTGAATCAATGAATGAATGAATAAGAGCAGCTCACTCCCCACATGTGTATCTAGCAAAAGTAAGCGCCTTGAGTGTCAAGCCATGCATAATAACAGCTTACAATTCAGTGGTACTCACTATATGCTTAGCATGGCATGAAGTGCATTGCCACCCACTTCCAGGAGGGAGGCACTACTATTTATGCCATTTTACAGGTGAAGAAAGTGGCACAAGGAAGCTAAATGACTTACCCAAGGTCACACAGCTAGGAAGTGGCAGAGCCAAAACTAGAACCCATAACTGGACTTGGTGGCTCATGCCTGTAATCCCAACACTTTGGGAGGTCAAGTTGGGTGGATCACCTGAGGCCAGGAGTTCGAGACCAGGCTGACCAACATGGTGAAACCCCATATCTACTAAAAATACAAAAAAATTAGCTGGGTGTGGTCTGTATTAGCTGCATCTGTAGTCCGAGCTACTCAAGAGGCTGAGGCAGGAGAACCACTTGGACCTAGGAGGCGGAGGTTGCAGTGAGCTGAGATGGCACCACTGCACTCCAGCCTGGGTGACAGAGCGAGACTCTGTCTCAAACAACAACAACAATAAAAAGCCCCCTAGAACCCATGTCTCATATGCATGACCCCAGCACTTTTTAAAGTTTAATGTGTACGCAGATGACACGGGGATCTGTTAAAATGCAGATTCTGAAATACCAGGTCTGAGGTGGGGCCTGAGGTGCTACATTTCTAGAAAGCTCCCAGGTGGTGCCACATGATGCCACTGGTTTCAGACCACACACTGAATGACGACTGTGGCATCCTGTTTCCACTTCGGCGTTTTTTTGTGGGGGGAGGGGGTCACTTCCTACCAGCTTGAAGCCATCTCCTTCCCCATCCCTCAAATGAGGACTCCTTCTAGACACACAGCCAGTGAACCCAGATAGAGCTGGACCCCACCCACCCCTCCATGGGCTGGGTCCCAGCTGTGTACATACATGGCAGGGGAGAGCCGATGGGAGGGACGGGGGCGACACAGCACCCAGAGGGCCCCTGGTAGCCCTGCCTGGCAGGCACTTAATGCTGACTCTCCCCACGGCCCTCATTGCTCTTGCCACACCCTCAAAGTGCTCCGAGTTACAATGCCATAAATAGCAGCTTCTCCCTTTGTGTTCCATTCGAGAGAGGTACTGCCCTGCCCAATGAACAGGCAAAGGCAGCCTGCAGGCTCTGGAGCCTCCGCTGTGACCCAGATTGCACAGAAGCACTTGAGGAGGCACGATGCGCAGAGCTGAAGGCAGCACGCTCTTCTCGATTCTTCCTCATTTCCCCCCCAGCCACCCCATCTTCCCTAAAAGTTATTTCTACAGGATGATGGGAGTGGGCAGGAACCAGGAACAAGCTCCCAGTCCATGGTCTCAGAACTCCTGTAATAACAGTAGCTGGTGTTTACTGAGCACTTACTATGGGCCAGGCACAGACTTTTATTTAAATTTTATTTCCTCATTTTATTTATGTAGTGTTACTATTATTTTTAGAGATAGGGCCTTGCTGTGTCACCCAGGCCAGAGTGCAATGGTGTGATCACAGCTTACTGCAGCACTAACCTCCTGACTTCAAGTAGTCCTCCTGCCTCAGCCTCCCAAGTAGCTGAGCTGGGACTACAGGCATGCACCACCATGCCTGGCTAATTTTTTTTTTTTTTTGACTGAGTCTCACTCTGTGGCCCAGGCTGGAGTGCAGGGGTATGATCTCGCATGCCTGGCTAATAAAAAAATTTTTTTTGTAGAGATGGGGTCTCACTATGTTGCTTAGGCTGGTCTCAAACTCATGGCCTCAAATGATCCTCTTGCCTTGGCTTCCCAAAGCATTGGGATTACGGATGTGAGCCCTCCACAGGGATTTTCTTAATGACTCCTCCCAGTCACACTAGAAGCTGAGGATTACTTTTGTTTCCATTTACTACATGAGAAAACTGAGACACAGAAAGGTTAAGTGGTTTATGCCAGTTACACAGCTAAGAAGTGGTGAAAGCTGGGACTCAGACCCAGAGTCGGCTCCCAAGTCCCTGTTCTTAGCTGCTACACCATGCTGCTGTGCACACAGCCATGTGCCATGTAGAGCCATGGGGATCGCCTTGAACAGGCCAACCTCCACCCTGCTCGATTTCCCTGCCTTTCCCTCACCAAAGGCCCCTCAATCATTAGTAAGCACCAAGCTGCACATATGCAGTTACCCTGGCTGGTTCCAGCCCGTCCACCTCTCACTGCCCGAGGTTGGGACAAGATACCCAACCAATGCTCCATCACTGTGTTTCTCTAAAGAACCCTCAACATGCGGCTGACAAATCTTGATTTTAGCCTGGGCTTTTGCCTCTCTGGACTTGTTTCCTCATCTGGAAAATAGGAGGCATTGGGTTGCATAGGTGGTTGTCAAACTGTGCTTCATGGTACCCCGAGGGTTTCATAGAGCCAGTTCAGGGGCCAACCTCTGTGGCAGCATGGTGAGAGAGAATTTGAGGGGTTACCACACCTCATTCCATACAGAGCATGTCTGCATTGATCTCTTTTGTTTGTTTGGGCTGTTGAATTAGATTTCCTTTAGAAAGTTGGTTCCAGGGTTTTAAAAAAACAGTTTGAAGTTGACTAGAGCTGTTAAACGTCAGGATGCCTTTCAATGCCATAGAACTATAAAATTTTATGAGACAATGAAGTGGGCTCATGGAGGCAGGGGATGGCAGTTGCATGGGGACATTTTTCTTATACACAGTTGCTCCCAACTATTTTCACCTTCATCAACTGCCTTAGTCAGAAAATAGATTGTGTTCTTCTCACTCTACCATTGGGGTCTCAGAGCACAGAAAGAGTGGGCCGCTAGCCTGGGTCACTCAGCCACAGCTAGAATCTGGTTCTCTGCTTCAGTCAATCATCTTTGCTTTCCATGAATCCCCACAGCCTCCTGCCTCAAGTCAAGCTTTGCCAAAGCAGCTCAGGAAGAGGGCGTGGGACAAATCCAATTCTAAACCGCATTGTGCTTTAAGGAAACTTAAAAGGGTTTTCTGCCTCTTCCTGGAAAATGAAGGCTGTGGACTTGCCTGTCACTTGCAAACCCACACTGCAGCCTCCCCACCTAGTGCCTGTTCCTTTCACCATTAACTCCTGGATGCCAAAAGGCCTCATGAACACACGTTATTCAGGGAGTGTCTCATTATCTCCTATCAGCAGCAGCAAATGGCACAGAAATGCAACAGAACCAAGATTATTACTCAAATGTCTCAGCTGAGGGACCCTCATTATCCATGAATTTAGTACAGATCAATAAAGAGGATGCATGTGAGGTGGGAACACGCAAATCCTTCTTCTCCCTCAGAAGATCAGGAATGAGCAGGGAGCTTCCTGCAGCCTGCCTGTTAGGGCACCCTGCTGCCTCAAATGCTGCAGCCACAAAATGGAAGACCCCAACAGCCTAAGACTTTAAACTAGGGAA